TCTCTCTCTCTCTCTCTCTCTCTCTCTCTCTCTCTCTCTCTCTCTCTCTCTCTCTCTCTCTCTCTCTCTCTCGCTCTCTCCCTCTCTCTCTCTCTCTCTCTCCCTCTCCCTCACTCACACACACTCTCTCTCACTCTCTCTCATACACACTCCTGGCCGGTCGTTCTTTCTGACAACATCGCCATCGCCACAGGTAAAAGGCAACAATCTCCCCGACTTTGCACGTCCCCATCAGTGCGTCAGCTACGCATCTGTGCTCGATTGGGCGCAGAAACATGCAATGCCAGAGATGTTTCAAGCATACGAAAAGCATCAGGCTCCCCCAAGTGATGCAATTTTTGCTGACTGGGAACTCTTCCACGGCGATTTGGGCGATTTGAATCGTTGGCTCACGCCTGCTAGCCATAAAACGGGAGGGGAAGAAAAGCATACTTGATGCGAATATGATAGAGTCTCCCGATGTTGGAATCTCTTGAAAGTCTTTATATGATGCATGCCCTGCTACTTCTCTGTTCTTGCGTACTCGCTGCACATTTCATTACTATCTGGGTCAGAAGGGATTCGTAGCCGGAGCCAGATACAGTGTCAGTTCGTCGTCGGCTGCTTTCAACTGTTGAACTCACTGCGGCCATTGCTATTGCTCTCCTTGTTTCGGGTCTAATAGGAGAAGCTCTTCGATCTGCCATAGGTAGTCGCTTGGTTCTTTGTCACTTGACGCCATTTTCGTTGTTATATGCTTGAAGTTTGAGCTGATTCGCTACATTTGGGTTGCTTCATCTCCAGAAGTCATTTTGATGGTCTCTTGTCGTGATGGATTCATCCTTTGTGGCGGGGGGCCGCCGTAGCGCTTGGCGTCCGGGTTGGATAAGGGTTCGGGCCGACCTGTAGCGTGCCGACTGGCCGGCCCGACAGACCCGTCGGGCTTAGCCCCTTTATCCGTCTTGCCTAGTGCACCGCAACCCCTCATCAGACACCCTAAGCCGCCCCTATCAGACATCGAAAATGTCCCTTTCAGTCGATATACATTCTAGTGGCGGTTGGCGGTAGATTGTTTCTCTCACTCTTCCCACTCAAAATTGTTCCTTTTCCCCGAACCGCCCCCTTACCCGGTCTGGCTGGCCTGACGAAGGAGAGCATTGGCGGGATATTGTCGGCCGCTAGTGGATGAACGTCGATCTGTCAAAACAACCACAGCATAGACCAGCAAAGCAACCACGGCACGCGCAAAAGTTTAAAGTGAAGCGAAAGGCGGGATGAGAGATGAATTTTACAGTTCGGATGGAATACTCCACGTTGTCGTTGACGTTGTGATTGTTCTACTCTCCTCGTGGCGAACAACTACATACCTTGCGAAAAAAAGTCCACAGGGAGATACTAGATCAAGATCAGGAAGACTCGAGGTCAAATACAAGTATAAAAAGAAGAATTAAATCACCGCTAACAGTCCCTCTCTCTCTCTCAAGGACAAAACACCACCTTAAAATCCATTTTCCCCTTATAACAAACCGTATCCGCCGGCGAACCCAACTCCACCTGCTTCGGATCCGTCCACCCCTGCTCCGCAGGACAATCCCACGGAAAACAAGTCTTACTAACACAACTCTTCGCACTCCCTTTCCCATTCGGCAAAGGATAAATTCCAATTCCAATATCCGCATCCGATCCCGTCATGACAGAAGCATCATATGCCGTTCCTTGCAATCTCTGACCCGCATACGTAATATCCGAGTAGCCGAATTCGAAAAGTGCTTGCGCGTTCCATTGGCGGGATGCGCCCCATTCGGCGTGGCCCGAGAGACGCATGCCGGTTTCGAGGTAGGGGGCGGAGATGGTGGAGGAGGCTTTGGAGGGGATGTTGATGGGAGAGGATTTTTCGAGCATGGCGAAGGAGGAGGTGATTTGGTAGAGGGCGAATTGTTTGGGAAAGGGACAGTTGTTGTGGATTTGGATTTGGAAGGTGTTGGGGTCGGTGCGGGTGTTGAGAGTGGTGGTGTTATTATTTTGATTATTATTATTATTACTGGGGCTGCTTAGAGGTGCTGCTGATGTAGGCTGTGCTATGAGCAGTTGGAGCAGAGAGAGGATTATAGTTGAAGTAGTATACATTGTCGAAAAGAGTGGCTTCTAGAAAATTCGATCTAGTTGTTGATGCTATAATGCGTGTATCTTTGGTTTAAAGAGTGTATAGGGTAAGTTCTTATCAGTTTGGATCTGTGTGTATATAATGACTGGTATTGGCTCCAGGCCTATAGGATAGAGCGGAAAAAAATAATATACAGAAGAAAATGTTTGGAAAAATGGGACTATGGGTTTGAGAGGCTTGCCACGAGGAGATCAAGATATATACCCTTTACGCACCGGCATTGTTCCCCAGAAGTTCGCTCAAAATAGGAGTAGAAAGGGGGGAGGGGCCACGTGCAAGCCAGGTGGGCAAAGGAAAGAGACCTTGGAAACAAAGAGAGTAAAATCCCAATAGTCAGAGTACAAAGCGAAGTGGCCAGATTGAGATTAGGTCCTTTCCTTTTTTCATTGTTCTGTGTCAACAGTCCATAGCGTGGACATCGTGGGTATGGAGGCCAGTCAGGAGCTGTTCTTACTACCTGCTCTTCCTTAAGCTATTCCTCATCTTCTTCAATAGCCCATGTTTATCACTATACCGCTGCGACTTAGCTTCTGTCGCAGTGATAGCAGTAGTAGAAGACCTCTCAGAGCTGACTCCAGTATCCATCGAAACTGACGTCGTCGTCGACGATTCTGTAGTATTGAAATTCCCCACTTCACCTGCAATGAACGCTGCAGCTGCAGAGCATTCCTTGGCCTGGTCTTCGTCCTCGGCGATAGAACTCCCAGCAGGTGAGAGCAGTGGAGAATTGGTTCTAGAGTCAATATTGCCATCGATTCCTCGTAGTGGACCTGCGCTGGAATTGCTTGGGATATATAGGATTTTTTGCTGTGGTATGTTTTCCTCTAGAATGGTTTCAGCTGTGAATATCTCGGGTTGGGGGCGAGGATGGGGATGAGGTTGCATTTCGTGGCCTTGTAATGAGTCTGCGAATTCTGAAAACGGTTCCCTCTGGCACACCGAGTAGGCAGTGTATAGGTCAGCTGTTGTCATCAATTTTGTTGAAAGTTTCCCTTGATCCGTCAATTGGGCACTGCAAGACGAGGAGGATTCCTCATTCGCAAATGATCGATCCTCGGACTGGGCGGGTGACTCCTGCGCTCGTACGTGTGCCTCCTGGTGGTCTTGGAGCAACGGATGACCTGGTGGCGTGAGAACTTCACTCTCGTTCTGCGAAGTCTTCTCCTGCTCATCACTATACTGTTCCTCTAACTCTGCGGTCATGGCATGGAGCTGTACTCCATTCTTGCTGTCTGCTTCCTCTGCCTCTGCAACCACTGTGATTTTGGTCTGGTTCGTGGAGACGGCGCTGGACAGAACATTACTATCAATTGAAGCACTATGGTATCACGTTCAAATTAGACTAAGACTCCAAGAACGACAACAAAGCTTTTGTATGCGAGCAAGCTCGACAAGCCATAATTCTATTGCATAGCAATGCTGAAACACGACACCGCAGTAGCAAGGAGAATCGGTCTCGCTTACTTCTTGTCTCTTGCCCTGTACACATCGCCCGTTCGCCTGATCTCGTCCTCGGTATCCTTACCACGACCTTGCTTTTCCAATTCTCGGACCAGTGGCAGGACTTCTCGACCAAAATGCTCAATCTCCTCATCGTAATGCAGGAATGCCGTAAGGATGATATTGACGCCCAAGCTCTTCAACAGCACAATACGGTCGGCAATCTGCTCCTTGGTTCCAATGAGCTTTGTCTTGAATCCGTCATTGTATTGCACCAGATCTTCGAATTTGCTGTTGGCCCACATGCCAGATTTGTTGCCTGTCGAGGAACCAGCATTCTGCACTTGTTGTCGGAATCCTTCCACGGCTTCAGCATCAGCTTTGCCCTGGATCTCCTGCAGCACACGTATGGCCTCCTCTTCCGTGTCCCTGCAGATGACGAAGGCATTAAGGGCAAAGCCACACTCTCCCTCGCGACCGTTCTTCTTTGCACGCTCTTTCACGTCTGCGATCTGTGCCTGGAAACCTTCGAGGGTGTTACCGTTCATGAAGTAATAGTCGGAGACACTGCCTGCATTCTCTTTCGCATCGTCAGAGTTTCCACCTTGGAAAATTTCCGGGTATGGCCGACCGGGCAGGTTGAGAGGCTTCGGCTTCAGAGGGTAATCATGAAACTGGTAGAAATCGCCCGAAAAGTTCCACTTCTCGTTGGTCCAGATCCCCTTGAGGCATGTGATGAACTCCTTGGAGCGGCGGTATCGCTCAGCATGATCGAGCCACCACTGCCCGATCGAGGTGAACTGTACACATAGAAGTCAATACAATCAATTGCAGGAGAAGTAGTCAAGAGTGCTCACCTCGGCCTTGAACCATCCGGACACAACATTCACACAGATACGTCCCTCACTGTAGTGATCTATGGACGCAATCTGCTTAGCAGCAACAGCTGGATTCCATGGCCCTGGTAGCAGTGCGGCAATGAGCTTCAGCCTTTCGGTGTGATGAAGCAAAGCCTGCGAGAAAGTTACGGGTTCGTGTTGATTTTCGGCGCCATAGCCAGCCATGAACCGGATCTGCGATAGAGCGTACTCAAATCCCACGCGCTCAGCAGTCCTTGCATATATGACGTTACTCTTGAGGTCCCATCTCGTGTTCTGCTTGATCTTGGAGATCACAAGACCACCAGAGACGTTCGGGACCCAGTACGCGAAGCGAACGCGGTCTGGGTCAGAGTTCAGAGAGTCTGCGTAATCCAATGACTGATTCTCTGTCGCAGTTGCAGCGATGCCATTAGGGAGAACACCATTACTGACAGCAGTACCGGGAGTGGGTTTGCTCTCTTCTCCAACAGGGACAACGACACGCTTGCCGCCAATCTTGCCGGTCCTCATACGATCTAGGGCATCGTTGATGCCAGCAAGACCACCTTGTGCAATCTCGACTTCTGGAAGCTGAAGACTTTTGTGAACAAGCAGTTCTTCCAGCCAGACGGAAATGGCCTCGCCCACATGGGGTGCCTCGTGGAAGATCTTGATAGGAAGCTTGTGGTGTGTGACACCTCTGCCGACACTCTTTGGCAACCCTGTCAAACCAAGCAAATGCGACTTGAGTCCAGTATCAGACTGCGTGAGGGCCGATTGTAGCGCCGCTGCTGAATCTGCGCCATTGCAGTCGATGCCGAATCGCAGGTTGCCACTAGTGATCGCCTTCAGAATATCGATTGCGCGTTCATTATCGTACTTGTCGACCATGAAGTCTGCGCCGAGTGCCGATAACCGTTGTCCGCCTCGTGCTAGATCGGCCACACACGCAACTTTGAGTCCTGCGTGCTTTGCAATCTGCAGGGCGATCTGTCCGGTCATGCTGTTGGCTCCCCAGATAGCCAGCCACTCGCCTGGCTGAGGTCGTTCATGGACGGGAATACCTGAGAAGATCTCATTCTTGATATCTTCTGGCACATTGCGAGGGTCCAGCTGGCGAGTAATCTGGAGTAGATCTGGGCCCCGAGGAGCGTTTCTGAGATTCGAAAGATCCAATCCGAAGCTGATACCAAGCGCAGTAATAGCGGCAACAAATGCCACACCCAGTGCTGCACCTTCCTTGACACTGACCCCTTGTGGGATTCTCGCAACGTTGTAATCCGTCGTGACAACATACTCCTGATATGCGGCTTTCCTCACATCGCGATAGTCGGTTGATGGGCCAAAGACAACATCGCCTTGCTGCACTCTGCTACCCGTTCGCGGTGCTCTAACCACAATGCCTGCAAAGTCGCGCCCATTGACCCATGGGTAGCTTGGCTGGCTGAATCCGTAGTCGGCTCCTTTCCAGTCTACAGGGTTAAGGCCGATGGCGAGGACCTGCACCAGAATCTCTCTTTCGCCCTGAAGTTCTGGAATGCTGCTGCTCTTCTCAAGCTTGTACTTTTGGCGTGGTCCATGGAGCAAGAGAAGGTCTTGTTGAGGGGCATCTAATCGCAGAAATTCGTCGTCGGAAGACTCATTTGATGGGGTTGCACCATTGCCATTGGTGTAGCCATTGGCGTGGCCATTGGTGTGGCCATTGGTGTAGCCATTCGAGTAGCCGTTCGAGTAGCCGTTCGAAGAATGATTACCATTGACACCATTGACGTGGCTGTTTGGTGTGGCAGCCCCGCTAAGGCTCGAGAAGCTCTTGCCTGGTTGCGTCTGCCCTCGTCCACAGTCCGAATTGGGCTTCAGCGACAAGAATGGTGCAGAGCTATATGTCGAAGGCATGTTTGTGGTGGAGAAGCTGCGCGAGCAGAAAGTACCACCACCACTGCGGTACTCTTATAATAATGACAACGATCAGAATGCAACTCTGCTGATCCGTCCGGGTGCTAGGATCCAGCCTAGCCACGCTGCGGTGCAGGGTATTGAAGTATACTGATATGTGAATTATACGAAAGAGACGATCTCTGAAGCCACTTCCCGAGCAGCTCATTGTCGGCCTGTCTTGCGAGCTCGACGTGCTGCTCATGTCATCATCAGTCGACGCATCTTCTGTCCAATAGGAGTCGCTGAACTTGGCCGAAGATAGCGATGTCCAAGGCCTCACAAGCAGATTGTCGGCCAGCTCATGCAAGGCCGTCGAACTAGCGCGGATGGCGTGCGAACCCCGCGTTATACCATCTTTGAACTTAAATGCATGTGACCTAGGATCTGGATATGTTCCCAAGTTGGACAGTGCTAAAAATGAACATATCAATTGGAGCATCATGAGAGTGAGAGGTGAACGCTGTTCACTTGCCGCAGGAATTGAGATGGATTCAATTGTGTTGCTTCCGTACCTACTCTTCAAGAAGTGGAATTCGTACGAACACGCAATTCGTGCAGAAGGCTCGCAAGTCGCCATTTATTGTTTCGAGACACTCGATGTCTCCGCATCCTTGAAAGTTCTGGGGTTCAGGGTACAAGGTTTCCGACGACCCGACTGACCATGCAGAAGGCGTGTCGGCTTGTCGCTGGTTGAACATGTGGGACCTGTGGGTGTATTCTTAGCGATGTCCGGGTCTTCTCGACGTCGCGGCGACGATGCTCTTGGACAGGCTGTAAGTGGTAGCTACGGTAATCTCATCGGCACGCAAAATGCGTAGCGAATACAGGACATCAGACCTCGGATCGTATCGTTGGTTCGACAGACTGATGATTTTGATAATGATGGCGATAATGTTGTTCCTCTGTTGAAAGGTCGTCTTGGGACATTAACACGCTGCTCCCCAGCACCTCTGCTATGCTGCGGCACTGGAAGTTCTTTTTCATTCACTCACCTTCCAACAATCTCTTCAGCAACGCGATCTGCGTCTGACTTTCTCCCTCTTCTGCCCTATCAGCGTCTTATTTTCCTCCTTTTCCTGCTCCATTTCTTTTTGGATTTTCTTCCTTCAGCTGCTCGCTTGGTTTCCGACTTTCCTCCTTCTGCTGCTCAGGTTGTTCCCTTGGCATCTTCTCGACTGTCGCCATAGTTTGCTTCATCACCGCTATTTCTATCTGACTTGGCTCATATCTGGTGAGGGCTGCTTGATCCCTAGTGTTTCATCAGTATCGATACTGACATCCGAAGATATGGAAGTTATGCGTGGTTCCGGCAGACGTGCAATAGCCCGCCGTCTGTCATCTGGAGAGAGACCGCGATATACAACTCGCACAAAGTGTGAACCGGTGTTTCTGTTCTGGCAGTGGATGCTCCAGACATGGACGTAGTACCGGTAAAATGTAGTCCGACTATCACGGACAAGGGAAGAGTGAGGTAGATCTTGACCCTCTCATTATCATGGGAAACGCTGAAGACGGGGATGTGGCCACCAAGAATCTGGGCATTGTCTCCTCCGAAGGCGCGATATAGTTGGAAATTTGCCTTGGCCGTAATACTATAGAGTTGTCAATACTTGTGTAGTTCTCAAAATTTGGCGTGCTCTTCTTGCGTGACGGTTGCTGAGGAGTAACGACAAGCCGAACGCATATTCAGGCCTGGGTCGTGTGCTGTGGGGCCCTCTATGAGTGCCTCAGGCAGAGAGCCTGCGCCTGCTACTTTGTACCTTCACTTATGCGTCCATAAGGCCTACATTTTGTCGAGTCCATGGATTTCTCGTTCCGCACATTGCCTCAGGTATTATCGGTGGTGGTGACATGCACCAAGTCCTGTAAAATGTGCCGCTGCCAACTTGCAAAGGAATACGGAGAAGTCCGGGCCTGCCACAAGTGGACTAGCGTCTCCCTGTGCCTCGCTCTTCCAGCTTCGCTCCCGCCTCCACCTCAACATTCACCTCCATCGCACCGACACCGACACTGACATCCGCCATCCGCCATCGACTGCCACGACGAAGCGACCCCAAAATCATCAATCATAACTAGTGACCAGCGTGCGCGCATCATCATCTCACCATGAGCGGCATGGAAGGCATCGTGGGAGGTACCAAGCGCAAGCGAGAATATCAGTCGCTCGAGGAACTGCTGGCGACGCCATGGTGTTACTACTGCGATCGCAGTTTCAGTGACGACAAGGTTCTCCACGAACATCAGAAAGCGAAGCACTTCCAATGCATTGTCGGCAACTGCCACCGGCGACTCAACACGGCGGGCGGCCTGCGCGTGCACATGCAGCAGGTGCATAAGGAAGAGCTCCACGAAGTCGATAATGCTATTGAGGGCCGTCGCGATCCCAACCAAGAGATTTTCGGCACAGTGGGCATTCCGGAAGCGGTGGCGGAACAACGCGTCGCAACACTGACGCAGCAGTACCAGGCTCTGCAGCGAGAGCATCGTCGCAAAACCGGCAACCCGCTCCCAGGTGAAGTCAAGGACAACGCCAACGCGCCCGCTACTGTCTCCAAGACACAACAGCTCACAGAAGGGCTGTCTGACATCAAGGCTCGCATTGCTGCAGCCAAGGCCAAGAAGGCCGCAGAAAAGGCTGCACTGGCTGCTGGTGGTACTCTTCCGACCGCTGCCACCCCAACACCACCCACGACCAGCGTTCCCATGAATGGTTCTGCCACTCCTGAAATCAAACGTGAAAACAGTCAGCCGGCTCCAACCCCCGCCGGATTCCATGGCGCTCTTGCGCAAACCTATCCAGGCTCGCCGATGGGTTGGCCAGGCAGCGCTACCTTTGCCCCCCAGGCTCCAGGCTATGTAAACAGCGCCTCTCCACCTCCATGGCCACCACATCTGCCAGTCCATCCTCATGCGCCACCACCGCAGTTCCAGGGTGGTTACGTCCCACCACCCGTGCACAACGGTATCAACAATGGCTTTGTTCAAAGCTCATCCTACGGTGGGGCGCCACGCCAACAGCATGCACTTCCTATCCTGCCACCGACACCGGCCAATCTACCACAGCGTCCGGGCTTAGCGCCCCCACGCCCAGGTTCGAATGGTCTGCCTCCACACCCGGGCCACTCTAACGGCCACACACTGCCTACTCCAACAGCAGCCGCTATTCGCCAAGCAGAGGCACAAGGTGAGTTCACTTCAGTGCTCGTTCGCATGAAAATGATTCTGACGTGTTTCTCCAGCCCATCCCCCCAATCATGCTGGCGATGCGATGAGTGCCAAGCTAACTGAAGACTTCTTGGCAGAACTGTCTGCCGCCAACTCTTCGACAGAACCAGGAGCCATCCAGAACTCTATGGCCCAACCTCAAGCAGCGACGCCAGCTGGCCCTCCATTAGTTGCATTATCACCCGGAGCTACAGCTTTGGCACAGAACACACCAGCTGCACAGCCACAGCCCTCTACACCTCATCCTGCCGCAAAGGTCAAGCAGTCGAAGAAGAACAGCAACGAAGTAGCAAAGATGATGATCAGCGATCTTCTGTCAACTTGGGAAGAAAACCGCGCACAAGCTTCGCAATACCAGAGAATGGTCGAACTCGCAGACTCCTAGCATGTTCTGTATGAACTATTGATCATTCTTTTCCAAAAAAGGTGCGCGAATGCCTGTCAAGTGGTGTTGGTCCTCAGAGCTCTTCAATTCGACAATAGTTCGACCGATACTGTCGCCAATTGTGGGAAAGGCAGTAACGACTTGCCGTCCTCCCGACACTCCTACCTCCACGACCCCGACGACCTCGACCCGGGCCTCTTGGCCGGTAAGTCTCAGTCGTATGGCCCTACGGAAATACTGGAAGTGCCCCGGGTAGACTCCGGTATGACAAACGGCGATGCTGGACACAACATCTACGGTCACTGCCACAGTTGTAGGTGGTCAGAGCTCAAGTCGGGCTACTTGAAATTTCATTACGAGGGTTCCCACAGGCCAACACTGATACCATTCCCCCCGGGCCACCTGGAACTGCGCGCATCGCTGGCCTCGCACGGTGGAAATTACAGTAGTACTCAGCCTACCGCTCAGCTTATCCATGAAAAAGAGTAGGAAGCCCAAACTGCGCTCCCGTCATCGGCACCCTCGAAATGGACGCAAAATGCTGATTTCAAGCATCATCATCTGGTCACTAGGCTCAACGAACACAGGGATCCAGTGCAGGTACTAGATGATTCGACACTCGCCGCTGGCTTGAGCCAGAGCTAATCTCGCATCCATTCAACACAACTGGCCACAGCAGCAAGTCGATCAGGCCCAGAGGCTGCCCTGGCCCGAGATCATGGCATTGAGTAGATTGCGAGCTATCCATTAGTACCCGGGACTCTTACCAGGACCTGCATTATTAGAGGCTCGGCGAAGACCGGGATACGATTTTTGTTACCATCCAACAGATGCTTCGATCAGATGGAATTCCATGGGCTTATACAATTGCGCGCGACTTGGGCACTGGAGATGGCAGGAGGAGACGTCGGCCGATCAGCTAAGTGTGAGTACTCGTACATGGCTGCTCTGCTGCTGACAAGAAGTGCTGGCTTTTGCACAGCGTAATGTTCTGGTGCTCACGACAGAACCATTTGGGAAACAGCGCGATAGAATCGCGTAAGGTATGCGAATCACGTCTGTGGCTTCTCTCGCAGCAGGAGATACTGCGTTCTCGTCGCGGTGAAATATCGTACTGATCAGCACCGCCGACGACGCCTTGATCGAAGAGTGAGTGAGTCGAGTGGCGAGAGGAGAGTCCCTAGCTAGTGGTCAGAGACTTGTAAGTTTCCAAGCGTGAGTGCTCTTTCATTAAGCAAAACTTTGTACAATTAAAGGTGCGCAAGCGCGATATGAAGATTAAACGAAAGTGTATTGTGCTTGGTCCCGTCGAAACTGATGCTAGGTGGTGGCACGTGCCTGCCTTTGCGTTTCCCGCTATATTAAGGCGTTGATTCCCGAGTCGAGCGTAGGTGAGTACCTACCTTACCCTACCTAGTGGCACGAAGATCAACGCCGTGACACGTCTCGGGGGGCGTAGGAAAGGAAAGCAGAGTGTGTGTAACGAAGGTATCCAATCGTCGTCCAGCAAGTCCGCAAGCCCTAGACTGCTCCATCATCCTGCGGAGAAAATCATCCTGTCCTGACGAATTGAAGCAGTGGGCAAGCGGAGAGATGCGAAAAGTGTGCGGTCATGAAGCAGACCAGAGAGACTTTAGACCGTCGCTTCGCGATCCATCCAATCGGCTGTCGTGGCATTTAAAAAAGAAAAAGAAAACAAGAACAAGAACAAGAACAAAAGAAGAGGAAAAGAAAGGAAAAGGAAAAGAGAAACTGCCGACCGGAGCATGTTTTCATTCTCATGAGAGTGAGCGTGTGAAATTCTGTCTGACGAGATATCAGGGCGCCTATTGGGAGAGGTCATGAAAGAAGTTCAGAAAGCATTTGGTGGGTACATGTAGTTCCGTGGTGGTGTTGCTGCCGATCTTCAGGAAGGAACATTGATACGAGTTGAGAAAGAACGAATTGGTGGTTGCAGAAGAACGAACGAGAAAGGTCAGGTACGTCCGTCTGTCTGGTGAGGTCAATGATGATGATGATGATGATGAACAATGCACTCTCATCCATGAGATGACCTGCCAGTCAAGTCAAAAGTCATATTTGCATGTGATGTATATTTGAGTCAGTTAAGGTAGTCACCTTACATGTAGATCTTCAGCATCACGCTCCCATCTGACGCTCTCAACCAATCTTTACCATTTCTCCATCATATTCTTTCATTGTATTTGATTTGATTCTTTGTTCTTATAGTACCGTATATTTCAAACGAATGGAACCGGTTGGGCGGGGTAAGTCGTCACATTCTTCTCTGGAAAGCCAATCATTATTTTGTATTCTCCCTTCTCTAGCACATTATGTTTCAAATACATGTACATAGGTAGGTATACGTATACATGTATACATGTAGGTACACAGATGACAAAGGTCAAAAAGACAGAACAGTGTGTAAGGTAGGTATGGTAGGTAGGTACCTTGCATTACCTTACCTATGGTTTCTCTTTGTCAGGATGGGTTGTACAGGTCGTGTTACCGAACGAGGTACATGTACTTGTCTGTTGGTTGGGTGTTGCACGGCATTCTTCACAATAGGTAGTCACAGACATGTTTGTGATGTGGAGAGTTGGGATGGACGAATAAAGGATGATGAGGAGATGGGGAAGAGGGAGGGGATGTTGTGATTTGATTTGATTAATGTGTATGTGTGTGTGTGTAGGAGGTATGGTGGTTCATTGAGGACCATACCAATAAGGTACCTTAAGGTCATCATGCAGTTGAGATTCTCTGAACGCTCTCAACGACATTGCCCTTGCCCGGCATACCAATTCTGGGAACCACATCATCATCATCATCATCCTCTTTTTTTTTTCTTCCAGAGATTCTAGACCTCTCTCGAGTTCATCCTTGTCCCGTGGCCGAAACATCACCCCACAGGCGCCTATCAGTGGATCGGGTTGGAACTTGTAACCCTTGGACCTTGTTCGCGCACATGCAAAAGAAGTTTTCTGGAACGCCGGCCACTCCTGGGTGGGACGTCTGCTGATAATAGTAACTTGGCCTATGTACCTACCTACCCATCTACCTACGTACCTGTACAACCTACCTATCAGTACAGTCATGATACGATACGATAGGTAGAGCAACATGAATCGCACGCATGCGCAGCACCAGCAATGACAGCAATAACAACGATAACAAGGCGGTTGTCGCGCTTGTCCTCCCACGCCGAGACGAGTGGGGATTTGGAAGCTCAGGGTAGTAGTAGTGCTGGTGTTGGTGTTGGTGGTGGTGGTTGTGATGGTGGTCATGGTAGTAGTAGTAGCAATAGTAGGTAGCCATATGTAATACTGGAGTGACATCCGACGGGGACAGGTGGTGTGCTGTGCCACTTGGTTGAGGGCTCAGTAGGTGAGTGTAGGAGAGATGATTTGGTGGCCGTCCCGGACCGTAGAACGATCGACGGTGGGAGTCACCAACCACATCACATGACACAGATGGTGAGGGTGAGGGTGAAGAGAACAGACAATGCAGACGAGATGTGGGTGTGCGTGTGGTGTGGGTATAGGTGTGGGTGTGGGTGTGAGTGCGAGTGTAAAGTGTGAGTGTGAGTGCAAGTGTGAGTGAGTGTGTCGGGGGTGTGGGTGTGGCAGTGGTAGATGCAATGATTGGGTGGGCAACGAAAAGAAACACAGACGCGGGCGGGACTGCCCCGTCCAATCCCTCATCGTTCGTGCGTGTGCTGCTGATGCTTGGCTGGTGCTTGTGCATGTTTGTGCGTGGCTGCGTGCTCGACTGGCGCTGGCGGGATGCACTGACTGATGACTTTTTTTGCCTATCTGGGCAGACTGACTACGACTATCGCACATTGGACACCACGCCCTCCCAGACCGATACCTACCCTTGCTTGCCGACCGCGTCAGGACGGACAGACGAGGTATTTCTACTCGCGCCGCGCGCAACCCTCTCCGCCCCCTTCTCTCCTCTTCTTCTTCTTCTTTTCTTTCTCCTCCCACCATGTCCGCCGGTGCTCCCTCGCAGTCCATCGTCAACGCGACCAAAGCTGCCCAGCACGCTCCCGATAACACCGTCAACAACGCTGCCGACGTCGCTGCCACCTCTGCCCACCCGCCGCCCAACGCTCCCGACCCGACCGCCGCAGACTCTACCACCCCCAAGCGCGTCAAGACGAGTCACAATGGCCCCGAGGGAGGACTCGCCGCCACCGCTGCCTCCGGTACCTCCCAACTCGCCAGTCTTAAGGTAAAACTGAAAAGTGGCCTGCGACAATATCCCGATTTCCCGAGCCCCGGCATTCTCTTCGAAGACATCATGCCACTCTTTAGCAACCATGACCTCCATCAGAATCTCATCACCGCCTTGGAACTGCAGCTCGTCGACACATTTGGTCCACACCATGGGATCGATGTCGTGGTCGGTCTAGAGAGTCGCGGTTTTCTCTTTGGTCCGACGTTGGCGTGGAAAATCGGCGCGGGCTTTGTTCCCGTGAGGAAGCAGGGCAAGTTGCCGGGACAATGCATTACGGAAGAGTATCAGAAGGAGTATGGCTCGGACTCCTTCCAGATGCAAGGAGATGCGATCAAAAAGGGTGCCAAGGTGGTGATTGTGGACGATATCATTGCGACAGGTGAGTGATGATGATGATGATGATGTTGATGTTGATGATGATGATACATACCTCATCAGTCGTATATGCTGTACCTGTGCATGCTGACTGACATTCTTCCACAGGCGGCACTGCAGCTGCGGCCGGCAATCTCGTCCAGAAGCTTGGTGGTGAGCTAGTGGGATACGTTTTCATTATGGAGCTGGACTTTCTCAAGGGGAGAGACAAGCTGAATGCGCCTGTACACACTCTTCTCAGTGGACAGGACGAGGCGTTGGCGTCAAAATGAAGCTTTTGATTTCTTTTTTTTTGTTCTCTTTCGGAAAGGCGTGCTTGGGGGTATGACAAAAAGGAAAGATCGGATAGATGGTCTCGGGGACCGGGACATACCATACTCATCAGTCCGCAGACGACTGTGAGGACTCTTGACGAGATGAGGCTGTCTGTTGGGAATGGCAACAGTCTCGAAGCTCTATAGGCGTAGGCATAGTGCAGCTATGCAAGCCCTTGATGAGTGATTCAACCACTGCTGAACTACCCACATAGGAAGGCTGTTGCATCGACCTCAGTCTCGCGTCAATACCAATGACGCTGACGCCATTCATGGTTGTAGGTGACATGTTCTCGTTTGATGATGATACACCTGAACCATCGAACCCTCAACCACAGCTAACTCAACAGGCTAGTGGGAAAGCACCCTACCCGTACCTGACCGTAGGTATATCATACATGTATGTACCTACCTACATATACTTGCCGGGCCGCGAGGGTAGCCTGAACGAAGGAACTTCACTATAGCTAGAAGTATATAGTACAGTACGATACCTACTACGTACCTATATAGCATCGATACGTACAATCAATTATAACGGAAATTGAGACTCGATTGCCTGGTATAGGTACATAATACCTGATACCTTATACAAACAAGAGATGCAGAGATGCTTATAGTAGAGTGACTACCTACCTACGTTATATGTACTTACCTTAGTCAGTTATTATGCATGTTCAATGTTGTATGCTCTCTCTCTCTCTCTGTCCCTAATTTTTGAAAATGAGCTAGATGGTAGATTTTCCTCCGCCCCGCGCACGAGACGGTGCTCGAGCGCGGAGGCCGTGAACAGGGGACTTTTCTTAGCGCGTTGCTTGTTTTGTCCAATCAAAACCTTAGATAGGAAAGGTATGGACGTCTCGACTTCTGACCTAGGACTAGAAGCCTTGGCCCGTAAGTTGTTGGTATCTGCCCGGAAGCTTGTACCCGCATGTGCATGCCTCATTTCAACTTAGCCGGTACATGCGTATAAGTCATCATTTTCTTTTTTCCCATTTTCCTACTTCTTCGTTAAAATTCCTCGTTGTTCGTGAGGACATACATACATGTACACCTGAACTTACATGTCCTTCCGATCATTACTATCGAAAAACCTATCCACCATACTTATCTACCTACCTAATGCCAACGATGGCTTCGGCTTCGCCACCTTCTTCTCCTCCCGCTCAGGCCTATAATGATACAAGTACGACACTGCCGCCATGATTCGTCCCAGTGGCTTGGACCTAGGTATAGTTAGTAGTCGTAAGCTAGAAAGCATGAGCCGGTGCTTGGTCCTATTCTTCTCTTCTCTCTTGTCTTGTACAGCGAATTCGGCACCTGCCAGTGGAAGGTAGTATCATCTACTCCTCCATGCTGTTCTCGACATCGTATACTCTACGAGACAGGAGACAGAGAGAGAAAAGTCCTCGCTGAGATCATACGGCTGGAACTTGATCTAGACAATGCTAGCGCAGAAGAATCATGCTCTCCTCTCCCCTCCACCTCCAACATGACGTGCTAGAATTGCTGACGAATGGAATAGATGACCGGCAAAGATGTGAGGATGTCGAGAAATCCCTTCATCCACAAACCAGCCACACCCCCGTATCCCCGACGACGGGAGAAGAAGAAGAAGAAGAAGAAACCCCATTAGGCCCTGCGGGCAACAGCGTCACCACATGGTTCAAATCTTTCGAACGTACGCTCCTTCGCTGCAATATCGAAGCGCGCGGGATCCAACGCGTACCACCAGAAGATCGCCACGACCTTTCCCGCCATGGAGTGACACAAATTCTCCTCATCTGGATCAGCATCAACCTCGAAGCAGTCGTCATTGCTCTGGGATTTCTTGGACCGGTCGTCTACTACCTGCCATTCCTCGACAGCTGCCTCTTGGCCGTCTTTGGCTCCATCCTCGGAGCGGCGCCTGCTGCATACATCGCCACATTTGGGCCGAGATCGGGAAATCGTACCATGATACTCACTCGATTCATCACGGGATGGTATCCTAGCAAGTTGATTGTCGTTCTCACTCTCATTATTCTCATGGGCTATATTCTCATTGATGCGGTACTGGGAGGGCAGATTTTGAGTGCTGTCGCTGATGGCAACTTGAGCGTGATTGTGGGAATTGTGATTGTCTGTGTCATCACGTGGCTCGTGTCGACTTTTGGGTATACCCTCTTTCACCAGTACGAGAGATATGCCTGGTTACCACAACTGATTGTCATCTCCATCTTGGTGGGCGTTGCAGGACCCAAGTTTGATCTCTACGGCAATCCATCTGCGGGACTTTCACGCAATGTTATTGCTGGGAACAGGCTGAGCTTCTTTAGCTTGTGTCTTGCCAGTCAGATTACGTACGCGGAAGTGGCAGCGGACTTTTTCGTATACTATCCTGTCCATACTTCGCGGACCAAGGTATTCATCTCGACGCTCGCGGGTCTGACGCTTTCGAGCACGTTTGCCTTTGTCGTTGGCGTGGGTCTGGGTTCGGGAACTTTTACCAACCCGGAATGGGCGGCAGCGTACGAAGTCAGCCAAGGTGCTCTTCTTGTCGAAGCTTTCAAACCATTGGGATCCTTTGGCTCTTTCTGCAGTGTCGTTTTGGCATTGAGCTTAGTGGGAAATATGGTTCCTCCTTCCTACGCATCTGGCATTGACTTCCAGGCACTGGGTCGTGTGTGGGAGAGAATCCCCCGTCTGTTCTGGAACAGCATTGCACTCGTGATCCCCATGATCTGCGCTATCGCCGGTCGAGCTCACCTAGCAGAAATCTTTACCAACTTTCTGGCACTGATGGGGTATGTTCATGATTCTTCTGTGCCGATGATGCATTTCTGGCACCAATCGGGGGCCTTTTTTTTCTCGCGCTCACTAACTTTTGCGCGTTAGGTATTGGGTTTCCATCTGGATCGCTATTATTCTCGAGGAACATCTCATCTTTCGAAAATGGATGGGTCGGGGCTGGCAATGGGAGGATTGTAAGTCCAACAACAGACAAATCCTCGTCTCCAACACTTGCTAACCCTGGGATCTTTCTAGGGAACGACCGAACAAAATTACCTCTCGGCATTGCTGCCCTGATCGCTTTCCTCGTTGGCTGGGCGGGATCGATCTTATGCATGGCGCAGGTCTGGTATGTAGGACCATTGGCGGCCTTGATATCTGAGTATGGCGGTGATATGGGCAATTACGTGGGGTTTGCCTGGGCAGGTCTGGTGTTTCCGCCATTGCGCTGGCTGGAGTGGAGGAGATTTGGGCGATAAACACTATCATGGTCGCCCCATCAACGGTTGTAAGCATCCCGACTTGTAAGTCTGGCGCTGTAGAGACGATATACATCCTATTACCCATATGAGTAGGTGAAACCATGAAAGTGAGATATCGTAGGGTCCAGCTGAAAGTCACTTAGTACCTGACTGTACAACTGTATATTGAGTACGTAATCCGTCTCGCCACTAAACAAATATAGTTCAATAAGGGCACGGGTGTTTCTAACCCCCGCGTCCCGCATGTTTTGGTAGGCTTGGCTTTTTCCCAGATATCGTCGCGTTTTCTCCCTTTCCTCACACAGTATTCTCTCCATATCCACTCCATAATCACCACCACACCAGTAGTAAGTCGCGCCCCTGCCCTGCAGCAGCCAGCAGCACTCGGACCTGTCACCTCAGGTAATGATCTAATGATTCTCACAACAGACGCGACCGACCGAGGCTCTATTGAATTCCGTCTGCAACGCGACTGATTTGACTAATCATTGTCACCATAATCACCTCAGTACCTTACTGTTTACACGACGAACATCGATTTAATCATCACAGCTACATCCTAGCTGCATCGCCTCGTCGCACTCATGCCGCGTCCACCGGACAACTACACGCACGCGCAGTTCGAGTCGGTGGAATCAGAGCATCAGGGCGAAACGGTGCAATGCATCCACTGTCGCAACTGGACCGGTTCCATCAAGACGCTCAACCGCAAAAAGGCGCATCTGCTCAACTGTCCTCAGTACGCGGCGTGGCGCGCTGCGGGAAATGGACAAGACTTGGCGCCCCCTAATAAGTATAGCAAGCGTGATTCTGACCTGGCCGGCTGGCAAGGAGACGCCGAGTAAGCTGCCCCCAATAACGAAAAATACCCTCTCCCCACTCATCATCATAACACAACGTTACCATTTACGGTGGTGTCTAATACATCTTCTTTCTCCGTTGCAGTCACGGATATAATCACAGTCCATATGGCGCTCCACCACCACCGCAATTCTCGACGCCAGTCATGGTCCGCAGCAGGAACCTCGAAACCTCCAAGGTATGGTGATGAACACGATTGTGTTGTTGCGCCTGTTCTTGTTCTTGTTCTGAAAAGTTCATTCTAATCATATGCATAACCACTAGTACTTTGACGAGTTTTGGGACGACACCACCGGACAGAAAGTAAGTCGACATTCATCATCTCATCATCCTTTTGATCCCGCAAGCCGCCACCTCACGCGTATCATCGAATACTATCGAATGGGCTGGGGCGACTTCCGTCTCAGCGCATTGCAAGAAGAAATCCTCCCTGATATCGACGATTCTTTCTATGTCAACGAGCAGTTTGCTCCTGTCGACAACGGAATGCAATACGACACAGACTCAGTCACTTACGAATCGACAGTGCATGCGCGTCCGATGTCTATCATGCGGCTTCGTCCGAGCGAAGAACACGACCCGACAAGTGGAGCACCTCGCGGTATGTACAGACTTCCTGAACTCCACCGAGGGCCAGCAGGCAGTGGCGAACGGCGAATTGGAACTGGCACAACCGGGCCCGTCCGGCTACAGCAACGCAGCACTTGGCCCCGACATCTGGCGCGGCGGAAAGCCGAACCCGAATCTTCAAGTGGGCGGACGACCCTCTATGGAATCGATGAATCCGATGAGAGCACCGCAGCGCCCACAAGCCTCCCTGGTCAATCATCTCCTCAACAAGTGGCCCGAAAAGTTCACCAAGGCCACCCAGCAACAGTTTCTGAGCCACGCCGGCTGCGGAACGCTGTCGGCCACCGCGCTTTCGCATTGGCTCGGACAGAACGGGCACATCTCACGCGCGATGATCGCTTTCATTGGCAACCTGATTGGGAAGGTACGGCTGCCGGACGTCAGCAATAGCAAGCAAAGCACTCAGTTCCGCGCTCTCGACCTTCTCATTTCGACCGTGTCCAATCTCCGAAAGGAGATTGACTTTATCGAGATCACGAAGCGCAAGTACGGACTACAGACGGACAGTGAACCCCCTTTGCCCATGACGAAAGCATACTTGGATCTCCTGATCGCCTCGGCAGAGTCGCGTAGCTCTCTGCTCGAAGGCATGGTGGCCTTGTGGGCGACGGAGCACGTAAGTCGTTCACCACCCCACCTGCAGTGAGCATGCATACTTCTTGGCGGAACTGACATGTCTTTGTGCTAGTGCTACTACAAGTCATGGCAATACGCGTCGAATTTCGCTTCCACCATGCCGTCTTCCAATTATACCGTTCCTTCCTACCTGACTGGAAACGGCGTTAACTACGGCGCGGGCGGACAGACGCCTGCATTCCGGACAGGCGGCGGCGGCACTAACAGTAACGACCAGCACGTGTCCGCTCTGCAGGAAGCACTCATCCCCAACTGGACATCGCGCGAGTTCAGTAAATTTGTCGACGCGTGTCGAGCCATTGTAGACGAACTCGCCAACGCCGAAACCACGGGGAGCGGTCGCGATCAGCTGGTCCGATGTGAAGGGGTCTTTCAACAAGTCATCTTCCTCTGGGAACGCATCTGGCCCGAAGTCAACGGCATGGGCGAAGAAGAAGGCGGCGTGCAAGACGACTCTGCCGCCGAATCTCCCGAAGTCCAACTCCGACCTCAAAACGGCAATCACGACGCCAGCGGGCCTTCGGCCACGAATGGGAATGGGAACACCCAACAAGAAAGCCGCAAGACCGAAGCGATCGAAATCCAAGACGAGGACGCGGAGGAAGAAGACCATGGAAATGAAGACGCCCCGGTCGAGGATATCAATTCGCCCTATGGTGGTCTCGGCGCCATTGCAGCCGCCAATCGAGGGGATTAGCATCCATCTTAATCATCACTTGGGATAGCAATTCTCCACGCTGGCTGGCTGGCTGGCTCTTGCGAGCTCTCTCAAAAAAAAGGTGGGTTCTTGAACTTGAAAAGAAGAAGAAAAGGGGAAAAAAGGTGGTGCTGTAGCAGAGGAATCAATCAATTAGCTTCCTCCCCCTACAAGCAAAGTATTATATACCCACTCTGTACCTACCTTACCTACTTAGGTAGAAAGCAGAGTAATGCTTATTCAAGTTCAAAACTGTTCTTTTTTTTTTTCATTTCCTCGCATTTTACTCCATTCTTGTTTTCTTTTCTTTTTTTCTCTTTCTTTTTTCTTTTCTTAAAAACCCTTAGCTACTTACCTACATTTCCTGTGTTGTGAGAAATCCTTACCTTGTGAGAAATCTTGCCTTGTGAGGAATCGGTTCACTAATACTACTACTTTCTAGGTAGGATCTGTGAAAAATGTCTTCTTCTTTTCCCTTACTCTGGTGACACAGTGACATGTTAGCCTCTAGCAGGTAGGTAGTAGGTAGGCAGGTAGGCAGGTAGGCAGGTAGGCAGGTAGGTAGATAGGTAAGTAGGTAAGTAGGTAGGTATACATCGTGAATGGCTCTGGTTCTTTTTGGTTAATGCAATTTGTTTTCCCTTTCCTTTCCACCCTTTTCTTTCGGGACTGTCCTACCCTACCTAGTACACGTGAGTTGTTCGCGCAAGGTTTCGAAGTTTCCTTTTTGGGAGGGGGGTTGTCTTTTTTTCCTTTCTTTTTCAATTTGTAGACTGTGCTATTTGTCTGCCTGTCTGTCTATCGCTGGTTCAAGTCGAGGGAGTTGTGTCTGGTAGCACTTCCCTAACAGACAGGAATCACCTGGTTGGTTCCGGTTGGACTCTGGCTGCTCTGTGTCTATGTTGTTGCCATGATTCGTGGTCCTCCCTTCTTTGCAGTCGATGATTGATTACGACTCCGCTTCGAAGAGAGTCTCTGTGGCCCAGAATCGGGATCATAGCTGCTGCTGAGAGACAATGAACCCATCCTTTCCCCCGCGGCCGCAGGCATCAAGAACAGCAGAGGACCGATCACAGGCCGTGCGCAATTACCGAGAAAACCTGCGTAAAACAAAAAGAAAAACAAAGTCCCCCACTCCCCAACTACCTCGTCGTATCGACCACCCTCATCCAGTCGCCACGTACATCTCCTGCAAACGCTCACAGAGCCAGTCCCACTCATCGTCCAGCATACGGATACGCCTTCCACGACAGACCACCACGAACGTGTCCATCAGCTCCCGAAAAGCCGTGTGTTCTACGGGGCCGCGCATCGTCTTCTCCAACAGCGACCGACGGAAGGCGACCTTGAACTTGCCGGTGTGGCCATGGCGTATACACCAGGCTTCTGCCCACTCGATCATGGCCGTCCAGTCCTCGTACTCCACGACGGTCGTCGTGATGTGGTGTGACCACGCCCACTCGCCGAGGACGAGGAGCATCTTCTCTCCCATCTGGTTTTTCGCCTTGGTGTCGTCGGTCGTTCCGGATAAGTAGCTTTGTGTTGAGAATGGGGCGTGAGGGTCCATCGCTAGGAAGTGGTTCTGGTGTCGGTATGTGTGTCCAGTCTCTGTCGCTGGAGGCATTGGCGGCGTAGTCAACGGCTCGAAATTGAATTGGTCCAAGCTTTGTGGGTCATACCAGCGACCACTGTAGGGTGATTCCACTCCCAGCGCTGCTTCTACGCCCGCCATGTCGCCTGCGTTCATTATCCAACCATACCGCCTGTGAAGAACAGACAACTGACACGGGCAGGCACCGCGGGAGTCGACCATGGAAAAAAGAAGTGCTCATCACTACTACGAAGGGGGTGTCTTGCGGTGTTGTACCCGAACGACTGCATCGCCGCAGCCACAAATATAGCAGCACGGGGATATGAGCAGCAATGCAGGCCCACGCTTTCGGATTGATACTCTCCTGAGTGGCCCGGGCTGGCGCTGGTCACTGTGCTCTCTTCGAGCGAGGTTGCGGGATGCAACGCTTCTCATGGGTGGCTTCATCCAGGGGGCGACAAGCTTCGTGACAATGTGCGACCCGGTTTTCCTGATGTGTTGCGACAGCATCGCTTGCTTTGCCATCTCAGAAAGCAGGTAGCGCTAGGCAAGACGTTAGACATAAGGCCTGCGCCCAAAACTCTGTAATGGAAGTGTCTTTCGCAATTCGGTGCGGGATATCGATTTCGACCTGACAAGATGGAGAGGTATTCGTCGACAGGTTTACACAATGGTGTCGGAGCCAGCGCGCAGATTGTATGGGGCCTTTGGGATCCCCAGGCGGCTGACATACTGAAGGACTCGCGGCGAATGAGAATGACGTGCTCTGCGTCCTAGAGCTCCATCGGCAGTGGTCAATGAGATGTTCATTGCCCTAAACCCAATGCGAGGCTGCCCAGATGTACTGTTTCGCGTTCTGAGTCCCATGATAGCACTGGCAATCACGACTGGCAGGCTCTCGCGCATTCAATTCCACTGCGTATGTGAAAACATGCAGAATGTGCGTGAGTTCGCTCGGGATTATTGCCGTGATCTGCCTGTTGACTAGTTGTACGATGCGGACATTGTTGTAGTCACACCCTCGAGAGACTCTAATCTTAGTTGGTGTTGGTGGCTCTGTTGGAAGAGTTGTGCCGGCACACTGTCCGCCTGAGCAAGAATGGTGACAAATGATTTCTGATAGCTGGAGATGTTCCGCAGTCTGGCGACTTGGAGCGCAGCTAGGGACGCACCTAAGCTCCCACTAACGATATACGTTCCGACGGCAGTGCTTAATGTGACTGTTCTTCAATGAGGCTAGGTGGTGAAGTCCTGAGTGCCACGTTCTCCAAGACGCTCGACAATCTTGGCGGACAAGACGATATGGCCAGTCTTGATCGCTGGTCCCAGCCACTTCTGGAGTTGATTCCGATTGATGCTAACAGCTTCCACGATGGTGTCTCGAAGTCATGGCCCTCAATTCACCTTGTAGATGACCAAGTCCCTCGTGGAATCGCTGCTGCACCGTCGACATCTCCGTGCTGAGTCCGCATCTATAGCAAAGCTACGGCGCTTGCGAGCCGGATCATAGTTACGAAGGAGATGGCATCTGTATCCTGCTGTGCGCCAGCTCAGTCAACTGAGAGGCTCAATGAGCACAGCATTCGTGAACAGTGCGATCACGCAGTCCAGATAACTTGTGATCATATACCAGAGGTCTGATTGCAGCAGCAGCAAGGTTGAGCATGCTGGAAGTAGGGTATCGTCTTTTGGTTCATCGAAAGGAGCTGATTACTCCGAACACGTGGCAAGATCGTCCGATGCATTCTGCAGTGTTTGACGACAATGGTTGTGTTTGTGTACAATATAAGAGTCGTCCAGCGGGTGCAGTGACTTCACTTGATGCTTTCAGCTCGACAGGCAGCGCAGTCGACCGGAAAGTTGCACTCGACGGAGACTCCGTGCGCCACGATATGGATGTTGTCGACGTTCCCTCAGCGTGGCGTGGAGGGCTGCAGTGAGGAGCAGAAAGGAAGAGTGAGGTTGGCTGCCGAAAAAGCGTGGCGCTACGAAAGTTCTCGGCTTGGCACACACGGACCCTTCCCTTCCTCCTCCCTTCCTCCTCCATTTCTGATGGTGATGATGAACGTCTATACCATACCGTACACCCATCTCGTACACACCTACAGGTACACATGAATTTGACGTGGACGTTTGCCCCTCTCAGCTTCTTCCACGCAATGCCGCCAGAATGGTAGTGTCCCGTCGCCGCTTTGGTCAGGATTGGCAGATTGCTGCTTCTGGACGGAGCAAATAACAACATACCTTATCATAACGCGCAGCTCACCGCACTGAAGGACTCTACCATTTCCGTTTTTGCCATGATAAAGCAGATGAATCACCCTTCTCTCCTGGCTCTGTGGCGAATCCCCTGACCATGACTGGTCCAAGTGAAGAGCAGCAGCAGATGAAGGAATGATACAGCAAGCCAGTGGTGCCCGACGTGTCCCGGCACTCGAAAACGTGGTCGCCAGACTCTGACCGCGGCTGCAATTTGTGGCGGCCGTGCAGCATTCTTGGCTAGGACTCGAGCCTGCACGTCAATCGGACTCGATCCGAAGCGAACGGCTTCACTTCTTTTGCAGCTAGATATACATCAACGCTCGTCGTAGCGGGTATAGTTGTAGGCACTTGCTGGAAGGTCCGGAGCCGCACATATACCACGAACATGCACGGACCGCTGGTTCATAGCATTCTTGCATGTCCCTGGAAACGTAGCAGTGGACCAGGAGCGTGGAGGAGTGAGGGTATACGCAGATCGAAACCTTGACCGAGTGCCTTGCAGATGGAGGTAACATATTAAAGCTTTCCTGGTGACACTGTCGGTCTCCAAGCTGCGCTGTCGCAGGTCTCTATCAACGCGATTTACACTGCTGGCCATGATTTCCCATTGTACGCCTCCAGACGCTCCTGCTTCGACCTTCCGACCGCACAAGTGCGCTCGGCATCCCCGTGGCTCCCAAGTACGCTACCTGTTGGCTTTGAAGAGATGAACACGCAACACATCTTAATCCCGAGCCTCATGCATCTAGTCGGTAGACTAGACACCGTGGTACCAGAGGATATCTCTGCAATGGCTCGACTAGACGAGATACAGCAAGCCCTGATCGATTGGCAAGTCGAGGATGTGACTGCCACCACATATTGCCCAACGCGGACGGCACTCGAGGACGAAGCCCTACGCCAGGTCTATCTTCACATGCGTCTAGCTGCATTAGCAGTCTGTGGCTTCATCCGCTTCTCCATGAACACCACCGCGCACGAGTTCCTTTAGAGCATGTATAGCGAGTCCATGCTCCTGCAGCCCGAACTGCTGATTGGAACCTGTTTTGAAGCTCTCTTACTATAGTGTCTCATCAGAATTAGTTCCACCAGTGGCCACTGCGAATATGGAAATACCGTATATGCGAATTTTGAAGATATTGTCCGTGCAACTCGGCCACTCCTGCTTGGATACTGCCCCTGCTGGCTTGACCAAGTATATGTACCCCGAGTCGCTTGACACTGCAGAGCGTTAGCTTTAGCCTTTGTGGCAGGCTCTCAGCGAGAGCATAGTTGCCCACGACTCGAGTATTGGCGCGACGGAACCGACTCGCGATGCGAAGAGCATCAGACATCCCATCACTCACATTGCAGCACTCGTAGCTGCCGATGGATGAGCAGAAGTACCCCTCCGTGCAGTCTGCTGGATCAATCTACTGGTCGGCCAACCGGGCTCCCTCATCAAGATCCTCTAGGAAACCATAATAGCCAAGCATTGCCATGATTGAGGCGAAGCTTCTACACGCCTAATTCTGGACCTCTCGACCAAGCACTCCATGCAAGCCGAAGAGAGACTGCCGACGGTCAAATTTCATCCGTTTACAACGACGTATAGGGGTACTCACGAAATCAGAGCAGCGCACTGTGACCAACAGCTGACATGAATGAACATGGCAATGAGGTAGTGGAGGGTGAGTGACGCTCTCGTTTGCATAAACCGGAGCACCGCAGCATGAAGAAGAGTACTACCGTATGTGTGCACCATTTCCCCTATCATCCACACTGCTGCACTACCGACTTTACAGAAGCAAGACCTCGTACTACCCCCTCCGAGTTACGAGCTTCGCTGCAGGCAAGCCTGTTCGTCGCCCGAAACAACAGCCGCCACTGCGTGGAAGCTGTTGTCTATCCGCCAGAGTGAAGCCCCAGTCTCTTGTCTACGTAGTGACGATGTTACTTCTTTGGATTGCCGTTCGCTTGATTGCAAGATGGGGCATTGTCTGGATCATCGCCAATTGGTGGGCAGCATTGGATGCCTTGTGCTCCGTATTTAATGCAAAGTTCGAGATACTCGTCGGAACACTTGCTGTAGAAGTCGTTAAGACCAGTGCACTGCAATGAGTTCTGTCAGTATGTATGTAGTATACCGGGCAGAACTAGTGAAAGCGGTGGAGAGTCGTACGTGCAGCCAACCATCGAGCGTGTTGGTTTGGGTAATTTTGCCATCTGGGTTGCCAGCTGTGCCATTCAGAGCGCCGCAGACGAGGAATGTAACAGCGTCGTCCGGAACGAAGGTATCGTCTTCGTAATAGGGTGATGCACACACTAAATATTCATCCGGGTCGATTGCAAGTACGGAGCTATCTTCGGATATCAGCTCTCTGGCATACTATAGGTATATCGAACGATGGAGTAGCGCAAGGTTGGCTGCTAGATCGACGGAAGTTTTTCAACTTACCTGCCCATGAGAGCCAACGCGAGCAGAAGTGAGTGCATTGTTCTTGATTTGATTGACCTTGGCAGGAGGTGATTCGAAGTAGAGGATCAGATATCTTTCTTCTGGTGATGACGGCAACCGGTAGAGTAAGACTCAAGGTAAGATATAGCAGTCTCGCAGAGAGAAGGAGAGACACAAGAGATCATCAAGGAAGGTGGGTTTTGTTTCCTTTTCGGACCCAGATCCTCCCGTCAGCGCTGTACCTACATTAGGCTACATATAACATGATGTACAGTATTTACAAGTGACAATTGCAGTCTCCAGATGGGTGGAAATTAGCATTGTAACGAGCCAATGGAATCACCCAGATTCTGCTATAAACACTACCAACACTTTCAAGGAAAGGAGAACTAACAGAGATGTGCCTTGCCAGGCGCAAGGGGGTCTCCGCGGGACCAATGGGGGAATTAAAGATTCCCAGTCTCACACAATGACACCATGTCGACCACGACATCCATGAACAAGGTTGCTCTGACATGATTTTGGTCGTCCCAAGAGGAAAAGGAGAGGTCCTTGCACGGGCATGTTGGGTCAATTTCCCTTTCCCAGACGGAAGGCCAAAGTGGCCAACTCTCATGAATGTACCTCACCTTATAAATCTACTGTATACAGCACCTTTCTTTGATTCTACACCTTACCGTTACTACCTCACCGTCGCCGTATACGGCGTACAGCTTTGTCGCTGCTGCCGCTTTATCGGTATAAGTTACTTATTAGGTCGCTGCCGCTGCCGCTGCCGCTGCCGCTGCCGCTGCCGCTGCCGCTACCGCTGCCGCCGCCGCCGCCGCCGTCGCTACGGAGGCAGCGGAGGCAGCGGAGGTAGCGGAGAAAGCAAAGGGCAGCGGAGGCAGCGGAGGCAGCGGAGGCAGCGGAGAAAGCAGAGGGCAGCGGAGGCAGCGGGGGTAGCGGAGAAAGCGAGGGCAGCGGAGGCAGTAGAGGCAGCGGAGAAAGCGAGGGTAGCGGAGAAAGTAAGGGTAGCGGAGGCAGTAGAGGCAGCGGAGGCAGCGGAGAAAGCAGAGGGCAGCGGGGGTAGCGGGGGTAGTAGAGAAAGCGACAGTAGCGGAGGCAGCGGAGGCAGCGGAGGTAGCGGAGGTAGCGGAGGTAGCGGAGGTAGCGGAGGTAGCGGAGGCAGCGGAGAAAGCAGAGGGTAGCGGGGGCAGCGGGGGTAGCGGAGAAAGCGAGGGCAGCGGAGAAAGCGAGGGCAGCGGAGGCAGCAGAGGCAGCAGAGGCAGCGGAGGTAGTAGAGGCAGCGGAGAAAGCAGAGGGCAGCGGGGGCAGCGAGGGCAGCGGAGAAAGCGAGGGCAGCGGAGGCAGCGGAGGTAGTAGGGGCAGCAGAGGTAGCGGGGGCAGTAGAGAGAGCGGGGGCAGCGGAGGTAGCAGGGGCAGCGGAGATATATTACGGCGGCGGCGGCAAGGTAGACTATATACAACAGCGGTAAGGTAAGGTAGTAACGGTAAGGTGCAGAATCAAAGAAAGGTGCTGTATACCGTAGAATTGTGAGGTGAGGTACGTTCATGAGAATTGGCCACTTTGGCCTTCCGTCTTCCCACGGCCATCCGGGATCCCTCCGGAAGTTACATGCTAGGATTTTGGATTATTCAAATGCGTCAATCGCAGTTCATTGTAAAAAGATCTAAACTTCTCCCTCCAACATGTCTTCGAATGCTAGCCTTCGAGTATTTAAATAATTCGACACGCCTCAGAATGCAATGAGGCCCTTGGAGAAGTGAGACAGGAAACCCTCACAGAAGTGCTTTTCAAGGTCGCCAACACAACCAAAGCGGTTTCATATCAACCAACAACATACCTGGTGAACAACACTCATTAGCCATTTACTGACCTCTTGGTGACTTTAGCCTTGACTCTCTTGGGTGTTAACCCTCTTGACCTCCTCAAGTCCTCGTCAATCGATCACCACAACCGTCTATCAGTGATACCCCTTTCAAGGCTCCTGCGACCCGAACGCGTACAAAGGTTCGAAAGCGCACCAATCTTGCTCTGCTTCGCCTTCGTCCGTGCAGACTGTTCTAGGGTGTGAATGGCCTCTCCAACGCATGGGGTTCGAAACTCTCATCGAGGAGTTGTCTGACTGTCATGGACTGCATGAGTTTTCTGTTGCAGCAGCGCGAATCGCGGACGAACAGCCGTTGGCATACCTAGGCAAGAGCTTGCGGAGATGAAAGTAAAGTTGAGGTGGTGAAGTCTATGATGCTTGCGAATGATGCAGTGCAATTGATTAGTACGGTGAGAGGTCCGCGAGACGGTGCTGGAATATGGATGTTTCTCATTACTCTAGCTGCCAATTGCGTTTATATACTCTTGGCAGGTAGACGGTTTCGTGGAAATCCTACTCTTTCTCTTCTGTGCAAGAAGGCAGTAGGCGGCTTCCGAGCACAAACGAGACGGATTTGCCTCAAACGCAACATAAGACACTGCGCGACATTCACTCGAAGCTGATCCTTTTCCCTGTACCAGCGACGGCTGCACCGGTAGCCTTTCCACTTCGCTGGGCATTCGCCAGTGCGGCACCAGGAGCAGTAAGCCTCGCGTCGTGCTTCTTTCGTCTCAGCTCTTGTCTCTGGTCTTTATCCAGACCCTTCAATTTAGGATCGCGTTTCTTTTTGTTGTCTTTTGGTGCGTCTCGTGCAGCGGCGGCTTGTCTAGCCAAGCCTTCTATGCTCTCCTCGCCAAATTCTTCTGCGCCAGTGTTGGCCTGCTTCTCGCCCCCTGCGAGAGTATCCTGCTGCTGCTTGGACCCGCCTTTTCCATATCGCTTGGTGTATCTGGTTTGTTTGTCCTCTGCGAACTCAAGCTTCATCATGCGGCCGTGGATGCGGTTGATGAACCACTTCATGGGCTTCTTTTTCTTCTTCAAATGTCGCTTCCTTTGCTCTTCAGTGAATTCCTCGCTGTCACTCCCCTCTTTCGACTCTTTCTGTGCACCTTCCTCATCGTCGCTCGCGTCGCCGTCTTTCTGGTCCTTGAATATGAAGCCCTTGACAGCCTTTTCAGCAGATTCGACATCTGCAAACGTGATCCATCCGAAGCCTTTGCACTTTCCGCTGTCTTCGAAAGTAGCCAAAAAGACATCTTCCACCACTCCAGCTTGTGCAAAGTGCTCGGACAGCTCGTCTCTTGTGATGTCAAAGCTTAGATTACCTACGAACACGCGCTTGCTAGGGGCTTTCGTGCTGACGTTGCCATTCTTCGCCGCGTCTTCTTCCGCCTTGCTTTTTGCAGGTCGACCCTCGAAGCTTTTGGCGTCCTTGATCAGCAATTTGCGACCATCGAGCAACTTTTCGCTGCACGTCAGAGCAATGTTCAAGACGGCCTCGGTGGTGAAGTCAACATAAGCGAAACCTTTGTTCTGCTTCGTGTTGTGATCGACAGGCAGATTGGTGCGCGTGATGGACGTCTCGTCGATGCCGCCTCGTTCGAGCAGGAACCGGCGCAGAGAGTCCTTAGTGGTCTTGAAGGAGAGATTGCCAATCCACACGCCATGGTCGGATCGCTTCCCGGCTTCCTCGCCCTTGGCGACGGGCACTTGCAGACTGCGCGTCGGATGAATCTGATCTTCGACCGCTGTTACTGATGCTGTTGTCTCGCCATCTGCTGTCTCTGCCTGCTTAACCGACTTGGACTTGGACTTTTTCTCTTTGCGCTTGGCTTTCTTCGACGGCGGTTCGGGCAAGCTGATGTCAATGGCGAGGTCATCGTCCTTTTCGACGCGCTTGCGCTTCTTCTCGGTCGTCATGTCGGGAGAGGATGACATGGTATCGCGGGACATGGTGTACGTTATGTAAATGCATGTATAAGGTGAAGGTATAGCAAAGTGGAAGTGAGGAAACTTTTTGAGACTTGGACAAATAAGCTCTCGGTTCGTCCTTCCGAACGCGCTGTACGCAGGGATCTCAGTTCGCGTCCCCAAGCTCAGCACCTCCTACCTGTAGGTGGTAACCTCGCCCACGGTTGCTTCCAATGACATCGACACTATAGGACACGACACCACACTACACCACACCATACGACACCGACCACCAAATATTCATGAACCCACTTCTATGGTATCCATAGCACACGTCTAGGACTCTCAAGCGCACTGACCAGCGACATATCGACGCCAGCGACAAGATGGACGACGGCGCTCGCGTGTCCGACAGCGACAGCCATGCGCATCCCGAGACGGGCGGCAAGTCGCTCGCAGCAGCGGCGGTAGAGACAGGGGGAGGCGAAGGCACCGTCGGAGGCGGAGGGGGCGGAGCAGCAGTGGCAGTGGCAGTGGCAGAGCGGCCTCGATATAAGTCGTACCGCAAAAAGTACCGCAAGATGCGACAAAAGTTCGACGGCGTGCTGGAGGAGAACAGGCGACTCTACAAGGAGGAACAGAAGATGCAGAGCACGGCGGGACGACTGCGCGAGGAGCTGGACGGCCTCCTTGACATCCTGCTCGACTTCAACCAGAATCCGGCCCTTCCTACCCACTTGCGCTTCGACATTACCCCTACCGACGTCCACACGGCCATCGCTTCCATCCCCAGCGTCGTTCCTTCGCACATCACGCCGCAGGCTGCGAACGAACTCTTTCTTGACTACACCAACGCTGTGCAACGCGGCCAAATCCCACATCTCGACTTGCATGTTATCCGCGAACAGATTGACAACAAGCTTGCTAGACAAGGCTTGACTGCTCTGGAAGCCCTCGAGAGAGACGTCTCGCACACACGAGCGACCATTGAGAGTGTAACGCCTGACGCCATTCATCCTGACTCTTCATCCAGCTTCTTAACATCACAACAAGAAGACGAATATCTGCTGCGCATGGACGCTGGTCTCAAAGACCCTGCTGCCGTGCTGAAGGAGAAGGAGCAATCTTCCGACGACCTCAAGCCCTGGGCTGACTTGACTGTCCGGGAGGCCGAGCGACAAACTGAGCTACAAAATCCACAAAGCCAGCACAACTGGCTGAAGACGCACGCGAAGCAGTCTGGTCCTACTGCGGACATTGACGATACCGACAGCATCGACCACAAGCCACCCCGCGGTGCTGGAGCTAAAAGGAACCTCGCCAAACAAGTCGGTGATCGGTCTCTCGGTCGCGCCAGAGAGGGTGCGAGTCCCGCTGGTTCATTTGGCGACGACGAGGATCCCAGTGGCTTTGTCGACGATCACCCCAAAAAGCGAAGTCGGGACCCCGACAGCACTTATCGAATCAAAGGGGGCAAGAGCAACGCTGCGAACGGTAAGGGCAAGCGCAAGCGGAGCAACGAGACTCCCAGTGGGAGCGCGAAGAAGGCCCGAATAGAGGACGAGTGACTGTTGCCAATGTCACCATGAGCGTGTGCACGAATCGATCAAAAGCAAACCGGCCCTGTGATGAAGAGATACCTTGCACGCCTTGCATACTTCACAAGTTGTGCGAGTTCTCAGGTTCCCTCTACGCTGGGCCGCCATCGCAACTGTCGCTCGGGCAGGAATCAAGACAGAGTACAAGTCCTCCTGCTAGGAAGGGCTATCTTGGATCGATGAGCTTAGGTCGACCGGATGCGATGCGGAACAGCTGGACAGTTCCTGTTACAGTGCCGAATGCGTGCAACGATACACCATTCATTCAAGAAAAGAGTCAAAAACTACAGAGTGACGCTATACGTACGGCTACAGGTAGCAATGGCAAATACAACCGCAGTGATTGCGATGAGGGGAAACGAAAAGTCGCTGCGTACGAAGTTCGTATTTGCCAGATCTTATTTGACAAATACGGCAACGCAGTCGAATCATTGCCTGAACCGGTACATGGCTTCAATATATCTCTACCACAGTCAAAGCAGAAGAAGGCTGCACATGATCTACGGATTCGACAGATCTTTTTTGACGTTGATCGGTATGGCAATGCAGTCGAAGTTGATCAGTACGGCAATGCAGTCGAAATTGATCGGTACGGCAATGCAGTCGAAGCTGATTGGTACGGCAATGCAGTCGAAGCTGAGCGGTACGGCAATCTAGTCGAAGGAATGACCAAACTGGTCCCAGGCCCTGTTCGTTCTGATCACTCCTCCAAGATTTCCGAACCTTCGCGCAATAGCTTTGTGGCATCGACAATGCCCATGGAACAGGGCAGATTGGTGTCGGAATCGCCTCACGAACATCGGATGCGCTGCACCGCCACCCCTGCACGACAGACTGTCACTCCGCCTCCCAAGACTACTGCGACCCTTGATAAAGCGAGCTATGAGAACAACCACAATCGTGGACAGTCCGGCACAACACCACTGCCGCAACATCAGATCGCGGATCTTGCGGGTCCATCAGACTTCATAGACTCTCCGTTGGGTGAATCCTGGTTGTCTATTCCCTCGGCTGCGCCTCATATTCCTTTGTCATCGACGGTCAGTGTGAACCCGATCCAGACTGACTCTTATACCCCTCTATCACAAGACAAGGTCGCTATTCCTGATGAGGTCCGTGATCAAAATTCTGGGCAGCCTAGCACCACTACACCACACTCGCATCTTCCGATTGCCACTCAAGCAGGTCCCAGAAACCCCGCGGATGCATATAGTCGTGGTGTGCTGGAACGAGAAAATGATAACGGAGTCTTCCACCAGAAGATTGATTTAGCCAAACAGTACTGGATTGGTCTCGACCGATTCTACGCATTCTCAGCATATCCTCTGGGGGATGCATCCGTATTAGTGAAATTAGTAACATGGTTCGCGGTGAATGCAGTCACTGCAAGGGGCGGGCCCGATAGAGTAACTCGAGAAGGAAAATGGGGCGACGTGCTTGAGGATGTGGCACGGGTGCTGGGGCCTACCGGTCCGAATTCAATGACACCGGAGAACCTGAAAGAGTTCTATATGCGGCGGGTTTCCAGGTACGTACGCCAATTGACATACATTCCCACTCGGTACGCACCCCATTGTTGTGCTGGCACAATGACACACGTCGCGGAAAGGCATCTGCGTTTCCTAAGACACATGCTCACTTTCAGCTCTCACTTGTAGGTACGAAGAAAGTCGAAGTGTGGGCAAGGGCGTCAATGCGACTAGGAACGATGGCTTCACCAGAGCTGTCAATCGGTACTAAAATGGACTCTTAAACTTCCATCGGGACGCCGATGCTTGCTCTCAGCGAGAGATCGTTGCCGTATCTCTCATCAGGTCCCTGGTGATGGCGAGAGGTGGTTTTGAGTCCGTGATACGCAAGGGACGATGGAACGAAGTGTTCGAAGCAATGCCGAGAGATCTGCAGTGGAAGAGGAAGAGGAAGAGATATGTGAACCAAGATTTTGAGGTCTTCCGGCGGCAAATTCAGCCGTATGGAGAGTATCTGCGTTCGCTGCCGCCTTCCGCCGACATGTTTTGACAGCAATCCAAAAAAAAAGGCAGATTCATCCACTCGCGGAATAAATTTCATCATGATATTCGCATCACTCATTCACGTGTGTCGAGCACTGGAAATCGTAGACAGGTTTAGTCGGCATGAGGCGTGTGGCGAAACAGGGTTTGTCTTCAACCGTAGAAAAAATGTATCAAACACTACATCTCTCGATACACATCTATCTGCTCCGACTGGGGTTTCAATGTATATATGTATGTGTATCCCCTTTGTTTCCTTTTGAGGCTGCGGCCGTGCTTGAGCAAGAGAAACTCAGCAGGCAGAAGGCTTGGGGTAATCTTTCTCTTGGTGGTCAGTGATTCAAGTAACGCTTCACAATCTTGATGAATCCAGTAGCGCCTTTTTCCTCCTCTTCTTCCTCCTCTCCTTCCGATGACGATGATGACGATGACGATGCACTACGGACCTGTTTGTTGTTTGCAGTGGAAGTCGCAGTGGTGGCTTGTGCTGCTGATGCATCTCCTCCGTTCATGACTTCGGGGGTGTCGTCGTGGTAGCGGTCGTTAGATGTATCATCATCTGTTACGTAGTCTGCTTCTACACTCTCGTTTTCGTCGTCGTCGTCGTCGTCCTCGGCTTCTTCGGGAAAGTCGCGTTTTCGTGCTTCGTTGGCCCAGGATGGGACGTCATCGTCATCATCATCCTCGTCGTCGTCTTCTTCTTCTTCTTCTTCGGGGTCATTGTCGTCACGACGCGTTATGGTGGAGTCGTCGTCGTAGCCTGTAAGGGAGAAGTCTACGCCGGCCGGAAAGTCTGCTTCGTCTGGGGTGGGATTGTCGCGGCGTGTGAGAGTGGAGTCGTCTTCTTCGTCTTCTTCTTCTTCGTCATCGTAGTCGTCGTAGAGGTCGTCATCGGAAAGATCATCGCGACGTGGAAGGCTGGCGTCATCGTCGGTTTCATGGCCAGGGCCGTAGTTCTTGAGATGACTTGATATTGGCATGTCACCTGTCAGCGACTCGTCAACGTCAAATAAGTCACGGGCGCTGAGTGTGTTATCGTCGTCGTCGTCCAGAGCAGCGAGGTCGTAACCCTCTAAAGAGGTGTCGACTTTGCTGCTGCCGAGCTGGGACTCGACAACAGAGGCCTCTTGCGCAAGTTCCTCGCGTGCCAAAATGATGGAGCGTTTTTCTTCGCCGAGATCGGTCAAGTCGTAGCCGTCCAAGGACGTATCCACTTTATCGCCATATGCTGCTTTGACAGCTGGCGCTTGTTGGTCAATTTCCTCGCGAGCTATGATGATAGAGCGTTTGGTGACAGTGTCTTGGCTGGCGTTGTCATCTTCCAGGTCTCCAAGATCGTAGCCTTCGAGAGATGTGTCTACTTTGCTTCCATACTGAGACGTGACAGCCGATGCAGCTTGGGCGATATCATCGCGAGCCAGAATGGCGGAACGTTTCGAAATGGTATCTTCGTCTTCCGTATCGCCGAGGTCGTATCCGTCTAGCGAAGTGTCTACATTGTCGCCTAATTGCGCCTTGACAACAGTGGCTTCTTGAGCGATTATCTCGCGGGCACGGAGGGCAGAGCGCTTTTGCTGTCCTTCTTTCAATGCTTCGGTGACGAGATCATGATCGTAGCCGCTCAGGCTGGTGTCAACATTCGCGCCATATTCGGCTGCAAGAGAAGCGATTTGGTCGGCAAGAGCGTTGCGAGCCAATATGTGAGCAGCATTGCTCTGTCCTCTCGAGGGGAGGACTAGGCCCAACAAGGCGATGGGCAACCAGAGAAGATAGAGAGTGCGCAGAGACATGGTCGTTGTCATTGCCGGTAGGAGGCTCTGGGTATGTTCGTGCTTCGGTGTGTGTGCTCAACGCGTTGTTAATGTACCTAGGTAGGTAGCATGCACAGCAGTGATGCAGTATCGTGGCAAAGCCGGCTCTATAGTGGTCATAATATGGCAACTATCAGATACCCCAGACCCGTTTTCAGCCATTGTTGCGTGCTGAGCAACTGATCACCGGATCAGCTTCTCTGCACAGACAAAGATGAAAACAGAAGTGGCTTGGGGGACAAAGACGTAGGGAGTGTGATCCTGTCGATGATCATTCCTGGTGGTGATATAAGCCAAGACGACCCCAAACCAAGGATGTGATAACAGCAGTGACTAAGGGATGATTGAATGGCTAGTGGTAGCATTGAAATGGTTTTAATTGTGTGGCCCCCGTTTGAGTACATTCCAGGGCAACAAAGCGAGAATCAGGTACCTCTGCCGGCAGATACTGTGGGTAGCACATTTTCGAGAGCGAGAGCCTTCACTTGCGTAATGAGAGGGCTCGGGGGTGAGTAATGCTGGGTGAAGGCAGTCGAGCTTCTATATGGAATTTATTGTACAGAGGTACAGGTGCCTAGTAGCTAGGAGGTAGTTCAAGTGAAGTAGTTTTACACGTGCATGAGCCACAAGCTACAAGCCACAAGCCACCAGGGTTCAAGCTTAGGTAAGGTACACGCGCTACTGCTTACCTAAGTGTCTGTTGGCCCGCCCGCCTGCCGCACTGTTGTGATGGAAAACAAACATTGCTTAGATTCAAGGTGCTGTAATTCCACACCACGAACCGCTGCCTCTCCATGAACACGCGCGCCCCGGATTGCTGGACAATCGCATACCATAGGGTATTCCATACCATGAACACTGCTCCACTCCTTTAAAAGACCACTCTGCGCACCTTCACCCCACGCGTGCGACGCGCGTAGCAACACCAACAATACGCGAACATGGACGACTCGGCCATGGACGCCTCAGACTACGACGTGCAGGAATCGAGCGATTTCGAGCCTGAGATTGTGCCAAAAGCGGTACGTCTACAGCTCACTTTGCCCGGATGGAACTGACATAGGTCATTCTCGTATGCTGACTCCATTCACTCAGAAAGCAAAGGCATCTACCAAAGTCGCTACGTCCAAAGCGCCTGCAAAAAAAGCACCTGCTAAGCCGAAAGCTACGAAATCGGCAACACTCACGAAGACCACGAAAGCGGCACCGAAAGCAGCTGCGAAGAAACGCGCACTACCCGACTCTGACGCCGAGAACTCTGATGCCGACCTGAATTCCGGAGACGACGACTCGCTGCTGTCGAACACACCACCTTCGAACAAAACGCAGAAGAAAGCACCAGCGCCGAAGAAGAAGGTAGCATCGGAACCTCTTGTCGAAATCGAGAACGAGAGCTTCATGGACGTCCCAGTGGCCGCGACTGCGAAGAAGGGGTCGCAGCAGTACCAGAAGCTGACACAGCTGGAGCATATTCTGAAGCGTCCAGACACATACATTGGCTCTGTCGAGTACACAACGGAGCTGTTATGGATCTACAATTCCGAGACGGACTGTATGGAGAACCGCAAGGTTAGCTATGTGCCTGGTCTCTACAAGATCTTTGACGAAATTCTGGTGAATGCAGCGGACAACAAGCAGCGTGACAAGAACATGAGCGAGCTGCGTGTTACGGTTGACGCTGAGAAGGGAGAAATATCAGTCAAGAATAACGGGCGTGGTATTCCCGTCGAGATGCACGACAAGGAGGGCATTTGGATTCCGGAGATGATTTTCGGACATCTGTTGACCTCCTCGAACTACGACGATGACGAAGCGAAAGTGACGGGTGGTCGCAATGGTTACGGTGCGAAGCTCACGAACATATACTCCACCGAATTCAAGCTGGAGACCGTGGATTCGAAGACCAAGCAAAAGTACTCTCAAACCTGGCGCAAAAACATGAGTATCATGGAAAAGGCCAAAATCACGAAAGTCAAAGGCGACGACTACACCGAAATCACCTTCAAACCAGATTTTAGCAAGTTCGGCATGGACAAGATGGATGCGGACTTTGAAGGACTTGTCAAGCGCCGAGTCTACGATATGGCGGGAACGGCGAAGGGAGTGAAAGTCTACCTGAACGGCGAGAGAATCAAGATCACCAAGTTCAAGCAATACATGGAAATGTACACTAAGGCCATCAAGACTGAGAATGTGGCAAATGACGGTGCAGCACCAGAGCAAGTTATCCTGACGGATAACCCACACGAGCGCTGGGAGATCGGCTTTGCGGTTTCCGACGGTTCCTTCCAGCAGGTATCTTTTGTGAACTCTATTGCAACCACCAACGGAGGGACTCACGTCAACTACATCGCCGACCAGATCTGTGATCGGCTTGAACAGATTGTGAACAAGAAGAACAAGGGCGGAGTCAAGCTGAAGAAGGCCCAGCTCCGGAATCACATTTTTTTGTTTGTAAACGCCTTGATCGTCAATCCGGCATTCACATCGCAGACCAAAGAGCAGCTCACGACCAAGGTCAGCGCGTTTGGAAGCAAGCCTCAAGTCACCGAGAAATTCTTGAAGGCCATCGCCAATACGGAAGTCGTGACGAACATCCTCCACTTTGCACAGCAAAAGGCCGACAAAGTCCTCTCCAAGTCAGATGGTAACCGGCGCCAGCGTATGAATCACTCCAAGCTCACTGATGCCAACAAAGCCGGTACCAAGGATGGCCATATGTGCACTCTAATCCTGACCGAAGGTGACTCTGCCGCACTGCTGGCACTAGCAGGTCGCGCCGTGGTCAACCCGGATTTGTTTGGAGTGTTTCCGCTACGTGGTAAGGTTCTGAACGTTCGCGATGCTTCCGTTGACCAGATCTCGAAGAATGCCGAGATTCAGAACATCAAGAAGTTCATTGGCCTGCAGCACAAGAAGCAGTATACCGACACCAAAGGCCTCCGTTATGGACATATCATGATCATGACGGATCAAGATCACGATGGCTCTCACATCAAGGGTCTTCTCATCAACTTTCTGCAGGTGCAATACCCATCATTGCTCCGACTGAAGGGCTTTTTGTTGGAGTTCATCACACCGATTGTAAAGGTGTGGAAAGGCGATCCCAAGAAACCCAAGGCAAAGCATGACTTCTTCACAATGCCCGAATATGAGAAATGGCGAGAGCAGCCAGGACACATCAAAGGCTGGGAGCACAAGTACTACAAGGGATTGGGAACTTCCGATACCCGAGACGCTCAGATCTACTTCAACGACCTCGATAGGCACTTGAAGCGCTTCCATGAAATGCAGGATCACGAAGAAGAACTGATCGACCTTGCCTTCTCCAAGAAGAGAGCCGATGCTCGCAAGACCTGGCTCCAAGGCTTCGTACCCGGTACTTATTTGGACATGTCGAGCACCGACGACATCACTTATGACGATTTCATCAACAAGGAACTGATTTTATTCTCCATGGCCGACAACTTGCGCTCTATTCCGTCTGTTATCGATGGATTGAAGCCTGGTCAGCGCAAGGTCATGTATACTGCTTTCCGCCGCAACTTGAAGAAGGATATCAAGGTTGTTGAGCTTGCTGGTCTGGTCTCAGGTCTTACGGCATATGCATACGGTGATGCGTCGCTGCAGCAAACCATTGTCGCGCTTGCGCAGAATTTTGTGGGGTCCAATAACATGAACATTCTGGAACCCAGCGGCAATTTTGGCTCTCGTCTTCAGGGAGGTAGCGATGCAGCCAGCGCTCGTTACATTTACACGAGACTGTCACCCTTTGCTCGACACATATTTGATCCGAAAGACGAACCTCTTCTGAAGCCTAACCTTGACGATGGCAAGGAGATCGAGCCGGAGCTGTACTTTCCAATCGTTCCTATGATCCTCATCAATGGTGCAGAAGGTATCGGAACGGGGTGGAGCACGTCTATACCGTGCCACAATCCAGACGACGTGATTAACAATCTCATCGCCCGCATGCAACCAGGTGCCACCAAAGAGTCGATGACACCCATGTTGCCATGGTATCGCGGTTGGACAGGGCAGACCGAGCAACTATCCGAGGAGCGTTACAAGTTCCCAGGTAGAATTGCCAAGACTGGCAACAGCGAGGTGGAGATCACTGAATTGCCTGTGCACCAATGGACTCAGGATTTCAAGGAGAAGCTTGAAGACATCATCAAGGCTGAGAAAACTCCGTCCTTCATCAAGGACTACACGGAGTACAACACCCCCGAGACTGTTCATTTCATCATCAAGATGGACGAGAAGATACTTCAAGAGAACGAGAGCAAGTTGGAGGAGCTCTTCAAGTTATCCAAGACCCAGGCGACATCCAATCTTGTCGCGTTTGACCAGCATGGTCGCATCCATAAGTATGCCACTACTCTTGACATTATGGAGGAGTTCTATCTCCACCGACATGACGCTTATATTGAGCGCAAGAGGATGATGCTTGAGAAGATGGGACAGGAACTGCTTAAGCTCAACAACCAGGCCATGTTTGTAAAGATGATCATCGATGGTAAGCTGGTAGTGAGCAAGAAGAAGAAGTCTGTGCTGGTGCAGGAGCTTAGCGATCTTGGGTTCGCTCGCTTTCCCAAAGTCGTTGATGCCAAGAAGGCGGGCGAGACGGAGGACGCGATGGAGGACGACAATGACGACTCAGACGATGCCACGACCGCCGCTGGTGCTGGTGATTTTGACTACCTTCTCGGCATGGCTATCTGGTCGTTGACACAGGAAAGAGTGGATAAGCTGATCAAACAGGTCGGTGATAAGGAGGAAGAAATCGACGACCTGACGAGGAAGTCTGTCCAGGATCTTTGGCAAAGTGATCTGCAAGCTCTACGCGAATCGTGGCAGAACGCAGAGAACGAGGAGAGAAAGCGTGACAAGGATATCAAGAGAAAGGGACGTCGTGCATCGGCCAAGCTTGGTATTGCCGGCAAAGCTAGCAAGAAGCGGAAGGCCGGTGACAGCGATGACTACTCTGACGAAGAATTCACCATCAAGAAACCAAAGACTACAAAGACGACAAAGTCAACGGCAATCGGCGGTCTGCTGGCGATGAGTGGAGAGGCCAAGCCTGCTGGCAGTTATCCAGTAGTCAACGGAGTCGAGCAAAAGCCCGTCTCCACAGCTGCGACTGCGAAGCAGATCACGTTGGACAAGGCTTTTAAGAAAGCCGAGCCTCTCGTCAAGGTCGAAAAGGCACCCGCTGCCGCGAAGGCTCGCGGTCGGACCAAAAGGCTTAGCGAAGACACGGACTCGGATTCACTCCAGGCTGCGCCTGCAAAGAAGGCTGCTCGCTCGAAGAAGGTCATCGATTCGGACGTCGATATGGATGATGACGAAGACGTGTTTGCGGCTGTTGCTAAAGAGGCCGCGTCTAAGCCTGTGGCGGCTCCGGCTCGGGGCGGTCGAGCAGCAGCTCAGAAAGTCAAGAAGTACACGATGGACTCTGATGAGGATTCAGAATCTGACGCCGGGAACGACATGCTGGCAGATGTCAGTGAGATGGTCAAGGGCGTTGGTAATGTGAGTACTGACGCCCAAGGATCTCGCCTGTTCCACACGAGTGCGCCCGCAGCATCCGTGCCAACCAGCAGCCACGCCCTGAAGACGAAAACGAGCAAGAAGACGCTGGCCGACATCTCTGATGACGAGACGAATTGGGCTGAGCTAGCACAGAACTCGCCTCAGAAGGTCGCCAACCGAACCATCTTATCGGACAACGAGGACTCGATGGACATTGAAATGCCCAGTAAGCCTGCCGCCAAGCCCAAGGTCGTTCCCAAGGCAAAGCAAGCTGCTGCCTTGAAGCCTAAGAAGGCAGCAGCACCAATTGCGGCGAAGCCTCCCGCGTTGTCTCCAGCGGCAAAGGCGTATGCTGCGAAGAAGGCCAGTGCACAGGCCAAAGCAGGAGCATCTAAGAAGAAGCTGCCGTCGTCTGATGATGATGACGAGGACGACGATGTGGATCAAATCGCAAACGAGATTCTGAGCGACGATGATGATGTTGATGAAGATAGCGTGGTCAAGCCCGCAGCACGATCCCGCCGTGCTGCAGCGACGACTACCAAGTCGAAGTATACGGTCGACAGTGACGAGGAAGAAGAGGAGGAGGAGGAGTCTGAGGACGACTTCGAGGATGCCGATGAGACTTTTGATTGAGCATGTGATGACCGGGCGGAGTTGAGACTGCTTGAATAGTCGGATGCTGCTTTGTTCCTCAAGGGCGTTTAGTTGAGCGTGCTGCGCAGTATATCTGCAGTTGCAAAATTTCGTATCTCGTATGGACTGTTTCTACTTTACTCTGGTCTATATGTTTTCCCTTTGTACCTACCTCCTAGAAAAGGAGAGGTATTCATAGGAGGTCCCTGTGTCCGAAGTTGATTACATAAGGTTGAGCGGCCCTAGGCCCGTGACAATGCGGGGCAGGGCAGCTTTCTCCACTTCCTGGGCAAGAGATAGCGTCGATAGGCGGGATCATGGCGATAGAGTAGAGGTAATTCCTACAGCCAACAGCACGGGAAAGTCGGCTTCCACAGCTGACTTGCAGCACCAGGAAGCAGCAGCAGCAGCAGCAAGCAGCGTGTTCCCGAACGTTGCCACTCTCCGGAACTGTACTTTTACCTCCTCTCTGTTGACGTGGCATTTTACTCTTCTCTCTCCCTGTCTCTCCCTCTCTCTCTCTCACACACACACCCGAACAATAACTCCCGATCTTAGTCCGTCCTGACTATAGATAGCACCACCACCACCATCATCATCATGGCACCTCATCTCGAAGAAAACACTAGCGGCACCGAGGCAGTCGCCAGCAATGGCCACACCGTACCCGTAAACGACGGCGAGGCGCCTCATGAGCCCGGCGTCAAGAAGAATATTGCACAGGGCAAAATGGCCAACTATCCGAGGTGCGTGAACGGGATTCATGGTATATGCGACGGTCATTCGTGACTTTTAGCTTACCAAAGGTATCTTACCTGACACCCTCATTTGTAGACCTCCACAGTTCGAAGACAAATATGAGGAGCGAGAGTACTTGAAGGGACGTCTCGCGGCTGCATTCCGCATCTTTGGCAAGTATGGCTTCGATGAGGGTGTTGCGGGTCATATTACTCTTCGTGACCCTGTGGATCCCGTGAGTGAAAATTGAGCACGGAGAGAAATATGTGAGAGGAGTCAAGACTGATGTATCTACACAGGATTGCTTCTGGGTGAACCCCTTTGGCGTGGCATTTTCTCTCATCAACAAGTCGGATCTCATCTTGGTCAATCACTCCGGCCAAGTCATCGATGGAGGCGAATGCCGTCTCCTCAACACCGCCGCCTACATGATTCACTCTGCCATTCATGCTGCACGGCCTGATGTCAACTGTGCTGCTCACAGCCACTCCATTTATGGCCGCACATTCTGTTCTCTCGGACGCAAGCTGGATACGTTGACTCAGGACGCTTGCGCTTTCCACAATGACCATGTGGTATATGACAGCTTCAACGGCGTTGTTCTGGCAGAGAAGGAAGGCAGGGACATTGCAAAGTGCTTGGGCGACAAGAAGGCTGCATTGCTGCAAAACCACGGTCTATTGACTGTCGGAGCGACCATTGAAGAGGTAAGCTAGCTACTACAGCATCCAGAGAGCAGCAGAGCGTGTAACTGACTTTTTTTTTCTTTTTTTCTCCAGACCATCTTTTGGTTTGTCTCGCTCGAGAGGTGCTGCCACTCCCAGCTCATGGCCGAGGCTGCTGCTTTCCCACGCGGCGAAAAGCCGATTCACGTCGGCGAAGAAGAGGCGCGATACACCTATCGCACCGTCGGCACTCCGCGAGCGGGCTGGTTTGGTGCAAAGCCCATGTTTGATGTGATTCACAAAGAGACGAATGGCGAGTATTTGCAATAGGTATTGGTGCAGATGGAAATGGAGATTTATTTATTCTTCCCAAATACCCATACCTATGAAAAGGCGGCGTCATTTTTTTCTTTTTCTACACAACCTTTTGGTAAAGTCCTTTTCTTTTTCTTTTTTTGCACATACCTGTATCCAGTAAGTCGCTGGCTGGAGCAAAGTCGTCATCACCAACCATCATTATTAGACCGCCTCTCTACTTTTTCTTGCTGCTCTATTTGGGACTTGTGAAAACAAAAGAAAAACAGGAAATTGTAGACCAACCACTCTTTTTTTAGATCTTGTTGTCATACCGCTTCTCCTTTTTTTTTCAACGTATGTATAAGGTAAAAGGTAAAAAAGGGAAAAGTTTATCGGTATGTAGGTAAGTATGTAGGTAAGTATGTAGGTAAGTATGTAGGTAAGTATGTAGGTAAGTATGTAGGTATGTATAGCGCCCGTGAAGACGAATGAGTGCCGAGGGTAAAGAAGAAGAAGAAAGAAAGACATGGGTAGTTCCGAATACTATAGATAGATGGATTCAACAAAGTAATTGTGGCTGGAAAGTGTACTACATGTATCGGTACTCGACCTGCTTTTTGTTTGGCTTCCTCTCGGAGTCTCGCTCGGGATGTTTCTTGTCCGGTTTTGATAAGAACATATTTTTTGTGCGAGCAGGGCCAAGGAACTAGGTGTCGTAGCAGTAAAATTGGAAGGGAGGAACTCTGCCTACAGGCTACAGGACGAGTTGAGAGGCCCTGTCTACCGATGTGTTCCTCTCTTACCTATATATAGACTGTTGTATATTAGGTCCTAGGAGCGGCGAGGAGTTCGAGAGTAGAAGGCAGACCGGTAGTCTTGTCTCATCATCTCATGGCTGAAATGTGTAAGTTGAGTAGAACTACCTCCAGAGACGCTTTCCTCGTGGCCGCGTGAGATTGATGAACAAGGTTGCCCAGTTGCCGCAGCTTCGGAAGCGCCTAGCCCTTTTCCCATGTGCTCTAGTCCCTTTCACATGCTCAACCACACGTGCAGTCTTCTCTTGGCACCAGCGCTGCTGACGAAGACGAGAGCTCTCTGATGGAGACGAGAGCTCTCTGATGGAGACGGGGAGCGATGGGGTGTGACTGCTTGCCTCATTGGGCATCGGGTGTCCAGAGTAGAGAGTGACGTAGGTTGGTAGAGAGACGATGGCATGCAGGCGCAGCAGAAGAAACAGGAAAGCAGATGATCATGTACGTGTACTGGACCAGCCATGGCCGCGGTGTGGTGCGTTGTGAGTGACATGATGTGTTGTGCACTCGCAACTTGTTGGGAGAGTGACGGGATGAAGCACCCATGACGAAAGAGGTCAAGCTCCTTAGGGTGCACGCCCGCATACATACAGAGAGGATATTCAGCAGGTTTATTCTCGTTCGAGAACAAGCGCACCGCATTTCGACTGCCACTCATATATACACTTCTCCGCTGCCCACCCATCGACCTCATCACCTCTCCGCCCAGACACCCCGTTGCACCACCGCCCCTTCACACGCCCGCCGCCGTCGTCCACCGCCCACCCGCCGAGCTCCCGACCAGCATCACACCCACACCCACACACAATGGCGGAAACTAGTGCCCAACAGGAATATCCGAACCTGAACCCATACACCGACGCCGACGCCGACAGTATGAATGCCAATGGCGCTCCCGCACCCGCGCCTGCCCTCTCGAACGGCCCATCTGCCTCCGAGCAGGGCAAGAGCGCCGTGAGCAGTAAGGTGCGTGACACCTCCCCGGTCCCTTCCTGCCCTCTCAACATCTTGTTCCCATCTGTTTGCCAGTAAGGTAGTAGTACCTTGGTAGTATCAGGGAAGGCACAAACATCCACGTCACGTCCACCTCGCGTCTCTTCTTCTTCTTCTTCCACTCGCTTCCCTTTCATTCTTTCTCTCTCTCTCTCCCTCTCTCCCTCTCCCACCCGCCAACGATCGCATCCTCTCGCCGTGCCCACCCAGCAACCACACGCTGACACCCAACCCACAGTCATTCGCATATCCACCTACCTCGCCTGGTATTCCCACACAGCAGACCCAGCCTAACATGATGTCCCTCAAAGGTGCCCAGCAGACCGCCGCTGCCACTGCAAACGACATCAAGAACTCGCAGGTAGTGCAGGATCTCGCCAACGGTCCCGTCGCCCAAAAGGCCGCCAACGAGGCCGCTGCTACCAAGAATGAGTTTGGAAATCTTGCCGCATCGCGCCAGACGCCATCAGTCCAGACCGCTACAGGTCAGAATTTGACCCACTACCACTCCTTCTTCTACAACCTCCTCTCGTGGGAGAACCCGCGTGCGACCGCCGTCAGCTATGCGACTATTGTCCTGTCCATCCTCGTTTTCCGATACGCGCCAGTTGCCAAATATCTTTTCAAGGCTCTCTACATCGTGCTGGGAATCACTGCAGCGGCCGAGATGGCTGGAAAGACACTGTTGAACCAAGGTGTGGCCACTAAGCTGAGACCAAAGAAGTACTACGTCGTTCCACAGGAGACCCTCGAGAGCATCATAGTAGACGTGGTGGAGCTCGTCAATTTTTTTGTGATCGAATTTCAGCGCGTTGTATTCGCCGAAAACGTCTACGCAACGATTGCTGTAAGTCTCCAGGCGTTGCGTGTATGCATGGAAACACTGTAAACCCCGCTGACGCTATTATAGGCCTTTGCAAGCGCATTCCTGTCCTACTGGTTGATCAAGGTCATGCCCAGCTGGGGTCTGTTCCTCTTCTTCACCACCGTCATCTACTTCGCACCACTCGTCTACATCACCAACCAGGAGCTCATCGACGAGCAGCTAGGAAACGCCCAGAAGATCGTTTCGGAGCAAACAGAGCAAGTCCGCTCGTTGGCGGCCGAGAACGCCAACAAGGCATGGCAGGCTACCCAGAGCGCGACCAGAGAGTACAGCGCAAAGGCATCGGAGGCATTTGGTCAGGCCAGCGGAAAGACACAGCAGGCACTGGGACAGGCCAGTGCAAAGACACAAGAGGCAATGGGACAGGCCAGCGCAAAGACTCAAGAGACGGTCGCTCAGACCAAGCAAGCTGCTGTGGAGAAGAGCCAGGAGACAGCCGAGAAGGCGACACCAAGTCAGGCGACTGCTGACCAGGTGACACCGCAGACCGTCGTCAGCAATGCTGACTTCCCTACGGCACCCAAGCAGGAGCCAGTAGTCACTGAGATGGTTGACCCTACCGCTGAGCTTGCTACGGAGTCTCACGCCGAGGGTAACAAGGAGCCAGTTGCCGCTTTTGGTCCATGAAAGTCGACTCTACCTGAGGCTGGATTTTCTGAAACCACACACTCTGAACGGACGGCTTGAGATGAGCTGTCAAGTATGATGACGCTACTACCTACGCCTTCAGACCGACCTATGCACGGGCATTTCGCGTTTCCAATCGTATTGGCATGGCGTTCAGGCGAACGATGGGGGTCTGTACTACTATTGATGTGCATGCCACCGGAGGAAGCACGGGCGAGCGGTACACATGATCCTATTATAGTATGACCACTGACATGTTCCATGTCTGATATCAAGCGCGCGATCTTTGTACTTTTGCTCCATTTCTCTCCAGTCACACTCTTTGACACATCAATGCAACTCGGGTGAATGGCCAACATTTGTCACTGCCGTTGTGTATGAGCTAACCAGTGTGTGTGTATGGTAAGCTTAACCATATGTCGTCCAAGCTGCGTCCAAGCAAAGCATCCATGATGTTTTCGCTCCCGTCCTTATGTCATTGTTATGCAGCGATAATGAAGAATAATGAAGCACACGCCTCACGCTTTTGAAAGGATCGACGTCGATCTCGGATACGACTCCGAAGTACATACACAGGATACGTCAGGAAAATGGAAGCATGTGTCGGACCTCTATGAACAAAAACATTGTATGACATTGATTTCTATCCAGGCGTAGCATCGTGATGGAGGTAGGAGATTTATCTAAGTTTATCTAGATCCGCCCACAGAAAAACCTCCCCTGAAAAAGAGAGCTCTATCATGTAGCAGTGAGGTGACCAAGTAAAACCAAAACCAGTGTAAGCGTGCGTGCGTATATGTTACGTTACCCATCCATCTCCTCTCTCCCTCTCCCTGCTCCCTCTGCTCCCTCTCCCTCTCCCTCTCCCTCTTCTCCTTCTTTCCCTTTCCCATCTCTACTACAACCGATGCACGCCCGAATTCCTCGACCACCTCCGAAACTGTTTCCCCCAAAAATAAAACACAACCCCCAACGCACACCACAACGTGACCAAACTCATATTCGTCATAATGGGCGGAACAAAACCGTGCTTGGTCGCCCACGGCGTAATGAATTCGGAAAAACCATATCCCCATAAATTCTTGTTGACGGTAATCGAGACCATGAGAGATCCGGCGACGGGTTTGTAGGAATCGACGGCGTACGTGGTGACCATTGCTGGTAAGGCGGCGACTTGGATTCCGGCGCAGGCGTAGCCGAGGATGACGATGAGTTGCCACGGCCAGTGGTTGTCGTAGCCGAAGGCTACGATGCAGTTTCCGAGGATCATGATGAAGACGTAGGGGACTGTGGAAGGGGTGGGTTAGAGGGGTATTCTTTTTTGTTTTTGAGAGGGGAAGGGGAAAGGAGGAGTGTGAAGGAGGGAGGGAAGGAAGGAAGGAAGGAAGGAAGGACTGGGAGGGAGCAAGGAAAGAAGGAAGGAAGCAAGGAAGCAAGGAAGGAAGGAGAGAAGGAAGGAAGGAAGGAAGGAAGGACTGGAAAGGAAGGAAGTAGGAAAACATACTCATAGCAGGTAAACGCATTTCGGGCTCACGAATTCCACGATTCTTCTTCGTGGCTCGTGCACTGACCCAATCCGAGAGTGGTCCTGCCGTGAATAGACCCAGCATTGAGCCTCCCAAAATGGCAAAATTGAAAAATCCAATCGTTTGTGAGCTGAAATTGTAGGGTGGTGCGGCAAAGGCTTGCGATTGGGTGAGATTGACGGTCAAAAAGGAACTGCAGGACCAGGAGACGACAAAGGACGCGAATTCTACAATGGGGAAGGCGAAGAGTTTCCACGGAGTCCAGAGGTCGATGAAGATGCTTTTCCACGGGTTGGCGGTCGGCGTGTAGATTCCCCATTGCGATCGGCCGGGTGCGCCTTTTCCCAGCCAGGGAACGCGGTTGTTGTTGGCGGAGGTGGTAGAATGATGGGGGTGGTGATTGCTCTGCACGCGCGTGATGTTGCCACCACTGGTGCTTTTTTCCGTGTCCTCGTGCCATTCATCTGCGAGAACCATTCTGCTTCTCGAGGTCATTGGCCGCTTGGGTGCATGTCAGTATGTGCGTGCTTGATAATGATGTATTCTGCCGACGTGCGGGACGTCGAAGAAGAAAGACGTACCTCAATCGTGTCGGCACTGGTTGAGTTCTTGGTGTCCACTGTCTTGAGGTCTGACGAAGTACCAATCTCGTCTGGGTGAAGACGATGCCATTTGGTTTCGGGGAACATGACTGAGCTTGCATGAGCGAGAGAAGGGACCACTCATGGAGAGCACTTACAGATGACCATGGCGAGCGAGAGGCCGAGGAGCCCAACATTGAGCCACCAGAAACTTCGCCATCCGAGGTGCAAGGCCATGGACCCGCTGACAATCTGCGGCACATTAGAAAAGACGCGGCGGCATCATTTGTACTCTCGCATGCACTGACCGGTCCCACCATCAAGCTGCCCATGTACGCCACCCAGTAGAGTGTGTTCCAGAAGCCACGGTCATGTAGGAAGAAGATATCGGCAATGACTGCAGGCTGTATCGTCTCGGCAGGGCCCGCCCCAATGCCATTCAGAATGCATGCGCCCATGAAAGAACCGTAGGATGTTGCTCGTGCTCGCCATATCGAGGCGACCAAACAGACAATCTGCGAAAGGATGAAGACGGGCCGTCGACCACAAGACGTGCTGATTGGTACCCTACGATGAATTAGCACAATCAGCTCGAGTGTTGCAGATCATAGATAGCAACCACAAGAAGGAGGGAACAATGATATGCTCACCAGATGAAGTTGCTGAAACCCAACACGAGGATACAGACTCCCGTGAACTTGACCACATCGTGCAGGTTCGAATCGAATTCTTTGATGTAATCGCCAAACATGGGCGCTAGCGCCAATGGCCCAAAGCCTTGTGTGAAAGTGACCACGGTCGTCGATGTGATGCAGAGCATCTTCCACCACTGGCTCCAATTCAAGGGATCGTGCGGGTGCTCTGAGGGCTGCGGCACCAGCACCTGCGAAGAAGCACCACCACCTTTGACGAAGTGATGAGAGCCGACATCTGTCATGACCTCCGTCCCGGGGACAATGTCGATGTGCAATTCTTGTTCCAGCTCATGGAGCTCCTGCAGCCGCATGTTCGTCAGCGGAATGTTGTCGGCCATGGCGCTCTTTGCGCACCACTACTACTCCAACTCCAACTACTACTCCTGGGGAGAGAGAGGCGTGCTCTTGCGTTGGTGTTCATCTCCATCGTGCGTACGGTGGGGGAGAGGAGAGGGGAAAGCACGCCTCTTCAACCCAGTAGCAGATTGGGTTTTCGGTTGGATCAGGGAGTCAGGATGATTTGATTGTGTGAGAAGGAAAAGAAGAAAAAAAAGGAGATTATCACCAGAGTGAGTGAGCAGTGAGAGGGAGAGGGAGGGGTGATCCCTTTACTGATGGCAGCTTTTCAGGCCTTCAGTTGGCCAGGCGGGGTGGCGTGGAGACAGAGTTGTTCGGGGTGCCATGCGGGCCATTTTGTTCTAGTTCTGCGTGTAAGACGTGCCATGCTAGTTCGCTGGGAAGAAGGTTTTGGCAGGCATGTCAATCAAAAGTGATCAAACTCGCCGCTGTCACAGTGTCACGCAGCTCGCTACCATGCACTTTTACTTGCCGAACCACACATCTTTCTACCTGGTTGATGGTGGAGTGCATACTGAATACGAGCTCTGGGGTACTTGATGCGGAGTCAGTGGGGGAGGAGGAGGCGGTAGTGAACGGCAAATGTGTGCGGAAGGGTTGGCGCTGTCCCTGTCTCTGCTCTTCCCGTGGAGGACCAGGACAGACTGCAAGATTTTAGGGGAAAGGGGAAAGGGGAAAGGGGAAAGGGGGGTGTGAAGAAGAAGAAGAAGAACAACAACAACAACAGCAATAACAACAACAAGCTTTCTGGAAGAACTAAACATCATGTGACAAGAGTTGAGAGCAGACTTTCGCGGCTTGGCACGTGGCACAGGATTTCCACGTGGGGAGGTTGTTCTAAGTTTGACCAGAAATCCTTCCGCTGCTCTGCATGACTACAGCCATAGCATTTTCATTGACTATGTATCCATATCCATTACATTGTATCAAGAGATTGCAGCTATCACCATCAGACGGGCGTATATCAGCGCATTGTGAAGAAATAGTGGCTTTCGTGACCACGCTGATGCGCTCTATCATGGATTCATGAGTGACAATCTGCCAACAAGTGAAAGTGCTTCGTGAATAGGAGACACTGACGGGCGACAGTGACAGTGACAGCAGGAGAACTCTTTCTGATGAGTCATGCCATCTCCCGGTGCTCATGTTTCGGTTCGGATTGTCCTCAAGACTACTTCGTCCTTCACTCGCCGATTGTCTGAGAAGAAGGCATTGGAATTACGTGGAACAATAGGCAGACTGCTATGGAACCGCAATAGAAGAGCGGGATTCCATCATCTCGTGACTTCAGCGCGCGCGATAGAGGTCCCAGCGTCCTGATGACAATGGAAACATGCTGCGGCGTGACCATCTCAGGCCGGCGAGTATTGTAGAATCACACATTGTAGAATAATGTGTTATTCTACAATACGACGCGACGCGCACAATAGGACACCTCTCCCGCTGCTTCACCATGCATATGCGTGTAAACACGCTATACTCCACAGCCTATTGTTGAGCACGGGCCTGGTTGTCGACGTCCTCTTCCACAATAGCCAAATTCCGCACAATAGCGCCTCCGACAATGGTATTAGTGGAGAACAGGCCTATTCCACAATCACTTACGAACATCTCACTGCCATTGTCGACAGCTATTTTGGAGCCTCCTCACAATGGTACAATAGGCACGACGCGTTGACCACCTGGTACGGCAGTACTACAAATAGCGACCTTCTTCTGCTTTTCTCTTCTGCTTCTTCTTCTTCTTCTTCCAGATTGCAGACCACCGACTTCATCGACCACAGCTTCGACTACTTTGACTACTTCGTTTACTTCGACCACTTCGACCACTTCCCTAACTTCCCTGAGACTACTGCTGCTTCGACTACTGCTGCTTCGACTACAACCTTTCGACCGCTGTTGCCCTATCACTGCTTCGACCGGTTATTCAGGCACTGCACTTCCTCAGGCACTGTTCCGACCAGTTCTTCAGACTCTCCAGCACTGCTTCGATCACTTCCTGTTCCGACCAGTTCTTCAGATACTCCGGCACTGCTTCGATCAATTCCTTAGGCACTGTTCCGACCAGTTCTTCAGACACTCCAGTACTGCTTCGATTACTTCCTGTTCCGACCAGTTCTTCAGACTCTCCAGCACTGCTTCGATTACTTCCTGTTCCGACCAGTTCTTCAGACTCTCCAGCACTGCTTCGATTACTTCCTGTTCCGACCAGTTCTTCAGATACTCCGGCACTGCTTCGATCAATTCCTTAGGCACTGTTCCGACCAGTTCTTCAGATACTCCAGCACTGCTTCGATTACTTCCTGTTCCGACCAGTTCTTCAGATACTCCAGCACTGCTTCGATCAATTCCTGTTCCGACCAGTTCTTCAGACACTCCGGCACTGCTTCGATCAATTCCTGTTCCGACCAGTTCTTCAGACACTCTAGCACTGCTTCGATCACTTCCTATTCCGACCAGTTCTTCAGACACTCCAGCACTGCTTCGATTACTTCCTGTTCCGACCAGTTCTTCAGTCACTCCGGCACTGCTTCGATCAATTCCTGTTCCGACCAGTTCTTCAGATACTCCGGCACTGCTTCGATCAATTCCTGTTCCGACCAGTTCTTCAGACACTCCAGTACTGCTCCGACCACTTCCTCAGGCACTGTTTCGATCACACTTTCAGACACTGTTTCCACTAGTTGTTTACACACTCAGGCACTGCTTTGATCACTTCATCAGGCTCCGCTTCGATCACACCCTCAGACACTGTTTCAAATAGTTATTCAGGCACTCAGGCACTGCTTCGATCACTTCCTCAGACACTGCTTCGACCCCTGATTTCGACTTTTTACCAATAGCAACGTCAATTCACCACACTTTCCCAACCGCAAAACAAGACAAAGTTCAACAAAAATGAACTCTTCAATCTCCTATCTTGGCGGCGAGGCACGTCAGCTCCGCATGGCAGCGGCTCAAGAAACCGTGCGCCAATTCGAAGGCGACAGCGAGGTCGTCAACGAGCGATACGACCAGAAATTCTATCGCTCGCGCCGTCTGACCTTGCTCGCTTCGCTCCCATCACCCACCCTCAACATTGTCGCCACTGCGACAGCAGACGCTGCGCTGGTCTTCGAATCGCAGCCAGAAATTCTCTCCGTGCAAGCGGTCCGTGCACGCGAGTTGCACTTCGACCTGGACCCATTGCTACCACTGCCCACGAGAGAAAACTGCGACACTCTCACCGACTTCGACGAGTACCCTGCCTCCGAATGGCAGGCTGGAGACCCAGCGGTGTTCCCGCGAGACCACCGAGAGTCTCCTGTCCCGTCCGTGCCCAGGGCACGTGACCAGGAGATTCTTGGTGGCCGCGAGACGCGCTCGCCGACCGCGCCAGGCTATCGTCCCTTCGAGGGCGTGGCCGCTCTGGGTGGTCGTGGCATTGCCGTGCCAGTCAAGCCTCCTCCGAGCAAGACTGGCGGCAAGCGCACCGCCTCAGAGATCCTCGACGAAGGCAGCGAGCAGCTCGACAGCGAGGTTGATGACCAGATCATCGACCTCGAAGCTGCTGCGCTGCCCGAGGATGGCCGGCCTACGAAGCGAGCCAAGCGCAGCAACACTGCGGGTCTCCAGGCCCCTGCCGTCGACCAAGCCCCCGCCGCAACCAAGGGCGTCGCACGCCGATTGCCCAAGAAAGCGAATGCGGGGGCGGTCAAGAAGGCTCCGGCCAAAAAGGCCAAAAAGCCCAAGAAGGCTGCGGCCAGAAAGGCCCCAAAAGTCTCTATAAAGAAAGAGACGGCCAATTTCTCCAACATCCGCGTCCGCTGGCCCGCCACCGTCACCGGCTCTCGCCTCCCCAAATCCATCAAAGAGGCTTTCGAAGCCGCATCCGAGCGCACCGAAGTCCTCTACAAAGCGCACGCCCTGCAGACAGGCGAACCGCGCCAACCAAACCAACACCTCGACTTCCTCCCCGAGACGCACCACGCGCAAAATTTCCAGCCCGACGAACTCCCCGACGTCCTCGACGATCCCGACGACGACACGGGTCCCATCCGCTGCGTCTGCGACGAGGGCGATGTCGCGTCGAAACCCGATTGGATTCGATGCGATACCGTGGGCTGTCGCGTGTGGCAGCATGTTGAGTGTGTGGGGTCTGCGGCGGCTGCGACGCCTGAGTTGAGAGAGGCGAAATGGTATGAATGCCATGTGTGTAGTCCGTGGGCGCATCGGCGCAGTTTGCAGGCGTTGCGAAAAGAGCGGCCAGATCCAATTGGCGACGCGATACGAGAGGGGGCTGTTGATGAGAGTGGGGGTGAAGAGGGCGGCGAGGATGGTTATGATGATGATGATTATGATGAGTGAGAGAGAGATGATGAAGATGATGATGATGAATGAATGAATGAACTGGGCATGACCAGGCTTGGCGAGCGTTTTTTGCAAGACTTTGTAAGATGATGAGAAGAGAGACAGAGCGACAGACAAACAGAGAGAAATTGTACCACTGTACTGCTGTATGTATATACACAGCCACTACTACCGCAGCACCATGCATGCATGTAGCTGCTGAAAGGGTATCTTCTAAATCAGCGCCCTCGAAGAGAGAAACAGAAAAGAATGAAACCAGAGAGTTACCCAAAAAGAAACCCCGCTCTGAACGCTTATCACTGAACCCAGAAAAGTATCCAATTCACACTACCTGGCATGTGATGGTACCTCTTCATATATCGCTCCCATTCTACTAACAGACTGTATCGAGCTCCGTGCAGAACGACCTCTCCCACTCCGCGAAGACGAGCCGCTCGAATCGCTCTGCGCAAGAAGAGGAATTTGAGGCGGCGGGAGGAGAGGACTGTTGTTGTTGTTATTGTCCTGATCCGCTGCGCCCTCATACGCGGTGGGCAAAAGGGCCATTTCCGAGTCCCCTCGTTGATAGTGTCGAGATGGTCGGCGCGGTGTGGGTTCGGGAGGGTCGTACAGCCATGCGATTTCGGGGTAGACGCGTTGGGATTTGGCGGAGCTCGAGCGGGAGATTGCGCTGAAGAGTGGCTTGCCTTGTCGACGCCTTCTACGGAGTAAAAGGCAGGCTGCGAGAATGATACAGAGTGCGCCGGCTGCGACGCCTATTGCGATGCCTGCTATAGCTCCAGGACTGAGTTTTGTGCTGCTGCCTCTTGCGGGTGAGGTTTCTGTCGATGTTGCGCTGGGGAATGAGGATGTGGTCAGAGTGGATTGAGTGGCCGTTGAGGATGTAGTCAAACTAGATTGAGTGGCCGTTGAGGATGTGGTCGAAGTGGATTGAGTGGCCGTTGGGGACGTGGTCAAAGTGGATTGAGTGGCCGTTGAGGATATAGAAGAATCATGACTGCTTGTAGCCTTGCTCGAAGTCATCGAGAATGAAGTAGAATCGTGGCTGCTTGTAGCCTTGCTCGAAGTCATCGAGAATGAAGTAGAATCGTGGCTGCTTGTAGCCTTGGTTGAAGTCATCGAGAATGCTGTGGTAGATGATGGAAACGTAGTAATCCTCGACTGCGATTGACTTTTCGTGGAAGAGTCCGCGATAGGGAGGAACAAGGTCGTATCGATATCGAACTCCGAAGCGATGGACGACGCAACATTGCTAGGTAGTGCTGAAAACAGTACCCCGAGAGCGTTTGGTGGCTCTGTGATCTCCGGCGCCGGCGCGCTCATGGTGGCAGCAGTGATTATCTGATCGGTGCTCGCGAATGACAGCCCGGGTGATGATGCAGTCGACATTGCGCCTGGAGAAATGAAACTTTCGTTCACGACAAGGTCGAGGGGAGATGAATTCGTGGCTTCACCATCATCTTCTTGGCCACCAGAATGGGTCTGTACTACTGATGTACCTGCAGTGGCGTCTGCCAGGAGTGTCGATACGGAGCCCTCTCCCACGCGAGAGGCTGACGTGGATCCAGCAGGCAGAGGATCGTCGTTCTGAGGCAGAGTGGCGGTGCTTTCACCAGAAGCCGCGGATAGAATATCCGCGATAACATCAGTCTGGACGGATGGTATGCTCGAGCTCCCGAGGTTCGCTTGACACTCGCCAGTGGTGCATGGGGTTGTGCTCGCTTGTGATGCTGTGTCTGTAGCCAGAGATAGGAGCGGAGCATCAGGAACCTCACTCTCGACACGGCGAGAGAGCCCTTGATGCGAGATTAGTCGCGTTCGCCACGCCAAACGCGGTGACTGACCACTCGTGCTGGTGACAACTGCGATTAAGCACAAGACGAGCAGCGAGAAGGGCGGCCCAGCAGGCTGCATGGTCTGCGCCGTGCATATGGGAATTGCTGGCTATCTGTACTTGCTCGCAGGGAACGAGAACACTCGCTACCGATCCCAATCCCAAGCGCGAGTCGCAGGCGAAGAGGAGGGAGGAGGGCATGAAAGAATACGTGCACCAACCAGACCAGACCAGACTCGACCAGACATTGCTGGAGCCTGTTTCAGCAGAACGAGGGCTTTTGAGTTTTATGATTCCTGCTGCCTTTTGATAATTGCCTTGTTCGCAGTGGTGTATGTGCACTGACACATGGTCCAGCCCGCCTGTTCTAGTAATAGCAACATCCAAATGTGCTAAATTCGCTTGCTATAATTCGCCTCAAAAAGCGGCGCAAGTAAGTCAGCAGAGAGAAATCCTGCGAGCAGCTGCACGGCGGGTTCTAAAACAAGGACGCAGTCACAGTTATGCACGCGGGCTGGGCGTGTCACAGATCAGCGACGCCTTCGCCATCTCCATCGCCATCCTTACCTCCTCCTCCTACGTCCTGTCGCCCTTCCAGGACCGCGTCGGACAAAGTGACAAACGTGCGGCGTCCCATCGCCAAGCTGTCAGAAGAAGAGTCTGGCCCATCGCGCCCGATTCTGTCTTCTTTGCAGATGAAAGTGAGGTTGTGTGAGGGAGCAGAAGAATGGAAGTCATCAGATATCTGATGTTAAAAACTAAAGTGTGAAAGTCTGGCCCACAAAGGGTTGGCTTCTTCCCGACCTCTCTTGTACCAAATATCCTCACGTGCCTTCTCGACCAACAACATGTTGAGATGTAATAAGGTACGTAGGGTAAGTAAAATATGGTCGGGAAGTGAGCGTTGGAAACGCAGTGCGAGAGGAATAAGGTAGGTAGTTTATGATTAGGTATACTGCTACACAGCGCTTTCGAGGCTCCACATTCCCCGAGGCAGCCGATTTTTAAACCACCAACATAGAGACTCGTGAGGAGTAGGATATCAATGCAAAGGCCCTGGGAACACGCTCACAGGTGCCAAAGATAAAATAAAACAAGTACGCACACCATCCACGTCAATCGTGCTCAGTAACAGTCCACCGCCTCTTAGGCTCAGCCTTGTTCCAGGATCTGGCGACTTTGTCTTCCGTCTGAGTACGTTGAAATTGTGGTCTGCCCCACAGGTTCTTGACCGACAGCCCTCTGCTCAGTGACATAGGTGCCTCTTTCGCCACTTGAGGCAGATCCGTCGCCTCATCTGCAGCTTCCTTGGCGATCTCGTCCGCGAGCTCATGCGGGCTCTGCTCATCCCCCAGAACACTATCCACAATCTTGCGTTCCTCTTGCTCGCTCGTGACCGTGGCAACCATGGTAGATGGCTGCGTCGGGGGGCCTTCAGAACTCGTCGGACGTGAATCGGGCGGAGAGTTGCTGAAATCGAGAACCAGATCATGGCCAGGACTGCTGCGACCAGACTTCTCCTGGAATCGCAGGAAAACGCTGTCTTTTTCCTCTTTTGCCCTCTGCGCATTGGGCAGAGGCGTGCCTCGGCCCGAAGGTGGAGTCCACAGTCCGGTAGTGAGGTTGGGAGGAGGCAACACGTTATCCGTCGGCTCGGAAATGCTCCTGGAAATCACGGGCGCGCAGGGGCGTCTGATGGAACCCAGAGCAGCATTGGCAGAGCCGCTGTTTGTTCGCACGGGACCAGTCGGCACTTTGGGCTCACCGAGATCCCAGTTGGACTCGATACCCGAACCAGCCTCTGCATGTGCAACACCACCAATCCGGTCGTACTTGGCCATGGCTTCCTTGGCCGTTTTTAGATGGCTCGTCGCGTTCGTCGCCGATAATTTCGTCGGGTCCACACCGGGTCGCAAATGCTCCGATGATGCAACCAGCTTCATCTCGTATATGTCACTCAACCCAATATCATATGCGCTTCGTCGTCGCTGCATGGAGCCAGGATTGGGCGACGGACATGGTGAACCATCTGGGGTTGCCAACCCGCCATGTTGCTGCAGCGCTAGTGCCGGTGCATCGTGCTTTCGGACTGCCATGGTCAGACTGGCCATACCGACGTCGAGCAGTACTGGCTGGCTGGTGAGCCCACCGATAAGAGCATTGCTCCCTGCACCATGTGTGACCATAATAACAACCAGATCTTCCTGCTCTTCGTCATCATAGTGGTAGACATGCGGCCGGTCCGCCTGCTCCAGACCCAACGAGTCCTCTCCTCGATCGTTGGCATCATGATTGCTGTACCATTCCATCATATTGTTCAAGCCTCGTCTGAACCGTCTGTGCATGGAAGACCACTCCTCGCCGAACTCCCCTCCATTACCCCAATCTAAAGGTTGCCGGCTACTGTCCCAGTGATAATCAACATTCACAGTCGCATTGCGCGCGTGTGAAACATATCCTCGTGGGATGTGGTCGGAGTTCGAAATCGCGTAGGAGGGTATCGGAGGATGGTAGACAGAGTACTCTGGCTTCGGGATCGTGGAGGTGAGAGGCTGCAAATTGTGACCATGTCGAAAAGGCGATTTTCGTCCGGAGCCGCTATGGTTATGGTAGCCGTGATGACTCTCGTTGCTTCCAACACTGCTGACGCTACTGGATCGATCTCGTCTGGGCGTCGGTGCGTGCAGCGCGTCGGTCACATGGGACCAACTGTCCAGGGAACTCCTGCTGTGATTCTGTCTAGTATTGTTGCCACTCCAAAGGCTGTTGTTAGAAGATTTATGCGACATCGAGGGCGTGAACAGGTCAACCGACTCGTTCTGCATGAGCTCTGCTTTTGCACCTGCCACCATCAGAGGGCTAGGTGGAGGCGGCGTGATGTGGTCAAAGTACTGAGGATTCAGCCATTCCCCCAGAAAAGCGTCCACGCGAATCTTTGCTTTGCGGTACCGCTTGTGTTCCGCCAAAGTCCGTCGGGCGAGCTGATGCGCCAGATCGTGCTTGGGCTCAGCAATGGGAGCCAGACTAGGAGACGTTGACCCGCTCATGGCGTGCAAGCGTGGCGAGTGTAGGCCGGAGTGCATCTGCGCTGGACTTCGCGGCCTGCTGCTCTTTGTCTTATCACCTGGCTCCTCGAACTGCGCCATGCCAGCTGAAATGGCCACGCTGGTCTGCAAACATCGCAGAAACGGCGAGGTGTGGATGACGACCCTGTGCTTCTTGCGCCGTCGCCGCGTACCTGTAGGATTGAAGGCATTCGTGCCATTGTCGCCCGCCCCAGTTTGTGCATTGTTGTACTCCTGCTCCCGTGCATAGAGTAAGCTGGCGATCCTCGTGCCGAGGGCTCGACACTGGTTCCAGCCGCCATAAGTGAGGGGAGGGTCGTAAGGAGCCGGAGTCGACAGATGCCACGATTGGTCTGCTGCGTCCAGGCGCATTCCATGTCTGGAGGAGGATGTGTCAGTCATTTCACACAACATACCGACCACAGCCTAGCTGCTGCGCATCTTCCTGTTTTTTCCGTACCTGGCGATAATGACCACCGCGGGCGCTTGCGCTGAGGCCTGCGCCATTACGAGTGGAGATCAATCAGGTTGTAGGTATCTTGCTCCCCGTGTGCGTGCGCCGTCCACTCGCTGATTGTCTGCGGCGACACGCAGGCTGAAGCAAAGATGAGTAGTTTCCAAGACGACCAAGACAAGACTCAGCAGACCGGATAGTTCTATTGCGAGCGAGGGTCCCGGAGTGTCAGTTCCCTCCCCTCCTTCGGCCCGCGACGGCTAAACTTTCTTTCCAGCGCTACGCCGCCGCTGCTTCTTCGAACAATGCAAGACACAATCATGTGTCCAAGGCACGTGAGCCAGAAGCGGAAGGCGCGATCCGTCTGTAGAGCACGTTATCCAGTGCTCTGCAATATACGGTAGGAGGTATTGGTTTGGTGTGCGGCGGCATCATTGGAGTGCATGCGTCCATTCGTCAAATGATCCTCCACCTGTACACCCGACGACTCCGCGATCGTGGCGCGAATATCAATGTGCCGATCGACGTCTATGCAGGGTCCCCGCCACAATGATGTGTGGTCGGCAAATTTATTTATGCGATGATAATTGTACCCCGCCGTCTGCGCATATTGCGGCAGAAACATAGGCCTAATATCAGTAGCTACCATCGACTACATTATGGCATATGCTGCTGTACTGGGTGAAAGGTGAAGCCTGCTGGAAGCGTCGAATCAGTTCCAGCTGTAAAAGAGTTTGTCAACCACGTCTGGGTTCCCCCGTCTCTCTTTGTCAAAGAATACCTTATCTCTGCCATCCGATGTGGCGCCTGCGTCTCTCACCAAACATACCATCGCCGACTCGGGTAAGCAGCGGATGGTGCAAACTGTAGGCAAAGAATGGGTGAGGTACGCCTTCCACAAGCACGATACTGCCGCTTGGCTCAGCATCTCAGCCAGCTTCTGTCTTCGTCTCTGGAAAACTGAATGGAAGTCAATCTCCTCTGCGCACCACAGTCTCCGAGTCCAGAAATAACTGGCTCCGACTTTATTTTATCCTTTGTCGACCAAACTGCCTTCTCCCCGATGAAGTATCCCCTGGCCATATCCTAATTCTCATCATCATACATACGGTGTATCGATCAATATGTCACCTCTTGTCTACCAAATCGCACAAATTGCTCTGTCAGCGCCCAAGGCCCCCTCAACCACACGGATGGCTGTTGCTGACTTCGGCCTCTACGTGCAGACAAGATGATGATTGTGGTGACACCACATGGAAGCAGATAACCAACTCAAATGCCGTTGTTGTCGCAGACACTGTTGCTTCCGTACTGCCCATAGATGACGGACATTGATCAGCTGCCTTCGCAACGTGAAGCACAACAATCTTACTGCGACCGATACGCATGTATATCCAATGTTTCTGCAGCAGTCCACAGCGAACCGGGTGTCCTCGTCTTCGCAAGTCTTCGCTTCTTATTGATGCTTAGGCCTCTCGAAGAAAATACGTGAGGAGGCATAGCAGTTAAGAAGAGGGTGCTCGACGCCATCCTAGCTAGTAGTAGGTAGATATCGGCTGCGTCGCGGAATTCCACTTTCAGTTGCACTCACCTGCGTGCGCCTAACCGCTTCATCCGAGACGGTTTGGACTGCGCATCTCGATCTGTGACGACCTGTGAATTGCACCTCCACCGGCTGGAGAGACGGTACTGGTCATGTACTTCTCGAGTTCGACTCTTGCAGAAGAATACAGCGCCGCTACATTCCTACCAGGTTGTATCAGACATGCAAAGCTGACGGTGCGGTCTTACTTTCCCCACACAGACACACCACAGATACATCACGCACAGTCGCACACAAACACACACACAAGGATGAAGTGTGCTGCGCCGCCGCTGCGGTGAGATTACTTCAGCTGGCCATAAGTAGTGGTCGAATGGTCCATTTGCGATTGCACTGCATGTACCAGACTCGTTTGTGACCAAACTTGCCCAGGGAACATTGGAATGATGCATGATAGCAAGCTCGCACCCGGGCTGTACAAAGCTGTTGAATACATGCAAACTCTACAGGCAGGAGCTCGATCGGAGTCTCTTGTGCTCGAGTTTCCATATGCCTTGGGCTCGAGTCCTGGTTCGAAAATCGTTGTGGGTCGGTATTATTGTTGTCGTGTCTTCTGTGCTAAGACTCTCCCCCCGGCCGCCAACGATCTCTTTCCAGAATCCAGATCACCAAACAATCAAAAGCCGCGGAGGATTTGGAGAAAAGCAGAGGAGACTACTCGTGGAAGGGCAGTTATAGGCTTGGCAGGATGCAGACGCTATCGGCGTTTGAGACGAGCTGATCGTATTCGTTGGAGGTTGTTTGGGTGAGCCAGAAAATTTAACCTCGACGGGAAACCATTTCCTTGCACTTGGCAGTGCGCTTGTCGTCGTTAGTACTAGAACTATTTATTCTCACGCCCTGCGATGCCCTGTAATGTACTCTGCTGCAGTGTAAGTCGGAGCGCCATTGAACAGCTCTCGTGCGAGCCAGGCAGTCGTAGGAGGTAGTTTTAGTTGATGTATGGAGACATCACGCCCTTTCAATACCTGTGCCCGTCTCGTCTCCTGCCACGCCCTGTACACGACTGACATTGATTACCTAGTCTCTCGGCGATGGAGCGAGACGAGGCCGAGATGACCACCACTGCCACCGCCGACGAGGACTTGCTGCACCTTGCACCTATTGACTTCCGGGAATTACTTGCAGACGTGACCTCTGCAGAAGCGGAAACCCAACAGAACCAGCAGCAGTGTTCTCTGCACTCCGATGTGGACAAGTACGCCTGCCTTCTTCCATGCAGCCACGCATTTATACTGATCTGTGGCGCAGTAGCCTCTGCAACGACTGCGCGGGCGACTGGACGCAGATCGAAGAAACGGAAGACACGGACGCTCCTCTTGCGGCTGAAGTGGTCGAGCCGGACTATTCGCAGTTCCAAAACTGGATTCCGGAGTTCGTGTGGCCAGACAAGCCGTGCGATGACTGTCGATCGAGAAGGCTGAGCTGCTATGTCCAACGTGGTGAGCCGCATTGCACGCCTTGTTCCACCTTGTTCCGGGAATGTAGTCTGTCAAAGTCGCAGGCGCTGGAGGCCACCAACTACGCGTACAATGATCTAGGCAACTTCCTGGACACGCTTCATGTGGTGCACGAAGATAATCCACGGGACTTTGGAACATACACGGGCACCAAGCCACTGAGGGCAATTGACTGTACGGCGGGTACGGATGCAACCACAACGACGAAAGACGTCGCTTCCAGCAGCTCGAAGCGTAACGGCACCCGGTTTCCCCGGCAAGCTGTGAAAGTGTTGCGAGACTGGCTCGGCGCTCATGCAGACAATCCCTATCCGAGCTCAGAAGAGAAAGCAGAACTTGAGCGGCGTACCGAGCTGAGCCCCAGCCAAATCGCGAATTGGTTAGCAAATGCTCGAAGGCGAAGGAAGGTTACCGGGAAGTCCAAGCCGAAGCTGTGCATGTCACCATCCTTAACACCTACTACTCGTGCTATTGCCATCCCTGGTGCAACTGAGAAGCCCTGGGACGAGCTCAACCCCTTCGAAAGATGGCAACATTCGCCACCAGAAAACGAGCCAGCCGGTCTAGAGGACATCGCGAACGCCCTCGCGCGGAATGAACTGCCAGCGGATGATGTTTCTACGTCACCTTCCACGCTATCGCGTTGCAAGAAACGAAAAGGCTCAAGCAATGGATCCGGATGGTCGAAGTCCAGGGCACTCTCCACCACATCGCAAGATACTGGTCGGACCTCTTCACTCTCCGCATCGAGTGCTCGCTTCTCCAATGCGTCGTCGCACTCGACACACGGTTCAATCGGCTCTTTCAGCCCTACTCTCTCTGGCAAAAAAGAACGACGACGACGACGCAGAGCAGCGATGCAGGCTCCAAGCCAGAGGACAACGGATGATAGAAAGAGAATATTCCAATGCACATTTTGTACCGATACATTCAAGTACAAGTACGATTGGACTCGCCACGAGAAATCGCTGCACCTTTCATTGGAGAAATGGGTATGTATGCCACTAAGTCCGATCTTGACAGACATCGAGTCAGGCAGCAGTAAATGCGTATACTGCGATGTACACAACCCCTCCAATGATCATCTGGATCTTCATAACCATCGGCAATGCGAAGAAAAAGGTGTGGACGCACGCACTTTCTATCGCAAGGACCACCTTAGGCAACATCTACGTCTGATGCACGGATGCGAGATGACCCCGGCGATGGACAGCTGGAAGTCGATTGTCGTCAATATCAGTAGTCGATGTGGCTTCTGTGCACAGCGATTCACTGTGTGGCAAGAGAGGGTAGACCACTTGACAGCTCACTTCAAAGCAGGCTCTCGAATGTCCGAGTGGAAAGGTTGCAGAGGTCTGGACCCCGCCGTGGCAGCTCAGGTCACGAATGCCATGCCTCCTTATCTCATTGGCATAGAATCCGTCAGTCCGAACCCATTCTCTGCAACTAACCGATCTACGTGGCGCGCGTTACCGGGCAGTCGATTAGATGTGGACGCAGGCAACAAGGCATTGGGTACGCTGGGAGAGGACTCGGGCAAACACAGCGAGATCATGAATGCACACTGTGATCGCTATGGGTCAACGAAGGCTACTTGCTGGGAGATTTTGACAATCAGGTTGGGAAATTACGCCAAAAAGATGGCAGAGCAGGGCATGCAGATGACCGACGAGATGCTTCAGAAGCAAGCGCGTATGGTGTTGTACGACAATGACGATACCTGGAATCAGACTGCAGCAGATAATCCTGAATGGTTGGACCTGTTCAAAAAGGCGCACGGTGAGTCAGCAACTAGTCCAGCTGGTCGAATCAGATGGAACATCCAAATGCTGATCAGAACGTGTGTACAGGCCTGGAATCCATACCCAATGCGATCGGAGGGCAAGGGTTAAATGACCTTGAGGGCTTGGTAAGTCTCCATTACATCGACCGAACCAGCACGGGACAAGCCTTCGCTGAATGGCAAAAGGAGTGTTACGGCGATCTTGGCTTGAGAGTGCCTTTCGCAGTGCAGCTGCAGGCCTACAACCTTGCACAGACCGGGCAGCAGATGATCGATGCAGGCAGCCGTCCAGGTCCTCACATATTAGCCTCGGAGCAACGACAGGCGAACGAGGCCCGAATATATGCTCCTATTTCTAAGGAAGGGGTGCTGCAAAGTGGCGAAGCCGGATGTGAGCACACACGGTGTGCCGAAAACGTATTCGATATCAGCTCTGCCAGCAGAAGCCAGGCCCCATGCCCAGAGCTGAGGTCCCGGTGCGGCAACGATCTATTGACAGACCTGCAAAAACGTGTGCACATGCTCCAACGTACGGAGATTGACGAAGCGAGTAGACACCACAATTGCGTCTCCCCGGCTCTGGGCAGCATTTTCGCTTTTGATGCTCGAGAGACCGCACAAGCAGCAGCAGCAGCAACATCAAGCCGTCCTAATATGAGTGAGATGGAAACCACGAGCACTGGCGCTAAGACGGAGTCCCTAGGACCACAAGCTATCGCGTCGCTACCGTTTGCGAGTGCTGCGTCGACATCACGGGTGCCTCTTCCAAACTCGATACAGGATGAAGGACTGGATTGGACCATGCTAATCAGCGGCGATATGCCCTGGATGAACTCCAACACAATGGCAAAGGCACAGCCCTTGGACACAGCATTAAGCCAAGAGACGGCCATGGATGATGTCAAGTTTGATGACATGATATTCGATATGCCGCTCGATGAGGCTTTTGGCATGAATCAGATCTTTGAGCGAGTGAATGTGAAATATGAGAAGCCTTAGGAGGCGTTTTCAAGAGGTCAGGACCGAAGTAGATTATGTATATACCGGTAAATTGATAGATTCACCCATGTCGTACTATACCTGGACGCCACAGTGCGAGGCACCTAGTCGTAGAAGTAGGCAGTTTCAGTTAAGTAGTCTATAGGCAGGGCGGGCAGTGCAAATGCTTGGCACTTGCTCCTATGCGTTTCAGCGCGGCTTCCTTTGCTTTCCTCATTGTCCTACCTGGTACGTTTAGTTTTGAATACCTTAGCCTCTTATACACCTGCACCCCTTTCTTTATCGAACTTACGTCTTCGCTAGCCGAAGTTGTTTAAAGGCATACTTCTATTGCCGATCCTCAAAGACGCATTAAGCACGATCACGAACCTGCGCCTAGTCGACCGAGCTTAGGAACCCGCGAGATGGCTACGAACGGCAAAGGCGGCGAGGGCGCAGAGGGGAGAAGTACAAGTGGCACGGGAAGCGGTAAATCCAGAGCACGCCGAATTGGGAGCACGCGTATCGCATACACTAACATGACACACAGAGTCCATCACCTACTCGAGTGGCAATCAGCGGGCCACACCGGACTTGCGTTTCCTACACTACAACGATGTCTACCACGTCGAGCCAGGCTCGCGAGAGCCTGTTGGCGGTATTGCAAGATTCCAGACTCTGTGCGAAGGCTATCGAAGTAGTGCTGCGAAGTACTTGGGCCAGCCTGAGTTGCTCACCTTCTTCTCGGGCGACGCCTTCAACCCGTCTCTGGAATCATCAGTCACGAAAGGGAAGCACATGCTGGCGCCACTAAATAACCTCCATACCGACGTGGCGTGCTTAGGCAATCATGACCTGGATTTCGGTGTCGAACAGTTCCAGTATCTGGCCGAGCGCTGCAAGTTCCCGTGGCTTTGTGCAAATGTGCTAGATCCCGCTCTAGGCCAGGATATACCTGTGGGTAATTGCAAACGCAGCGTGATGTTGTGTTCAAGCAATGGGATTCAAATTGGAGTGATTGGGATTGTCGAAAGGGAGTGGTTGGACACAATCAACACTTTACCGCCGAACCTGGTCTATCTCAGCGCGAGCGCCACAGTTGCTGAAATAGCACCGAAGCTTCGAGCCGAAGGCGCTGAAATGATTGTTGTGGTCTCGCACCAGCGGCAGCCCAATGACGATAAACTCGCTAGCAAGCTTCAACCGGGAGTGGCGGATATCATTCTTGGAGGACACGACCATTTCTACGCCCATTCTATCATAAACGGCACCCATGTACTTCGCTCCGGTACAGACTTCAAACAGCTCTCCTACATCGAAGCCCGACGCAATGGGAAAGCCTGGGACTTCGATATCTTTCGAAGAGATGTAGTCTCATCCATTCCGTCGGACCCTTCGGCTGTAGCCATGGTCGAGAACATCACGGCGAAGCTACGACCTATGCTCGAAAAACCGATAGGCTACACTTCCGCTCCTCTGGATGCACGCTTTTCTACGGTGCGAACCCAAGAGTCAAATCTCGGGAATTTCGTATGCGATCTGATGCGATACTACTATGATACCGATTGCTGCATCATGGCCGCAGGAACCATTCGAGGCGACCAAATCTACCCCCCGGGCGTGCTCAGAGTGAAAGATATGATGAACTGTTTTCCCTTTGAAGACCCTTGCGTCGTGGTAGCGCTACAGGGCAAGCATATTGTTGCGGCATTGGAGAATGCTGTGGGCAAATATCCTGCTCTTGAAGGTCGATTTCCACAAGTCAGCAATATCAAGTTCATGTTCGATCCCTCCAAACCGGAAGGGAGCAGATGTTCAGACATCAGGATCGGCGAGAAACCTGTAGACATGGAGAAAGAGTATACGCTAGCCAGCAGAGACTACATGATTCACGGCCGGGATGGCTTCACCAGCTTGAAACTCAAGGAAGACGGAGGGCCTGCTCGGAGCATCGTATCAGACGAGAACGGTGGACTGATCAGCATGATCATACGACAATACTTCATGAGTCTGAGGATCATAGGGAAATGGAAGCGGTTTGGCGGAATGCTAGGCCATTTCGAGCAGGTTCACGAAGGCTTGCACAAAGTGCATCCCATCCTCAACGCTTCGCCAGTAGAAGCCTCGGCCGCGAGCGCCAAGTCCACTGCGAACATCGAAGTCTCCTCGGGAGAACAGACAGAAGAGACACACGGCGAGGTCCGAGAATCACTCGTTGCGCGAGCACAGCAGCATCGTCGGCAAAGGTCGGAGTTGACGGAACGACCAGCAAAGTCTAGAAAGCTCAACGAGCAGCAGGACTCCAGCAAAGGCGAACAAGGGTTCCAGTTGTCAGACAGTGAGGATGATGGCGATGACGACCTGCCTGATGACCCGGCTCGAGAGCGAGAGCTCGCCATCATGAGGAAAGTGATGAGAAAGTGGTGGCGACTGGCTGGTCTCCCCGGGAATCCGAGAATGGTCGAGCAGAAAGGGGATGAGTTCGCTGTAGCTTGGACAAAAGGTATCGCCCCCAGGCTAGAAGGAAGAATTAGAATCGTTGGGAGTGCAGTAGCAGCCTAGTGCTATAGATAAATTGCTGGAGCCCTTCAAAAGCAACTAGTTCCTTTTTCCAAGGTCACGCACTTATGCGTGATGCTCATGCTCATGCTCAACTGTGAGCAATAGTCCAAGTAGGTAGGCGAGACGAATTAAATTTCCTCGACCCTGAGTAGTTTCAAAACATGGCTCTGTAAACGTTGTAGAGAGTATGCTCTATATGTACCCATCGTTTTTTCAGCATCGTATTTCCACACCCTGTCGACTAACAGTAAGATACTTGACGCCTTTATAAGGTTTCACGCTCGGCGCCAGACCTCGACTCTTTTTGGTATCGAGCACTAAACTTTCCACCTTCAAGCCGCTTGCGAGCCAGCCTTTGACGCTGAAGCTCACTGTCGCGCACGAAGGCATGAGCTCTCTGTTTCGAGCATTCTGCTGCTCAGTACGATCGGAACCATTCATTCCACTTTTCGATTTACTGTTGCTGTAATGTCCTCCTGTTGGCTCTTCGTCGTAGTCATACGTTGTTGCTGTTTTGCCGTTGACTACTCCTCCAGAAGAAGAGCTGCTGCCATCGGCATTGTTATTCTCGTCGTTCAGAGGACCCAAGACACTGCACCGTAGAATTGCTCCGCCGGGTCCGAGGTCTTTGGGCGATATCCTCCATTCAACGTTGCCATCTGCGGGATTCCAATGCGATTCGCCTTTGCTGGGTCGCATATCGCTCAGATTGCGGACAGCAGGCGGAAGCGGGATATGTATTGTCAGGTCCTCCAGTGCAGGCGCGCTTGAATGTCCGGTAGGATTTGTACTTCTGAATGATGCACCGGGCCGACCAGATCCAAGATTGGATTGGAGTGATGCGGCCGCTGGGGAGAAGCTGGCCGAGTTTTGCTTCGCTCGGACTTCGAAATCGGCGCCTGACGAACCCAGGCCGGTCGTGATCTCGATGCTGACGGGCAGGTTGAGACCATTCGATGTTGATTTTGCTGTGCTGAGATTGAGATCCGGTCCAAGTAGATCCGACTCGTAGCCGCAGAGTGCAAATCTGCCGTCCGGTGGTACAAACGACATGACGCCCTCTGTTTTCCACTTTGCCAATCGCACACAAGGGTGAAAGACCACACGCTCCATAACATTTCGTAATTGATCGCCTCTTGTGCCCATGCCTGCACCTTTTCCTCCTGTTGACAGACTGAGCACTAGATCTGGCACCCCACTGAGCTTCGAATTGAAGGCAACACTGCCGTTCGCGAATGCAGACAATGGCCTCCCAGAGGGCGCGAGAGTGACTTGCAACGTCTCCACAATATCAACGTACATTTCATTGCTCGTATGGAGTACATTTGTCCGCCGCCATGGTACTGCCGAGCCTTGGGTGGTTTGTGCTTGTGACAGTGTCTGCCTGGATAGTCCCCCCGATCCCATAGCTTGTAGATTCGGACTGGATCCAGGTAGACCTACGCCACCAAGAAGGTTCTTAAGCACTCCTGGTCCAGTTTCCACCACGTCTCTGAGCGCGCTGGCTTCTCCTTGACAGATGACACCACAGTCGGCCATTTCGGCCACGATCTGGGCCACAATATCATAGTTCGACGAGAGCTTCGTGGCGATCAACGGGCTTCCCAGGAACTCTTCCAAAGCATCGGCGACTCTGTGTAGAAACTCTAGCACAAGCAGGGGCTCGATGTCGTTGGAGGCAGGTGACAGGAAGAGTAGGTTGTCCTGTAAGATGGAGAAAAGGACCGTGGGCGGATTCGTGGCAGTCAGATAGATCACACTCGGTCGCGGCGACTCATGTTGCAGGTATAGCGGGAGGACGATGGTGGCAGCAGGCGGCTTGTTCGTGTAGACATGGTTGAAGAGCAGTGAGCTCGAGGTCTGTTAGTTTGATAGACCCAAGAGAGCCATGTTGGGGCACCGTTACTTACGTACTTGTGCTCGTCGTAGATGTACAGCGCCTCGATGGCGCTCATGGTCCGTGGGTACTCGGGAGTATACTGCGCTGTGTTGTACTGTACCGAGCCGCCGTGATGTTGTTAAGACGATGCGGAGTGGAGCCTGGTCAACTGGAAGTCCGAGTGAAGAGAACCACCCTCCACGAAACTATGGTAGCTCTCACTCCGGGCCCGATCCGCAAAGCTTGGACGTATGATATCGCACTTGAGGTACCTCCTACAGAGTGAAGCTTTCCACAACACCGACCTGGACATCATTGTTACTTACTGTACCGCGGAGCAAACGGACACGGTGCTATATACCGATCGCACGATGGCCATGCCCGAATCGACGTCACCTGCTGGGACGAAGCGTCCACATCCCTCCACGACAGCAACAGCAACAGCATCGGCATCACCAGAACACAGCACCAAGAGGAGGAGGATAATCCACCATGCGCTCAAGCATGTGCAGCACATTCCGCAAGATATCGAACCGGCGCCCCAGGACCCAGTCTTTGCGCAAGGCCAGCTCTTAAAGAGCATCAGCGCCGCTCTCGTGATGGTCGGCTACGACGCTGTCCTTCCCACCGCCCTCGAGATGTTCCGCTCACACGTCGAAGAGTACATGCTCAAATTCCTCTCTCATACACGAACCTCGATGCACAACAACCGCCGAACAATACCGACCGCGCTCGACTTCTCTCAGTCACTCGCAAACATGCCCTCGTCACATCTGCCACAGCTACTGCTCCCGCAACTTGCGCTAGACGTGCCTGAGGACATATCCTACCCCTCGATACCAGAGCCCGATCCAGCGCCTCCCAAAATGGACGACTTCTCGAAGCTGCTCGAGCCGCTGATTGAGCAGCATCCACCGGCATGGATGCCTCGTCACTTCCCTCCACTACCGCCCAAGCACTCATGGAAGGAGACCGCAGTATTTCCACAACGAGAAACAGATTCGCGCAAGCTGCGCGAGAAAGCAACGGAGGAAGGTGTGCTCGCGGAGCAGGCCTTGAGAAGACTGGCAGCTGCGGCTAAGTCTAGCGCGGTCCACGCGGAGAAGAATCGGCATAATGCGCTGAGAGGTGAAGGCAAAGTTAGGAATCCTTCACGCCCAGGTGGTAGAGCTGCCGCTAGAAAACACGAAGATACGTTCGCAGAGATGCTGAGGGAAGAGGGCGGCGGCGATGAAGCAGCGGAACTTGCAAGTGACGCTGCAGATACGAGGACGGGCGTGGATCTGAGCATGCCGGAAGGAGTAGTGGTCAATCACCACAATGCATATTGGAGACGGCCTGGGCAGAGGCGAGGCACGCGAACATAGGCGGACCATGCCTCACTTCTTCGTGCTCGCAATATATCTGATTCTGTCCCGGGAAGAGCACGAAAGTTGGGCCGTATATCTGACACCATACTTTCGACCAAGTCCGAGGAGATTGACGAGACCGACGGGCTCGAAACAGAGGACGAAGAAAGGGAGTATTGCTACCACGGTTGCGATACCCCGTATGATTCAGCGAAAATGCTGAGATGTGCCGGCGAGGACTGCGAGCAAAGATGGTTTCATTTTGAATGCGCCGGCATTGAAAAAGCAACAAATGACAAAAAGTAGTATTGTCAAGAGTGTTTGCTGGCAACATTACACGCTTCATCCGAGAAGGCGCAAGCCACTTTGCAAAGGCTCAGCGAGACATCTTGACGCGATTCCGTCGTCATTGGAAGCCCTCGGCGTAGAAGCCGACAGGAAAAGCACGAGTACCTGGTAGCGGCGCAGATGCTGATATTGCGACGCGGAGATGGGCTTAGTGCTGGCGTATCACTAGCGCGGCCTGTCGTAGCATTGGGAAACTGCTACAGGCAATAACGGAACATGGCGTGCGAGCGTCCTTTTGATGGGTATCCGCGGCGTCTGTCACAGCTAGGCGTAGTCAGGCCGAAGATCCAACCTGAACGCGATATTCGAAGACCCAGTTTTTATTAAGCGCCGGCGCTGGCAGGGCTATTATTGTTACACTGTACATTGAGGCATATGAGCTTGCCAACTGTAGTATAAGAGTAGCATCGTGGTTTCGTTCGTGTAGAAGAAGCGAGGTACCCACCGTTCCGACCATGTTTGGTCGTACACCACGGATTTCTCACATCACCTTGTCAACTACCTGACGCTTCATTTCATCAAATTTCCCCCATCTGCAGTACTCCCGTCAAATCTGTCCTCCCAACTCGTCGTCTCCACCGTGAGACCATTTGCGCATCTGTAAAAAAAAGTTCACGTCACGTCAGCGCTTGCCACCAGCGCCAGCATCACCACCACCAACCACCACCCACACACCCCTCCTCCAACTTTCTGAAAAAAGAAAAAAAAAAGAGCAAAACTCACTGCCGGAATAATCTCAAAACTGGCTTACACACCACCTTGGACTTGGGATCATCCTTCGGTCCATCCAAATCACAATTGTATTGCAGTAATTCCTTGAGTGTGCACTCTTTCTTCAAGTCCTTCACGGGAGATTTGTGCGCTTTGCCTGTCGGGAGAGTGTTGATTCTGGATTGCAGTTCGGAGGCGTGGAAAGCTTCTAATATCGGCGCCATCTTTTAGATTTCGGGGGTCTTGTTGTTTTCTTTCTTCGCTCCTTCTTCTTCTTCTTCTCCCGATGGCGTGGAGGAACTCGATTTTTTTACTTTTTCGTTGCTGCTGACTGCGTGCGTGCGTGCGCTGATTATGAGGTGGTGGGATAAGGTATGCGATGATGAGTGTGGAGGATTTGGGGAAGAAGTTGTTGGGGGAAATTGAGGAGGTGGGATTGGATGAGGTTGGTCTTTTCTTTTGATGGAAAAGGTACCTACCTAGGTAAGGTATAATTTGACAAGCTGACGTGAAAGATGAAATAGATTCTGAGCGATCTACGGTTCCAACAAGCTGCTGATTCGACGTGTCATTTTGGTCTTGCCCAGATGGACACTTTGATTCGTGGTGTAATGGATACACATGCCGGCCCTGCGAAGAGACAACAAGTTCCGGCACCCATGGTGGAGCTCATGTCACAATATCCAGGAGGCGGCAAGACACATTTGCTATACCATCTGACTGCACTAGCAGTGCTACCCACGAGCTTAGGAGGACGACAAGCTGCAGTCCTGTACTTCGACACTGACAGACATTTCTCCGTGCCTCGACTCGCTCAACAGATTCAACGTCTGGCGCTCGCACACGGCGGAGAGCCATTCAACAAAACGGAAACCAAGAACATGATACGAGAATGCCTCAAACATGTCCATATCTTCAAGCCCTCTTCCCTGGCAAATACAGTCCATACCCTCAACAACATCGCTAAATACCTCTTCAACCCTCTCAGACACCACTCGTTCGACCGCGCCATAGCTTTCATCGCCATAGATTCCGCTTCAGCGTTCTACTGGCAAGCTCGCCTCGAATCCGACCAGGCGAATCTTGCGTCCTTTACTATTGCGAGCAAGAAAACCGCTGCCGAAGAGCATCATCCTCCTCCTCCTATCGGCTATAATGATCTCGCATCTGCTCTCAAATCAGCTTCACGTACTCTCTCCACGCCTGTAATTTACACAGCGCGCGACTACAACCCCCCTCAGCTGTCTAGACAACAAGTACAACAACATCAATCCTCAGCATTCAGCAGTCATCTCAATGCTTTTTCGTACCGGCCCTGTCTTCCTTCGCCTTTTCACTCCCTACCTACTTTGAGGTTTGTGATTCGGAGAGCGGATGTGAGAAAGTTGCCGGCGGGGATTAGTTTCGAAGAGGCAGCGAGGGAGAACGCGATTAGAAAAGAGGTTGTGGCATTGGGCAAGTTTGAGTGTTTTGTGAATGAGTGGGGGGTCGATGAGAAGGTCATGGAGAAGTTGAGGGCAAGAGGAGCCATGTTTGAGGTCTTCATTACAGGCGAGGGGGTGAAGATTGGTGACGGGCCGGAGTGAACATTAGTACTCGTCTGCGAGGATGAAGGCGGATTCCATGGAAAAAGAAAATATGAGATCCAACATATGACTTTCGCAATCACTTCCATTCCTGCTCCAATGGTGGGATATGTACAACCGCTGCCGCAAGTCTGGCGTTCGTGGGCGGTGTTGTTTGTCGCATGCTTTTCCATGATCGCAGTGCCATTCCATTCCATTCCCTTCTTTCGCCTCAAATATCCCTCTCCATCACAATGCTCTATTGCTGGCTGAATGCATTGGCTCTCTGATCCTCCAGCTTGGCGTAAAAAACATCTCTCCTGCGGACCGATGGGACGTGGAAGCCTTTCATTTCGTGTCAGTATTGGGAGTCCCAGCTCGCGTCGCAGCAGATGAGTCGTTCGTAAGTCTCGAAGAAGGCGTTCTTGCAGGTTCGTCCACGTACCGTACCACCATAAGTATCCAAATGAGGTACCGAGACCTAGAAAGATCGCATTAGTGGCCTTTTGTCCTGGCTGTTGTACTTATGGAACTGTTGCATAAGAGGTCCAATGGCGCTGTCGGAGGGTGTGCAAGGCATACCGAAAGCAACGGAGAGATCGAGGACTAGGCCCCTTCGGAGCATCTACGCGCGGTCAGCGTCGCCTGGTCAGGAGGCAGAGCAGGAAGATCCACGTACGCCGGTGATTGGCTTCACCATTTTTGCGGCTTCGTGCAGGAGATGAGCGGTTTTGTTGTGTTGGAGATGGTGGAAGTGTCCTTGTAGAAGCCCCGAGCCATGTCGTCGTGATGGACGGAACAAGATTGCTTGGCTTCTGATGCGGAAGAAGCCGGATCCCGCTTGCACTCGGTGACTTCACAGCTTTGACACCTGACTCCAACACTTCCACTTCTCCCGAAGACTGGCCACTTATTGTTCTCACTATTTTCAATCTGCCGATGGCGCTGGAAGAACTCTCGAAGCCAGCACAACACGAGGCAGTGAAGACAAGTGAGGACGCGATCATCAAGCTAGATGACTCTCATAGGCATAGCATAGTAGTGGAACACCACTATCGACCGATACCAACCATAAGATACTGGTTGTATCTGCAATATCAAGCTCTGCCATCAACTCTGATGACAAGACATTACACTGGATGCATTTGATTACTGACCAAGCCGAAAGAGAAGAGAGACTCCCATATGAGATATTCCACATCAAGAACATGGCAGTCTAGAAGAGAGAGAGTGTGTATGTGTGTACTATTCTCCTGGCTGTTTTCTGGCGCATCTAGTAGCAGGTAGGTACCTGAGTTTCTTATGACGTGGAATTCGATAGTCTTCTGGGTCAAGGTGACTTCCGGACAGTTTGTTCAAGCCGTCGTGATTGGATTAGATGAGGATGATGAGGATGATCATGTCCTGGCTAAGGTAGTCGACAATAATACCATTGCACTAGATATTGCAGCTATTCGCAACTCAGCATAGGTACTGGTCATGCCGTCAACTTTTCAAAGTTCGGCAATTTTCAGAATGCGCATCTGCTGTATGCTTACATGTATACCATGTATTCGAATATATGTATGTATGTTATGTATCGGTTTCCATTTCATGTCGTTTCTCAATAGTGAGACCTCGTGTTTCATCATAATGTCCAGAGCAGCACATACATCATTATTGAAAAGTTCTCCGCTCGCTCGCTCGCTCAAAATCGCTATCAAATGCTCCCCCATATTCACAACCGAAACTAGATGTCATAACAAGTGATTACTGCTCGTAGGTAAGATCCAGACTGGAGATAAAAATTCATGAGTGGCTGGGAGCTGCAGACAGTCCACTAAGCGCCATATTTGGCAATCGCACAAGGCGCTGCATGGCGCTGCGATTGTGCAGATCGGAACCAAATACTGCCGCCGGTCAATGGCATCCAAGGTCCAGAGGCCAGAGGTCTTTTTTGTTCTGCGTTGGCCCACGCAAACACGTATAAGATCGCTTGGAATGCAGTTGGCTGCCGCAGGCAAACAAATGTCATTGCTCTCTGCTCGTTCTGAGTCCCAGGACTTGCATACCTTCGCCAATGCCATCGTACACACCACCACTCAGGCCTTGGACGAGATAGATGCTCACGTCCTTAAGCTGCTCACCCACCTTGCCATCGTTCATGGAGCATACTTGAGCCGCCATGGTGAACGTGCTCCTTCTCATCGCATCTGCCGTTTCTATGCTGTGAGATAGTACTCTGTCGCTGATCTTATGTCGACGATCGAACCGGTACGCTGCTCGGAGCATTTGCTGCACATATGGAAAAACGAATGATGCAGCAAGGAAGAGGTACATAGTGCAAACTGCCACCAGGTGCTGTAAAGTGGTTTGTTGATGCGGTTGCTGCGTGCAGCCTTGTTCGCGAGTCGCAGCCGAACGCATTGCCAGTTGAGTATCGTTCCTTTGGACGGGTTTCAGCGCTGCTGGGAGTGCCTCTCGCAGGTTCATCGCCTCCTCTTCACTCAGATCTGTTGGCAGGCCGTGTAGTAGGCATGCCACGCCACTAATGTACTGACGACGAGCGAACAGCGGATTCAGGACCGACGCCTCCATATCCTCTGATTGCGCGAGAATGAGCGAGCTGAACCCAGGTTTGGCATATCTCCACTGTATTCCGCTTCCCGTGTCTTCCTGAAGAGGCTCTCCGACAAATGTGGGGGTTGTGCTCCCGGAAGACGAGGGTCTACTCTGCGTTGTATTCTCTATCCATGTCGACACTCTCGGTGGTTCCTGGGGGAAACAATGTTCGCGCGGGCTGCCAGCGTATGATTGGGGAGGGGTGAGGTCATCCTCGCTGTCCAGGCTCGAGACTCGTTGATGGCGTGATCGCTTGTCAATGAAGTCATGTATACTGTCGCCAAGCTTTTGTATTCTGTGTTGCACCAAAGCTGGCCACAATGTGTACAAGACGAGCGAGGCATGTCTGCTATATCGAGGATGTCTGCCATTCGAGTCAGCCTCGTCGGAGGAGCCGGAACTGGCGGAGGACATCTGGCGAAGATGGGATGTTGAGAGGAAGACGATGCAGGATGAGGACTGGAGAAGCAGACAGATGAGGCGAGACGATTAGTCCGAAAGCATGGCATGTATAGCAAGCAGCTTGATGATACACTTGGAGGCTGCAGAGGGAGAGAAAATTGGCGAAAAAGATTCCCACGGGCACTACTGTGTCCTCAACGAGGTATATCCTGAAGTCGGAGTATCCACACCGTCAGCGCTCATGACCGAACTTAGGGCGCATGTGAAAGTGGCAGACCCACGTTGGGGTCAGCACGCCTGGCAGTGGCAGTGGCAGCAGGGCAGGTTGACGTGCATAACTTCCGGGAGCTTGGCTTGGCCACTCTGGGTGATTCAGCCTATCGCAGAGCCGGTAGGTTATATACCGGCAGCACATTGCGCCCGCCTCCTGCTGAATAAGCATTTCGTGCGAGCATGTGCCCGGAGCTGTTGATAACGGCAGCGCAAAGAATCTGTGGAGGTGGAGACTGGAGTCTAGAAGCGGCCGTGAAACCTGAGTTCACCTCCCTCCTCTGTCGCTGCGAGCAACGTCTGGCCGAGTTGTGGTGAAAATCGGGCGCTAACGGGTGCTCTTATCACTGCGCTTGGCGACAGACAGCTGTGTGGACCATTCATTCTACAACGTTGTACGTGGTACGGTGGAAGCATGTCACCATGTGACACCAGCGCCTACTACGTCCCCAGCAGCTATTAGGTATGTATGTGTGCTCTGCAGGGCAAAGGGAAAAAGGGCACCTGACCTCTCCAGCGACTGTTTCTGCTCGACACGGAGTGTGTTTTCTCGAGTCCTTCGGTCGCCGTAGCATCACCCACCGAGCAGTTGTAGAAGTGTACCAGGCAAGCTATCGACGCCCTGCTTGTTAATTGCAGATACTGGCGTGGAAACCAAGTTGGTCTTCCAAGCATTCTGCTTGCCACTAGGGTGCTCTTCTTTTCCGGCTTGGACTCTTTGCAAATAGCTTCGCAACTGCATATAGTTCTCCTGCGCACCCGGCAAGTCCGCTTTGGTGCCAACAACGAGCCACGGCTTGCTACTGATCGGCGGTAGTGACAATGGCGGTAGCTTGCGACCTGGAGCTGGATCCAGGACAAGAGCATCGTCTCCTCCTTCTCTTACCGCTTCAGGATCCAGGCCTGGCGAGATCGAACTCGAGAACGGCTCGAACGCGACCACTGCATCTTCCTGTGACTTCACACGCTCGGTCTCCGCATTCAGCTCATGTTCGCGTAGCTTCTCGTACGCGCCAACTTCCCGCCATAGTCCTTTGAGTGCACTGACAGCATCTCCGGCGTTGAGATCAATGACAAACGCTAGAACGGCGGCACGTTCTATGTGTCGTAAAAAGCCCAATCCAAGCCCTTTATCCAAATGTGCGTCCTCGATCAGACCGGGAATGTCTGCGATTGTAAGTCTCTCTCGTGGGCGCTTCCGCCATTCTTTCGTAACCAGACTGGGACGTCCAATGTGGTCATCCAACACAATTGTGCCAATATTGGGAGCTAGAGTGGTGAATGCCCAATTGCCTACTCTTGTCCTTGATCTTGTGATTGCTCTCATCAACGTAGATTTTCCCGCATTCGGTAGTCCCACAAGACCGACATCAGCCAGCAGCTTGAGCTCAAGTTGCAGGTGGATTCTCATGCCCTCCTGGCCTTTTGTAGCGTATTTCGGCTTCAAGTCCTGCTTCGAGACAAAATGCGGATTTCCCAGACCACCAACGGCTCCCGCTGCGAGCAGCATAGGCGCCTCCATGGCTTTATCGAGGTCCAATCGCAGAGGTGCTCGTGGCTGAGCCGCAGCCAAAGGGCTTCTGCGTGGTCGAGGAAGCGGTGGAAAGTCATCAGGAGTGAAATGCTTCGGCAAGCCACCAGGATAGATCAGCCATTCGTCGCGCTGAGACCCTGGCTTGTCTCCAAATACGTCCTCTTTTGCTTCCGCCCGGGCGTCCTCGTCGAAGGCCTTGCGACCTCGTCCGTTGCGCATGCGATGTCTTTCTCTCGCTTCCTCAGCCTCGACGGCCTCCATCGGATCGTTCCTCGAGATCTCCCTGACCACAGTGCCCACAGGTACTGTGATCAACACATCGTGGCCCTTCGCGCCGCCTTTCAAACTCCCCTGGCCGTTCTTACCTCTGCCAGCTTTGAGAAGACCTCGTCGGGCAATTTTGTGCAAACTAGTCTCACCTTGCACGGCTTGTATGTACACACTGCCCCCAAAGCCGCCGTCGCCGCCGTTGGGAGGTCCAGCAGCGATAAATTTCTCTCGTAAGAATGAGACACAGCCATGTCCACCAGAACCTGCAGCCACGATCAAAGTACAGGCGTCTGTGAAAGGCGCAGAGGAGTAGTCCGTGGGTGCCGGGTCGAGATGATTGTACTGGGAAGTGTCTGCTCCTGTCACCGGTACATGAGGCGCATCAGCGCCGGAGATAGCAGCAGCTGTATGCGAAGTAGTGTATGCAAACTTCTGCCTCGGCTGGCAGGGAATCGTTCTTCGCACAGCATGTCGAGTCGTCGTAAGGGGTGCTCTGCGTGCGGAGAATGAGACAGCGGACCAGGTGCTATCTAGGCAAGGATACAGAAACAACAACCTCGGCGCAGAGGACATTGCGGTGATGGTCATGCGTCGAAATAGCCTCAGAGGCAGCCAGAGGATGGATGAGATACCTATACAGCGAGTAGCGACAAGATCATCCTCCTGCCCTGCGCGTGTAAACGAGTGCGAGGGAGAAACGAGCGGATCCTCTCGATGCCGACGGAAATGATAGGCTTGGCAAGCTACCTCCTATACCTGGTATCTAGAACATGTACCAGACTTCCATTGTCGTTCTTCCTCCACATCTTTTGCCCGGACACCCCAGCAAGTTGCATCGGTCGTGGATTTGTATACTTGTTGCTCATCGTCCACGCTTCACCCCGTCTCCCAACCAGGACCCATCGACACGTTATTCATGGTCCTCCCTTGTTACTGGGTCGGTCGTTCGATGCGGCCCCATAATGTGGTATTTAGAGTTGCTATAGTACATAACCTTGTATAGCTTCTTCAGCAATGACCTCGGTCTGATCTGGAGAGCTCCAGCAGCCTTTCACATCGCTGGGACCGGACCCAACGCGTCCCCGCGCGCGTTGGCACGAGTAGCAAGCCTCTGCCGTCGTGACGGTGTCTGGCCGTCGTCCAAGCCACATTATTATTATAAGTACACAAATTGCGCCAGCGCAGAGGATCAAAGTTGTCCTTCTCTGCCTGTTCACTGCCGCCTACTCCCACGTTAAACAGCCTCTACTACTGCCTCACTGTGATCTCCCTGCCAAGATGTCGAAGCTCCTCACTCCCGCCGTAACAGGCGCCATTCTCTTCGCGCTCACACAATCACCAGACCGCATCCGAGAGCCACTCCTCGCCCAGCTCCGCCAATATCTCTCCCCAGAAAACATTACGAGACTGATCACATCGCTCAAATGGCTCGTAGCAATCGGCCTCGTCAGCAAGACCAACACATGGCTCTCGGAGCTCGCGCAAAACAATTTCCGACTACGATCGGAGAAGCACAGATATCACTGGCCACAAGAAGTCGTAGTCATTACCGGAGCGACAGGAGGTTTCGGAAGTCTCATGTCCAAAGACTTTGCGTCTCGAGGACTGAACGTCATTGCATTGGATATTCGCGATGATCTCCCCGCCGACATGAAAAACAATCCGAGGATTCACTACTACAAGTGTGATGTGACTGATCGCAAGCAAGTTGCTGAAGTCGCGAAGCACATCCGACGCGAACATGGCGATCCAAGTATCCTGATCAACAATGCTGGTATTTCTAGTGAGGGGCCGATTTTGGAGCAGAGTGAAGCGGGTTTGCGCAAGGTGTTCGATATCAACATCATTTCGCATTACTATACCGTTCAGGAGTTCCTTCCGGCCATGACGAAGAATAAGAAAGGTCATGTGGTGACCATTGCATCTATGGCTGCTTTCGCTACGACTCCTGGACTTGTGCCATACAGCAACACCAAAGTCGCCGCTTGGGGTTTCCACGAGGGTCTGCAGCAAGAGACTCGTGTCTTCTACAACGCACCGGAAGTCAAGTTCTCTTGCGTGCACCCTTCCTTTGCGGCGACGCCTATGGTGGCACCATTCCAGAAGCAACTCGAAGCTGGTGGAGCTCGCATAATCACTGCCGAAAGCGTCGCCGACGCAGTTGTTAAGCAAGTCATGAGCGGACGCGGAAAGCAAATCATCTTGGCAGGTAATCTCGGTGCTGCAGTGTGGTTGAGGTCCTTGCCACATTGGCTTCCACTTGGTATCTTCCAAAGTGGTGATAAGCGTACGAGAGTAAGTTATCGCAAGGCTCCTCCATGGATGCCTCCTTGTCCCATGCTAATGTCACAATAGGCATCGTACGAGCAGATGCTTCCGAGCGCATCCACACGCAAAGGTCTCTAAAGACCAGGCAGGCACTGTAATAGGATACCCACATCAGCAAACCGGCCTTTCGGCAGTAATGTAGACTACACGATAGACTCACAAATAGATCACGACAAACCTGGACGTTGTTCGTCATATTGCAAGAGCTGCCTTTCCCTTGTGCGTCGATGCTATACGAGACCAGTTGGACTTATATACTTTTTTCGTCTCTGGCTAGCCCGTGTTTCACGCTGGCTGGGAGTCGCGCCAAGATGCGCAGAATGCTCGTTCTTAGGGCCGTGGCGTGATACCAGTGCAGTAGCTGGTGTCTCCTTTGAGGAGTTGCCAGCTGAGCTAGGTGGATCCCGATTCAATCCGGACTTCGCATCACTTTGGCCTTTCATGATACTAGACTCGTTATTTGGTCCCAGAGTCGTGTTGCGTCGAGTAGAAGATTGATCAAACGACCGGAGCTTGCGACTTAAAGGAACAGCATTTTCGCCCATAGCTTCTGCGTCAATCACTCCTTTCTGCATTGAGTGATCTTGTGCCTCACTGTCGGTCTTCGCATCGCCGAAAGTGCCAGCCAGCACCCTTTTCTGAATAGCTGCTGCAGTTGCTGCTTGATCTTTACGCTCTTTCACAGTTGGTGCTCGTTTTTCTTGCTCCTTCGTCGTGATCTTTTTCTTACCGTGCTTTGCAGTAGCGGTCCCTTCAGTATCGTTGAAACGACGCTTCTTTTGACCAGCTGTGGAGTCAGTGCTCTCAGCGACCGGTTCGCCAACAAATGAATCCGGTGGAGAAGATGCTGTGACGACTGTTGGAAGAGCTGCGATGTCAATGACCATGTCTCCGATCTTGGACCGACGTCCTTCCAGTGGCGAGTCCGGACGTGAAGTTGTCAAGGCACTTTGAGCCAGTTCCTCAGACATCGAAGTAACGAGGCTCATCCCTTTCGTCACTTGTTGTCCTCTGTCACGGGTCACCACTTCCAACGCGATCATATCGGTTTCCTCGTCGTTCCCAGCTTTGGCGTTCTCGCAAGCGTCGCGAACAGACGAATTCTAGTCCCCTTGTTGGTTCCCTTGCGATTGCGTTGGACGCTCGTCTGGCCTGAGTGTCCGGACGATTACATCCACCAGTAGCTGCTGCTCTTCCGCGGTGAAGCGATCCTCCACATGCTCAATCATAGGCTGTAGCATTTCGATGGTCTCCGGCGCATGATTGTAGATCATGAGCATCTCCGGCTCAGTAAGGCACTTCTTTTCCTGCTCCGGCTCGAACTCTTTATCGATCTGCTCCCTGGTCATCTCCTGCAGTCGCTCTTTCCATTCCGCCTCAAGTGAGTCCTGCATGGCATTCTCTGCTTCGCGCGCGAATCTTTGGAAAGCGGTACTGCGTGCGACGTCCTTGTATGCACTCGGGTTCTTGGCGTACGGGTACTTGTCGCTTTTGAGCTCGCGTTCGGTGCGATCGAGGACACGCATGAAATTCTTCGGTCGAGCAGCAGGCTTCTGGCCCTTGGCCTTGTCTTCTGCGTCTTCAGCCGCGTGTTGTGCGCGCTTGCGGTCGACCCAGTCCAAGACATCAGCATTTGAGAACAGATTGTCTCCGGCGTCGAGGATTTTCATGGTGGTAGAACGGGATGTGGATGTTGTGTCGACGAAGTGCGGCGAGAATAAATTGTGGACGCAGGTCAGACTGTAGATCGCACTACGCGAGTATATAACTTATTAAGTTTTAAGCTTACACTAGTGCAAGGTACTTGCCGTGGCAGTGCAGGGCAACAAAACTACTCTGGTGGTGGACTACACAGCTCTTGCTCCAATGTCTCCATCATGGATCTGTTCCCAGTGTCTGCGAGCTCTGCGGCCGCGACGGCCTGCGGGAAGTCAGCGCCGACTCCAGAGCAGCGCGACGGCTTCAGTCAGCAGTAGCATATCGCCCGCACTGCTCAGTCGAGCCAGAGCAGTAGCCGTAGAACATCAAACACTGACGCAAAAGCTCAGTGACGACTACGATGCGAGAGCTGCCAAACGTATCGCCGAGATCTCGAAGACCGCGACGGCCATCAAGGCGTACGACAAGGCGCAGTCGTCGCTAGAGGAGCTCCGGTCTCTTCTCCAATCTTCTGATCAGGAGCTGCGAGTGCTCGCAGAGGACGATGTCGAGCCCACCCATCAGGCAATTCAAGCCGCTGTGGCGGACTTGAAGACCAGTTTGATACCTGTACATCCATTCGCGCACCTGCCATGTCTGGTTGAAATCCGGCCTGGAGCTGGCGGTGATGAGGCTGGCCTGTTTGCGGGAGATTTGCTCCGTATGTACGAAGCGTATTGCGCTCGTGTGGGACTGCGCACATCGCTTCTCAAGTATGAAACGGGCGAGGAGGTGGGTGGGAACGCAGGGACACATCTGCAAGAAGCTGTCCTCGAGGTGGACTCACCCGGCGCATACGGTGTTCTGCGCTGCGAAGCAGGTGTGCATCGTGTCCAACGTATTCCCGCCACCGAGACGAAGGGCCGCACGCATACTTCGGCCGCTAGCGTACTGGTCCTGCCGTCTGTGTCGAACGAGAGTAGTGGGGACATGGACGAAGAGTCGTTCAACGATCCCAAGAGCGATTACTATGTCAACCCCTCTGACGTTAAGACGGATGTGATGCGCGCTAGTGGTGCTGGAGGCCAGCATGTGAACAAAACCGAATCTGCCGTCCGTCTCACTCACCTGCCTACGAACACCGTTGTCGCTGTTCAAGAGTCGCGCTCTCAGCACGACAATCGCGAGAAGGCCTGGCGCATCCTTCGCTCGCGTATTGCGCAGGTCAAGAGGGAAGAAAGAGAAGAGGAGCTAATCAAATTGCGACGAAACGCTGGTGCTGGCAAGGTTGGGCGAGAAAACAAGGTTCGGACATACAACTGGTCGCAGCAAAGGGTCAGCGACCATCGCACTGGCTTCGACCTGAGAAATCTGGAAGACGTCATGGAGGGCGGCGAGGCCCTGGAGAAGATCATGGACAGCGTAAGAGCATGGATGGCCGAACAGGAAGTTCTAGGAATGATTGCGGAGGAGGAGGAAAAGGCAAAACAAAAAGACCGACGCAAGAAATGACAATGGTGATGCTCCGAAACAGCATCGGTGAAAGGTCAGAGGCAACCCCTGGTAGCTCTGCAACTATCATCTGTCGGTTTACGAAACAGCACCGAACACGATCATCCACTGTTGTCGTCAGGCTCACCACGAGAGGCGACCATCGGGAAGTTTGATTATAGAACAACTGCAGCAACAGTCGAAGTGCATTGTTGCTGTGGTGAGCACAACGGAAAAGGCACTGTGCTATGCAGCTATCCGGCTCGATCATAGCACACGCGCGCCGCTCTGAGGCAAATGCTGCTGGTGACTGCTTTATGAACCCGATGCACCAGCATACAGAGCTCTTCTTGTGCAAGATAGTAATTGATGGCGAACGAAACATCCTCTTTCTTATCGCACCGCCCTGGTTTCCAAGCGAAGTCGGGTCAGTATGTCATGCAGACAAGCATCTGTTGTCGTTGCAGGATCCGAAGCTTCAAGTCCGCCAAACGTAGCGTAGAATGCAGTGGCTCTTCGCAGCCGGCAGAAATGGAGCTGGACGCCACTGACTCAGCCGCTCTATGTTACCTTTCTTTCATAGACAACCTCTCGAAGATGTCTCCGGGCTTTGATTATACCATGCGTCTCGACAATCTGAAACAGAAGCTTCCTGCTTGTGGCTGATATCACATTGCCAGCTGTAGGATCAGTCGAGTGCCTCCGTTTGTCAATGGTCGCTCGGACGCCAGATAACGCAGTGAGCATAGCTCATCACACCGCGGTCTGCGGCTGTTCCATCAAGACGCCTCGAAGAATTGGCAGTGAGGGCTTCAGCAATAACAATGCTGGTCTCTTTATCAACGCTGGGCTCTTTGTCAAACGTTGGCCTCTTTCCCGGATTGAGGCACCACAGGATAGCTCTCCTCTGAGACTGAGATCCTCATCCTTGTGATGGCATACCTACCCGATCGTTGGGATCATATGGTACTACCAGGTAACTCGTCAGGTGAGTTTTGAGAATTTGAGCTCAAAGTCCGCACCAGACCATTTCGTGCATATATTCATCCCCGTTCCCCTTCTCTCAATCTCTCATCTCGCAGGTACACCATGTCCCAAGCAGCAAACCAGTCTGCTGCGCCGGCGCATCCCGAGCAGGCATTACACGCTCTCTTCGCGATATGGGACACCAAGAACTATGATACCGCCAAATACTTTGGAGCTGCGATTGGTACTCTCATCGGCATCTTCATCGCAGCACACTGGACGCATATCCTTCTAGACAGGCTATCGAGGAGCTCCAGTACCGCACAATTGGCGACCCGAAGTTTGTCACTTGTATCACGAAGAATCTGTTCAGACAAAGTGCTTGGATGTGTCACTGTATCCCCCGCCAAGGTCCTTCTTGTCCTGGTGTATACAGGCATCAATGCCACCTTATCGTTCTATGACCGGCCAGATAAGGCCCCTATTATTACAATACTAGCGAGACGCTTCGGCTGGTTGGCACTGTGCAACATCTGCCTCACAGTTTTCCTTGGACTGAAAAACACGCCACTTTCCCCACTGGCTGGATATTCCTTCGACAGCTTGAATGTCCTGCATCGGTGCACTGGGTACACGGTCGTACTCTTCACGGTCCTCCACGCAGTCACATACATTGCTGGTCTTGCAAAAGCCCATGCACTTTATGTCCTCAGAACACCCTCTCAAGCAGCAGGCATCGTGGCGGCGCTAGCACTGCTATGTCTTTTCGTGACAGCTATCGGCGCACTACGGAGACGGATGTATGAGCTTTTCTATGCTTCACATCAAATCCTTGCTGCCACGATACTGGTAGCTGTTGGTCTGCATCGGCCTGAACTTGCAGGCAAAGCACTCATCGTTACCATCTGCGCTGCTGGCTTGTGGTTTGTGGATCAATCTCTACGGATCTCTCGGTGGTTCTACTACGGCGTTGGAAACCATTGCACGTTGACGGCACTTGCGCATGGGGCAACCAGGGTCACAATGCATCGGGGAATTCGAGCTCGACCTGGTTCTCACGCGTTCGTTTGGATTCCTGGTGTGAAATCTTTCCAGAGACATCCATTCACACTCGTATCGACCGATCCTATGGAATTTGTGATCAAAGCACGCGACGGCTTTTCCAAAGCACTGCATGAACACGCCTGCCAATTCCCGCGAGGCAAGTTCCGGGCTTCCGTGGACGGTCCTTACGGACAGGTTCCCAACTTGACAGGATACCAGAAACTTGTTTTCATAGCAGGCGGAAGTGGTGCCACGTTTACGATTGCTCTGGCGTTAGATTGGGCGAGACAGTCTAGGGCGCCTGGAGTCTATCAAAGTCTTGACTTCATCTGGGTCGTTCGGCACGCAGAAGCGCTGCAGTGGTTCGCAAACGAGTTGGCAGAACTTCAAGCACATCCGCGCATCAGTGTCAATTTGTTTGTCACCACCCCTGTGCTTGAACGACGTGAGGCGCGGGAGAAGAGCTATGATTCAAGTTTCTTGACTATGTCACCCACTTCTCCGAGCGTGATGGCGGATATGGAGAAGTGGAGCGACAAACACATATCATCTGTGCGGTCTTCCATTGCCACGAACAATGCATTCGGGACAAGCTTGAGTGCCGTGGCTGGGTTCGGTCGGCCAGATATGAATTTGTTATTGGGAAAAGCTGTCGAGGGGCTCACGGAAACTGAAAGCGTGCTCGTGGCTACTTGTGGTCCTACAAATTTGTTGGCCAGGATCCGCGAGGCGATTACTGCTGTCGAATCTGTAGCTGCACCGAGAATTGATATGCACGCCGAAGAGTTCACCTACTGAGCTTGGATCACGCGGCATGCAACTCGTCTGCACCACTCGACACTGGGTTTGATATGATGGATGAATTCTCTGATTTGGAGAACGCGCCGCGTTGGTTACATTAGGGGACGGGTATTGGCTCCTGTCGTCTTTATGGAGGCTGATTCGGCTCGATCGCCTGTTGCCTTTGGGGCCGCAGTGCCGTACGGTGTTATTCAGAAGACGAGAGAGTCGTGTTTCCCGTCGCAATGAGGTCCGTCAAACATACTCAACGGCAGAGGTAACCTGCCATCCCATGACTCCATCTCTTCATCTCGTCAAGGTAACAGGTGCGTTGAAGAGTCCTCTCCTTTTTGCGTTGTTACAGAACATCTCAAGTGAATCTGCATAGAGCCAGCTAAGAAGACACGACTGCATCATACGCGCCTCCCTCGATGGCTCCTATCGCCAAGTTCCTACCTCAAGGCTCCTGCCTTGCAAGGGATTCCCCTTCCACCTGTCAATGATAAATCACCCTGCACGTCCTTCTCCTCTCCGACATCTCACTCTTTTTGACAGCATATATCTGCTTTCCGAGGCAGAATCATAAAACATCAATATCACATTATACGTGTCCTCTTCTGAAGTCAACTTCGCACTCTGAAGTCAACGCCACACCACTCCATCGTCAAGCCAAACAGCCATGCCCGAGACCACCCGGGAACAGCTCAAAAAGGCATTGGACGACGCATGGGCACGAACGCAGCACCAAAGCTTCCTTCTCTTCTTCTGGTGGGGTCTCCAAATGAACCTGGCCTGTATTGGCGTCTGGGCACTTGCCGAGCTTGAAAGCCCTCAGAAATTTCAAATGGGAGGTCCTGGCGATTTTGACAAGAGAGACACGTACATCCCCGAAAAGGCGGAGCGCTTTTTGTGGTTTCCCTGGCTCACGGGGGGTCTGTGTGCTGCTACGTTGGTCATCACGCTCGTCGAAAACATCCTGAGCCTTTTGAACAAATTGTCCAAAGCGCAGCTCAAGAGCAGTGAGTGGACAAAGGCGGTCTTGTGGTCCATTTGGCTGGCGTACGTGGGTCTCAAGGCGGCGTTCATGTTTGGCAAGTTCCGCGAGGAGGGAAAGTTTGAGTACATAACGGAGGTGGTGGAATTTCCTACGGATGATGGAAGCTTGATTCAAGCGGTGCAAGTGTGGCCGGAAGAGAAGTCTTATCCGACCGCAAGCAATGTGATTGCGGCGTTTTGCTGGGCATTTCCGTTCTTGTTCGCGCTGTTGATCATGCGCAAGGAGCTGAGGAAAGGCGTTTTCGATTAGGGTCGCTCTTAGACTCGTCCATTTCCATCACCTGGGCAAAAGGTTCTGCCTGCGATGCGGTAGCTCGGAGGTGAGCTGAGTGTTAGATAGGACATACCTGGTACCTAAGTTCTTGGAAATTGAGGCGCACATTGTCCCAGCCCACTTGTATATCGACGAGCACTGACACAGCAATCTCCGAAAGTCCGACAAGATGCACCCATGGCCTTTCACAGAATGTTTGGGGACCAGAGAGGACTGTTAGCGGAGTCGTGATACAGTCTGATCCCATATACTACTAGGTACTAGAGCTTTCGTAGAGGTAGGTAGCTAATCCAGAATTGAAGCAAAAGGCCATTCTGCGCAGTTCAATTTCCAGCCCTCTTCCAAATTGAAATATAATCCGAGTCTTTACCCGCCTCATGCGTCCTACTCGGTCGATAACGCTCCAACCGGACCAGTGCATTTTTCGCCCTTCCGTCGTCACCACCACTACTACTAGTAGTAGAATCCCCCGCAGAAACAACAATATACCCCTCCCCATCATCATCATCATCATCACACTCGACCTCCTGTCCCGGCTTCCGCAAAAGTTCCTCATACAACTCCGCAGACAACCCATGCGGCGGCCCACCCTCTTTCGGAGATTTCTGCAAAGGCCATTCCAGACAGACGAGAAATCCTTCGGGAGCGAGCAATTCACTCATACGTTTGGCCCATGTCGGTCGGAGTTCGCGAGGTAAAGCGCAGAGGAATGTATAATCGAATATGAGATCGAATTTTTCGTCTGTTGTCGGTAGAACCGTGTCGTTGCTGGTGCTATCGCCGTGCGTAGTCGTCGTAGTCGAGATAGCAGCAAGAAAATCCTCTCGAAAAAAATCTCCAATAATAAATTGGATTTTTCCCTTTCCGATAAGAGGGTCTCTAAGGCGATAGGCATCAGATTCGCAAGAGATTTCTTCTGCTTCAAGTTTTCGAGCTGCTAGAATCGCATTTTCTGACCCGTCGAGACCAAACGTATCGTATCCAAGAGACGCGAGAGATAATACATCGTAGCCACGACCACAACCTGGTACAAGAGCTTTTTTGCGCTGCTGCTGCTGCTGCTGCTGCTGCTGCTGCTGCTGCTGCTGCTGCTGCTGCTGACCAGTCGTCGTCGTCGTTTTGGCGAGTTTCTTAATAGGTGAACCGAAAAGATTTTGATTCTGGGAGAGAATAGCATCTCGTAAAGCCTGCGAAGGACCAGCGCGATCCCAGGGCGTGAGAGATTTTTTCCATAGGTCATCCCAACCGCTGATGTGTTGTGCAGCGGGTCTGCCTTGGAAAGTTTTTTGGAGTTCGGAACGGGTTTCTGAGGCGGCCATTTTTTGATGCTGGTGGTGGTGATGGTGGTGGTGGTGCAATCTCTGGGAAGGGAATGTGGTGTTGTTGCTGCGATGGAGGAGATGTCTTTTGATTGCTGATACAGGAGGAGTTGAAGTTTTACGGATGGCGGCAAATGTGGGATTCATGCAGCGTTAGGCTTATGAGTTCGGAGGTTCTGATTTCTGAGTGCTGCGTAACTTGTGCCTCTTCGTTGTAACGGCTTCTTTTTCCTCGATCAATGCATTCAATGGCCACCACAATGCAGTGATAACCTAGGTAGTCAGTAGTCAGTGTACACCATACCCCACTCTACGGATCGGGTCGGCTGCCGGTTGCCGCGAACGCGCCAAGGCCGACGAGGTGGGGATCTCGTAACCTCATATGACACGCCGATATCGGACTTGATGTTTCTCCAACAAGCAAAACGGCAATCGGCATACAACGTCGCCTATGCAAGCCAACGACACTACCTCCTACTATCTACCTGGTAGGTATGCATTCCACCCGATTGTGACCCGAGCCATCACAGTACCAGTACTAGGTAGCGCCTCTCAAACCCGGTAGTCAACACAGCGCCCAGACCGAACGAGTGAAGTGGCGTGGAATGGTCGAGAAACAATGTTGCTAACAAGAGCACACTGTGTGTCTCTGTACTCTTCGACTAGAGTCCTAGACAGGCAAACATAATCTGGTCATTAGCCTGTATTTGGTGATGTTTTCTGTCCCCGTTCTACTGTGCCCAAACTGTCCCATGTAATGCTCTCGTTCACCTCTATCCTCTGGACAGTCAGTAAGCCCAACTACTTCCCGCAATCGAATCCTTTTTCAATGTCTTTCTCCAGTCCGGCCTTGGTCTCCTTGGCCGCCGCACCCGCATGAGCTTCTGCCTCCTTACGCCTCGCCAGCCTGTCAGCTGCCCGTTTCTGCTTTGCGTCTCGCTGGCGTTGCTCTTCTGCCATTTCTTTAATCAACACAGACTTCTCCCTGATTCTATGTCCGTAGTAGTAGAATACGAATGGTATGGGAATGCACACCACTTCCAGCAAACCGAGAAGCGTTCCGGCCCAGTTGGGCCCCAGTGTGGAATAGAGCGAGGGTCCCGCCAGAGGCAGCGTGGCTCCCATGACGGATCGGAGAACTGCATTGCCGGCCAATGCAGATGCGGCATATATGTCATAACTCTGCACCAGGTAGTTGGAGGCATAGATGAAGACTCCAGCATTTCCCGCTCCAAAGGGGATCCCAGCTAAGATGGGCACCACCCAATGAGCTTTGTCGGGCGTGCAGGTCCAGGAAAAGATGATTTGACCGATGGGGACGAGAATTGAAGCAATACATACGACGCTGACCATGGCTTCTGGGAAAGGGCGACCAGTCTCCGGATCGTGCTTGTGGGCGTTGATCATACGGCGAAGGAGGGGCTCGCATACAATCACAATCATCGACCCGACGCCTGTGCCAAGGAAAGAAAGGCCCGTGAAACTGGGGTTCCAGCCTCGGAGGTCGCGAAATACAATGGGATATGCCACGAAGCACATGTAGAGGATGCCGTAAACGAGTGCGATATAGACATCCCAAAAGATGCAGATTGGTTCCGTGACCGCCAAGACAAAAGGTCTGGTGAGGTTGACCTTCAGCAAGGGTAAGAAGCTGAGCTTGTCGTCGTACCGACTCCAGTACTTATCGTTTCCCGTGTCTTTTCTACGCTTTGCTGCCTTCTTTCGTAATAATGAAGGTGTGTACGTCTCAGGCACGATGGCGACGGCTATCCACGCGACACCGCCGGCGATGACCACGACCCAGTTCGTCCATCTACAACGTTACATTTATATATGTCAGCAAAGTGTTGCAGGCATGTAGCTGAGAAGTGAACATAGGACAGTCATACCTCCAGCCTAGATACTGGAAAACAAAACCACCGACAAGAGGACCTATCACGGGCCCATTCATTGGGCCTATACTCCAGACCGAGAATGCCAGGGCTCTGTTGTCCTCGTCCACTATGTCGTTGACGGTGCCGGGCGCATTGCTGATCATGGCGGCGGCACAGAAAGCAACGAAGAATCTCGCTGCCAGGATTGTGCCAATATTCTGTGCGACTGCGCATGGCACAGCGAGGATCGCAAACAGTGCCATGGTGATCAGGTAGATGGGCCTCCTCCCATACATCTCACTCAATGGCGCGAGAACGACACTGCCGGTGGCCATGCCAAGCAGATACGTGGTGACACCCGAAATACCCTCGCTTTCTGTCAAATGGAATTCGGCAACCATGCCAGGTATTGCGCTCGTATAGGACGTCGAGAAGAGGACAGTAGTTGTGGTGCTAACACTGAAGACCAGGATCACGAAGGCTTTGTAGAGGAGCGACCAATTTCGAGGATTTGATGTGTCGTCCTCTTCAAAGTCCACTTCGAAGGCCAAATCCTGGGTGCCAGTGGTGCCAGCAGTGCCTTGAGTCCAGGTTCGCTCCATGGTGGCAACCACACCTCCCACAGCATTGGTCGATGAAGCTCTCGACGAATCATGGTGAAGAGCACGGTCTCTGGAGTCTCGACTGTGCCGGGGGTATATTTCTCGTGATGGTCTCGAGAAAATGGATATGCTATCGGAATTGGTGGAAGTCGGTGACAGTGGATGTTCCACGGTCATGTACGACTCGCGTCTGTTCTCATCTAGGGCCACACATTCCTTGGCAGTTGTCTTGTATTTGCTCTCCATCATTGGACTGCTGGTCATGAGGACCCAACCCGGGTGGCAGTCCCTTGAGGTCTAGAACTATTCCAATGAATGATTGATCAGTCAAGGTGAAAAGATGGAGAAAGCAAGTGGTCGTGCCGTCATACTACCTATAATAGTAGATAATAGCCGGCAGGCCCTGGTGCTGCAGAAGAGAAGAGGCAGAATGGTTGCTGCATGGACGGAGCTAGATAACTCACAGCATAAGGTACAGGTAGATGGAAGCCCAGCGAAGCAAGCCTCGTCTGGGGAAGCAGAGGTAAAGTTCAGCAGTAAGAGCCAGCAGGTGCTTACCATACCTATACCTCATGTACCTGCCTACCTGCCTACCTACAGGCACCTCTATCTACCGACTGACCAACTTGCCTGCCTGCCTGGCTACCTTACCCCAGCCGACATTGAAGCTACACCGCTGGCAGAGGGGAGAGCGGGAAGAAAAATGTAGCAAAACAAGCCTTTTGGCGGCTAGTGACTAGCGAGCGGGAGCGGTAGTGGTCTCCAGGCCTCATGCAGATGCCGCCGGGTCGCTCTCGATGACGAGGTCCATTTGGCATTTGGCGAGAGGTATACCTCCTAGAGCGGTACAGTACATATTGCTTGCAGTGGGTAGAACTAGGTATCTCGCAGTAGAGAGAAGTATATGCTGTCGAGGCCAATGGAACAACAGGCCGAGTGTAGGCCTCAGGCGGGCGGGCGGGCGATGAAGGCGATGGATCGTGGCCTGGTCATGGTGTTGCTGTCGGCCTGTCGCGTGGTATACATGTGCAGAGCTGATAGGGCGGATAAGTGTGATGGATAAACAACATGGCGTGACAGGCATTTGTTCATCGGCAAGGACGGGACGGGAGAAGCTTGGCGCTTCCAGAGATGAGGAAGAACACGAGCGAAGAGTAAGACGGGCTTCTAGTGGTTTGTGTCTCAGCCGCTCAGCTCTCTCCGGCTACCTCCTCCTACTTCTATTGTACGAGACTACGAGTTAGGTCGTAATGTAAGTGAATATATGGCCTTACTACATCTGCCGCAATTGTCAAGGGATTGTGTCCCCTCCCTCTCCCTCCCCTGCTCGTCCCACCTCGTCCCACTATCGCCGTCGCCTTCAATTATCAAAAGCCATTTGTCGTCTGCATCAGAGTGGACCGAGTGCACTGTCGACACGTCTTCACCGAGTAGTGAGGCCAAGAAGAAGATGAGGCCACACGAAGATACCCACAAGCAGGCCAATTCCCTGACCAGAATATTTCGATATGACGACAATGGCGGCGACGACGACTTCGGAGGAGCTCGCTCTTCACAGCTACCTCCTACATATAAATGTGTATACATAAGGTATATATACCTATGTACCTACCAGGTCCTGCGGCCTTTTGTGCACTGCATCATCATTTTTTACTGCTGACTGTGCTCCGCTCGGCTGGAAGGCTCAAATCGTTCACCAGTCATGGAGCACGTGATGAGCACACGGCAACCAACAAGGGTTTGAGGATGAACAACCTCGGGACTTGATCGACCAGCCCCAGAATCTCAAAGGTCTAGCGGCTTGTGCACTTAACCTTCACCTTTCTTTGGTCCACTCACGATGCTCCCTTCATCCGAGGCCTTTGGGCCACGGCATGTGAGAAATGCTTCCTCGGCGAGAACAAACGCTTTTCACCACTCACAATGGCCACTGGTGCGTCTGGACGACCGGCGAAAGAGCATCAATAGGCCGGGCGAGATCGGGAATGCCGGCGTAGGCGTTTACCAGAAGCTGTGTCTCTCATATATACCTACCACGAGCTTTCGTCGGTTGTGACATAATGTCAAACCAGATTCCCCCTCTCTGCCTGCTGTAGTTCCATTGATCATTTTCCTCGTTCCCGCTACATTCTCGCTGTAAGACCACTCCCAGCTGGTATCTCGCATCCTCAGCACGAGCAGCTACAATCGACACGCTGGCGGATACTTTGAAGAAGATTGCTTCGTCAGTCGCTTCTGTCCTGCAACCCATTTCAGTCGATCCGCCCATCTCAGGAGCCATGTCGGGAGACGCTGAGCAGCAAGCCTTTGAGCAGGAGGTGAAGGAGGTGCAGCAATGGTGGTCAGACTCAAGATGGAGGTACACTCGCAGAGCCTACACTGCCGAGCAAATCGTCTCCAAGCGTGGAACGATCAAGATTGAATACCCCAGCAATGTCCAGGCGAAGAAGCTGTGGAAGCTGGTCGAAGGTCGTTTCCAGGTCAGTCAATAACGTACCTACATATACAATAGACATTGAGGACCATCCATGCTAAACCGCACTCACACACACAGGAAAAAACCGCATCAGCAACATATGGTTGTCTCGACCCGGTGATGGTGACTCAGATGGCCAAGTACATTGACACCGTCTACGTTTCGGGGTGGCAATCGTCGAGCACGGCATCCAGCTCAGACGAGCCCGGTCCAGATCTTGCAGATTACCCATATACCACTGTTCCCAACAAGGTGAACCACCTTTTCATGGCTCAATTGTTCCACGACCGCAAGCAGCGCGAAGAGCGCCTCAGCACCCCACCGAGCGAGCGATCGAAGCTCAACAACGTCGATTACCTCCGACCCATTGTCGCTGATGCTGACACCGGACACGGTGGTCTGACTGCTGTGATGAAGCTCACCAAGCTCTTCGTGGAGAAGGGTGCCGCTGGCATTCACATTGAGGATCAAATGCCTGGTACCAAGAAGTGCGGACACATGGCTGGCAAGGTTCTCGTCCCCGTGAGTGAGCACATTAACCGGCTCGTGGCCATTCGTGCTCAAGCAGACATCATGGGCGTCGATCTCCTCGCTGTCGCTCGAACGGATTCGGAAGCGGCCACTCTCATCACATCGACTATCGATCATCGCGATCACGCGTACGTGCTTGGATCCACCAACCCGGCTCTCCAGCCACTCGGAGACCTCATGTATGCAGCTGAGCAAGCTGGCAAGGACGGACCGGCTCTCCAGGCCATTGAGGATGCGTGGACTGCCCAAGCCGGTCTGAAGCTCTTCCACGAGGCTGTGGCCGACACCATCAACGCTGGCGTGCACGTGAACAAGCAAGGCCTGATTGACGAGTTCAACAAGCAGGCCAAGGGCAAGAGTAACGCAGAGGCTCGTGCCATTGCCAAGGGTCTGACGGGCGTCGATGTGCACTTTGACTGGGACGCTCCACGGACTCGTGAGGGCTACTACCGATACCAAGGTGGAACGCAGTGCGCCGTCATGCGTGCTGTTGCATATGCTCCTTATGCGGATTTGATTTGGATGGAGAGCAAACTGCCTGATTACGCGCAGGCCAAGGAGTTTGCTGATGGAGTCCACGCCGCATTCCCCGAGCAGAAGTATGTTCTTTTTCTTTTCTTTTTTTGCTTTGTTACCTCCCTCATCGTATTTTATCCAATCATGCAGCCATCATAAAACAGCAGCAGCTAACATGAAGTAATCTAGACTCGCATACAACCTCTCGCCTTCATTCAACTGGAAGGCGGCCATGCAGCCCGCAGACCAAGAGACGTACATCAGCCGTCTCGCAAGCCTCGGCTACTGCTGGCAATTCATCACACTCGCCGGTCTCCACCAGACTGCGCTGATTGCGGACCGCTTCTCGAAGCAATACGCAGCACGTGGCATGCGTGCCTATGGCGAGATTGTGCAAGAACCTGAGATGGAAGAGGGCTGCGAGGTGGTCAAGCACCAGAAATGGTCGGGAGCCAATTATGTCGATGGTTTGTTACAAATGGTGCAAGGTGGAATCAGCAGCACTAGCGCCATGGGTAAGGGTGTTACTGAAGATCAGTTCAAGTAATGTAGTCGAAGGGGAAGATATTGAAGGTACCTATCCAGAGATTTGTAAGTGTTACAAATATGACTGTTACATACCTATTTGACAAAAAAAGAAAGCATTGGAGTCAGCATACCTACCTATTTTTTTGGGCCGGGCATTATGAAATTCAGTTCACTCTGTACCCAACCTACCTAGGCATCAATCATAGGTACCTTCTAGATCTATTACGGATGTCACAACAGATATACCATATCCCATCCCATCCCATCCTCCCGTCCGTCCATCCCGTCGTACACGAAACACCAAAAGACAAATACCTTCCTCCTCCCTCATCAACCAACCAACCAACCAATCAAATCACCCCCTTCACAATCCAACTCCACTATCCTTCCTCCCCCGGCTTTTACTCTGATCATCACCATCATCATCACCATTACCATCAAGATTCCCACCAACAATCCCACCACTACCACCACACAATCCACACCCAGGACAAGTCCTCAAAGTATTTCTCACAAACATATTTCCGTTGCAATTGCGACATTTCAATGTCCTAAAAAAATCTCAGTTTTCTTTTGGTATTTTTTTTTTTTCTCATTAGGGACGTGGTATTCGATACAATCTGAAGAAGGAAAGGGAAGAAGTAAAAGTGGGAATAGGCTAAGGGTAAGGGTAAAAATGATGTTGGATAGGATAGGACAGAGAGAGAGAGAGAGGGAGAGAGAGAGGGATACATACGTTCTAATCGTGCATTTCTCACAAGGAGTGATTACCATTCCGCCGAGACAGGCTCTTTGAGGGGGTTTTTTGGTGGTTGCGGAAGGGTTGGTAGTGGAGGAGGAGGAGGAGGAGGAGGAGGTTGAAGATGATGAAGATGATGATGGGGTGAAACCCATGCGGTGGTGGGTCATGGTTTTGATGTTGATGTTGTTGTTGTTTGTTTTTGTCTTCTTCCCTTTTTTTTCTTGTCTTGTATTGATTGATTTGGTATTGGTGCGAGAAAGGCAAGTTGTTGATCGTAAAAAAAAAGTGAACTTCCTCCTTGAAGATTTGATATATTCTGTTTGGTTTGGCCTCTGCTGTTCGGATAATGACAACAACCACAACAACCACCACCACCAGAGTGAATGTCTTTTCAAGAGCGCGGCGACTGTACTTGCTGAATTGGATTTGAATGGTAATCGATTCCAATGAGTTCTCGGGCAAGTTCGAAATTTGTTCCGAGGGGGACTTTTTTCGTCTTCCAGAATAATCGTTCTTTCTAGAAACCAGACGATGAATCGATGATGAATCCCGGTAGATCTTGTCAGAGTCCGATGAAAAAAAGGTGAGTAAGGTAAGGTAAGGCAAGGTAGGTATTGTGTTCCAGGAGCCTGTTCTTCTTATCGTAACAACAACAAACTGTTTGCAAGGGTAAACACACACACACACAAAGACAATAACAACAGTAGTAGTAGTAGTAGCAGTAGCAGTAACAAAAAGTACCTACAAACTCTCCAGACTTTGACTTTTGGGTAACATACCAATCAATATATATATATGTATATATATAATAAATATTACTATCCTTCCCCTTCCGTGTCCAGGTTAAGAGATCCATACCTGTATCTCCCGGGGGTTTGGATCCACACACACAGAGACACACATACACATATATACCTGGTCGGAACGGAGGGCGCCTAGAATGATTGGCTGGCTTGGGGCTGACGGATTTGACTGGCTCTTCTTCTTTCTTCTTTTCTTCTTTGTCCATTTATTCTTATACCTTCCTAAGATATGTACTAACTACTAAAATACTAGTTGGTCGCTTCGAGCATCTAGATTGTTATTTCCGTCGTCGTCGTCGTTGTCGTCGGTCTAGCGAAAGAGTGACGAGACAAAACAAAGCCGGAAAAGAGAGAGAGAGAACCAAAAAGAAAAAAGAAAAAGAACAAAACGTGAGGACGGTAATACAAAAGTCAGGTAGACTGAAATTTGGATACCTGTATGTACATGTACTTGTACATGTACTTGTACTTGTACTTGTACTTGTAGGGTACCTACCTGACAAAAAACAAACAGACAATAAGCAGAATGGCAAGACATCACTTTTAACCGCCAGCAAGCAGCTACAGTATTGCACAACAAATCTATCCGGTTATCTTTGTTATGACTCTCTCTCTCTCTCTCTCTCTCTCTCTCTCTCTCTCTCTC